ATCAAAACTATCTGACGTGAGCCCCACCCGCTGCCCTCTGCGCCATTAGGCATTGTTAACACAAAAGTTGGCTTTGGCTAAGTATTGGCTCATCAGTCTTGCTCAACTTGGTGTGATGAGAGAGCACCACCGTGTTTTCCGAAAGAGGGCATCGCCATTTTAAGAACTCTAAAGGGGATATGCAGACTGACATGTGAATGGCTCTGGTAAAGGGCTTCATACGACACCCCCCTCCTCCTTATGAACATGTAACAGGGCAGAAGGATTGTCCTTACTAGTCACATTCCCCACAGGCTAGCCACACACTTCACTGGGAATCGCACACTCACAGGTCTCGTGGCGAGTAGACCAAGACAGCAGGGTGAAAAGAATGTATACGGATGACTGGAAAGGATACGTAGAATATCTGAAGAATCATTGTAAACACATTAAAATGTTGACAGTGTTAGAATAAATTCAGCAAGAAATAGTTTGATAGGAAACGAGAATGGGGGGGAATCGACTGTGTAGCAGAAAAGAATTAATAAAATTAATAATAATAGAGTAATAATAATAATAATAATAATTTATTATTTATACCTCGCCCATCTGGCTGGGTTTCCCCAGCCACTCTGGGCAGCTCCCAACTGAATATTAAAAACAATACAGTGGTACCTCTGGTTACATACACTTCAGGTTACAGACTCCGCTACCCAGAAATACTACCTCGGGTTAAGAACTTTGCTTCAGGATGAGAACAGAAATCGCGCAGTGGCAGCAGCAGGAGGCCGCATTAGCTAAAGTGGTGCTTCAGGTTAAGAACAGACCTCCGGAACGAATTAAGTACGTAACCAGAGGTACCACTGTACAACATAACAACAACAATAACAATAACAATAACCATGGATGGGGGGGTAGCGAAGGGAAGTGATGATAAATATATGTTTTGTATTTGGACTTGAAGTTATCTGTTCAAATTTGTTAAAAAACTCAAAGGGATATATTTTTTATTAAGGAAACCCTCTAAGGCTATAGTGTTTTACCATGGGTTTTGAGATTATGTGGGGCTTGCAAACGAAATATAAAAAGCGCAATTGTGTGCATGTTTACTCAGGAGCAAGTCCCACCGTGTTCGATGGCGCTTATTCCAGATTCGTTTAGTGTGGAATATAGAAGTGCTTTGGCATTTAGAGCTCAGAAACTGCAGGGTCCCTGCCCCCCCCTTAAATTCAGAGACTTAAGTGCAATTTTTGCCCGAGTCAGAATGGTGGCCTTTGCTTTGTGACACTCAGGATATTTGTGGGAAAGGATGCGGAATAATGTGTGCCTAATGTCAAAGCCCAGATATCAACATATATGTAAATGGAAAGCTGCCACGAAAGCCCAGTATGGTCACGTTTCAGTTCAGAAGATGCAAATTCTTCAGGGGTCTTGGATGTTATTTAAAGCCATGATAAAAGAAGCTTGGATACTGGTTTCATTACCTGATATGAATGTAGCTCTGCTTGCTTTCTCTTTTCTCATCCTTGGAGTTTCTAGGAGCCTTTCCAGGCAATGTGGCTCTCCCAAAAAAGTATTTTTCTTGAGATGACCTTCAGTTGACTACCTCACATCTTGAGGGAAGGATTGGCTTTATATACCCACCAGTTATACTCACACATACCAACATATGCACCAGTGGCATCAGTATAAAAGGGCTGTATACACACACACACACTTATGCATGACAGAAATTGATAAGCAAATGAATTAGAAGAGTCCTGCTTCCTTTCTTTATCAGTCAGTGCAGGAGATAGAAAGATTCGGTATCATTCCCCTTTCTTGGCACACATATCAAGCTTTTCTCCAATTGGTCAGAACAAAAGTCTGATCTGTGATCATTTCTGTTGAGATCCAGGTAACGTATGTTTTTCAGTTTTTCCCTCACAGTCATGAGGGCTAGAAACCTACCGGTACCTTATTAAAGATGAACGCTTGGAAACCGAGCCACATTCTACCAGGGCAAGTGGTAGAAATCTTTCAGACCTTTACTGGATTTCTGTTTGTTAACCCAACCATTGCCCTTGCCCTTGGAGTCTTTTTTGTTCCTAAATGGAGGGTAAAAACCATAACTTTTAGATTATTGCAAGATACATTTAGTACATCAAATCACTAGGTCGTGTACCTGTGTGTTGTATGCTGGTCACACCTACTCACAGACTTTCGGTCTAAAGCTAGACACAAGTGTTTATATCCAATGTGGGCACAAGCAGAATTCCCCTTCCTTTCCTCTCCATTGTAGCCTCCCAAAAGTAGGTACTCTGAAGGGACCCCAGCTCTCCATAGCAGATTTGGGGGTCACGTAATTAATAAACAAAGAAAGAAAGAAACAAACAAACAAACAAACAAACAAACAAACAAACAAACCCCCACCCTCCCTGCCCAGGGCCAGGCTCAGGAAAAAAAAGGTTAAAATACTCCTTAAAATACAGCTTAAAATGCAGCCTCATTTTAGTAGTAGCCCATAGATCAAGACCATAAAGGGAGGAAACATCAGATATTCTCCCAAGCCAGCTATCCATAGGAAGATTTATATACCAAATCCCATATAAGGGGTCAGAGTGATTCTAAGCCGAAGGCCAGGCGGAACAGCTCCATCTTGCAGGCCCTGCGGGTAGATGTCAAGTCACGCAGGGCCCTAGCTTTTTGTGACAGAGTGTTCCACCAAGTCGGGGCCCGTACTGAAAAGGCCCCGGCCCCAGTTGAGACCAATCTAACCTCCTTGAGGCTCGGGGCCCCCAAAGTGTTGTTATTTATGGACCTTAAGGTGCTCCGTGGGGCATACCAGGAGATGCGGTCCTGTAGGTACAAGGGTCCTAGGCCGCATAGGGCTTTAAAGGAGGAGGGAGGAGAATAAGAAGAAGCTCTGAGGTGTGAGCAGGAATCTATTCCAGACGAGCACCACTGGATATCACCCAAGACACATTCCAGAGAAGAAGAAGAATCTTAGAATTGTAGAGTTGGAAGGGACCATGAGAGTCATCTAGTCTAGGGCTGCCACATTCCCAAAAGTGAAAATCCAGACAAAGTTGATTATTATTGTTGGGGTTTTTTTTGGGGGGGACACATCTAGCCCCCCCCCAAAAAAATTTATTCAGTGGGGCTCAAACCCGTGACCTTGAGATTAAGAGTCTCATGCTCTATCAACTGAACTATCTGGTTGCCAGGAGGAAAGAAGGTGGGACCAAGTGAAAAAAGGTCTGGTACTTGTATGTAACAGCATTCATTAAAATTTAGGATGAATGATTCTGTTTCTTGCTGGAGGGTTTCTGCTATAGAATAGCTCAGCCCTTTTAAACACTCATTTCTGTTCCCTGTGGGAGTGCTTTCTTTACAGCGACTCTGTATTAAAACAGCTTCCCAAAAATCCTGTCCTGACTTGAGGAATTATTTTTGAACTAGACCTATTAGCAAGGGTGGTTCCATCAGTTTCCCTGCCAGGAAAGAAACACGATAGTGATCTTCTGTTCGAATGATCAGTCGCATTTGATTGGAAGCTCGACTTCTCATTTCCTCTGAGCTTTCAATCTGCGCAGAACGTCTTGTTCTGAGTCTAGAGAAGGTGGGCCTGGGAGTTTTGTACTCCATGAAGCAGGAGCGGAATGCATCCAAATGCTTTTTAAATCTCTTCCAAGTGAAGGAAAGCAGGCCTTTGTGAATTAGGGATACCAGCAACGACGGCTTGGAGACAAATGACGCTGGCAATGTAATGCTCAGACTAAGGGCTAATTCGCAGAAGTTTCAAAGCAACTGTGCTATAGCTCCCATAACATGTTCTTATGGTAAAGTAAGACATGTATGAGTACAGTGGTACCTCGGGTTACATACGCTTCAGGTTACAGACTCCCCTAACCCAGAAATAGTACCTCGGGTTAAGCATTTTGCTTCAGGATGAGAACAGAAATTGCGTGGCAGCAGCGGGAGGCCCCATTAGCTAAAGTGGTGCTTCAGGTTAAGAACAGTTTCAGGTTAAGAACGGATCTCCGGAACGAATTAAGTACGTAACCAGAGGTACCACTGTACATTTTGTACAGTTGCCCCTACACCAGTGTGCTGAAAATTTAGGTGCAATGTGCCCGATGGAACCTAACTGAACAAACATACCGATTCTCAGAAGTTTAAGTAGAATGATTTAGATCTACGCCTCTGCCAAAAAATTGCATTTCTAAATAACTTACTCTACATGAGCTTCCGGTGGGTTCTAATAACATTTCATGGCCCCACGGACCAGAGCACACCAGGCACTCCTGTCTTCCACTGCCTCCCACAGTTTGGTCAAACTCATGTTAGTACAGTCATACCTCATGTTATGTCCGCTTCGTGTTACGTTCTTTCAGGTTACGTTCCGTGGCGACCCGGAAGTACCAGAAAGGGTTACTTCCGGGTTTTGCCGCTCGTGCATGCGTAGAAGCACAAAATGACGTCACGCGCATGCGCAGAAGCAGTGAATTGCGACCCGTGCATGCGCAGACGTGCCGCTGCAGGTTGCGCTCTTTTCATGTTGCGATCAGGCCTCCGGAACGGATCCCGTTCGCAACCAGAGGTACCACTGTAGCTTCGAGAACACTGTCCAACCATCAATAATAGAATACTGAATAGTATAGTTTTTTGTAAAACATGCAAGGGTTTATGATACGCAAAATGAACCATGGAAAGAGAAGAACGGAAGTCACTGATATCTTAAGGGTGTAAAAAATGAGTACTTGTAAATTGTAGAAAAGAAAATTTAATAAAAAATTATATTTTAAAAAGAAGAAGAGGACGTCCCGAGAAATCTTGGAGGCATCGGGGTCGCATCTCGCAAGGTGACCATCGGGTCGCTCTGCCCAGCTCCGTCCTCGCGTTCCCTTTCACCCGAGGCGCCGCCTCTCCGAGCGGATCGCTCTCCCGGCTCCGACGTCGGGCGTGGGCGGCGCGGCTCCTCCCCGGCGCTCGGCGGCTCCTCCCCGGGGCGGCCGCTGCCGTGCGCCCCTGCCTCTCCTGGAGAGCCCGTGCGTCGTGACGCAGCTGGCGAGCGCGTCCCGAGCGCAGGCCCTTCGCCGCGTCCCGCGCCGTCTCGGTCCCGAGCGGAGGAGGCGCCTCTCTTCTCCTCGCTCCCCAGCGCCGCCGGGCGAAGCGACCGGGAAGAGCCGGGCGGCGGAGAGAGAGAGGCGGACCCGCCCGGGCGCGCTCGGCGGCGCGCGCCAAGCAGCTGGCCAGCCCCGACGGGCGTCATTTCATCTCCGGCTGCTTCCTCCTTGCCTGCATGTAGCGGGGGGAGCCGGAGGGAAACCTCGGCTTCCTCTGCAGCGCCGCCGTCGCGGGGGGGAGAGTCGGTGGCCAGCTCCCCACGCGCCCGTTTCCCGAGGTATTAGCTCCCGGTCCTTCTCCAGGGGCGGCGTTGCGCCCGGGCGCCTTGCTGCGCTTTCGCTTCCCCGGTGGGGCGAGTTTGGGGGCGCAGCGGAGGGTTTGCTGCCTGGCGGGAGTGGGGAGGAAAGGATAGCGGGGTTGGGGGTTAAAGAAGGCGTTGGTGGGGTTGTTACTCCGGCCTCTCTCTCTTTTCTTTCTTTCTTTCTTTCTTTCTTTCTTTCTTTCTTTCTTTCTTTCTCTCACTCCCTCCTTTTGAAACCACAAAAGCAAAACTAATTTTACGCAGGAAACTTCGGGTGGGCTGGGCTTCCTTCCACCCGCCCAGAGAAATTCCCTTCCCAGATACGAATGAAACCAAAGTGCAACCCTATCAAAACGGGGTGGATCGCTTGGGATATTAAGAGTTATGAAGGCCAGGGTTGTAATCCACCCCCTCCCCATTATTTCCCCCCTTCTATTAAAATAATATTAATGAAATATAATAATTCTCTATTTAGGCTGTAGTTGCAGTCTGAGGTAGAAAGATGTGAACTCTTTCCTCGTGGACAAGAAGAGGCCTTTCTTCCACCTTGCCGATGGTGTGTATTCTTATTTTTTAAAAAACTTTTTTGGGGGGGTGGGAATCGGTGTTTAAGTAATGCACCTTCAAAATATGGTTAAAGGGTTGAGGAGATTTCCCTCACGTGCCTATTGTGTTTCAACTAAGGGGTAATTATTGTAGTCCTAGTTCATATACAGTGGTGCCTCGCAAGACAAAATTAATTCGTTCCGCGAGTTTTTTCGTCTAGCGAATTTTTCGTCTTGCGAAGCACGGTGTCAGAAAAGTTTTGGAAAAGCTTCAAAAATCACCAAAAACCTCAAAAAAGGCTACCACACTGCGTTCTATGAGTTGCTCCTCGAAGTCAAGTCGCAACTGTATTAACGGTGTTAAGAGAAAGGAAACAAACTTGCAAGACGTTTTCGTCTTGCGAAGCAAGCCCATAGGGAAATTCGTCTTGCGTAGCAGCTCAAAAACTGCAAAACCCTTTCGTCTAGCGAGTTTTTCGTCTTGCGAGGCATTCGTCTTGCGGGGCACCACTGTAATTATGTTATGGTTTGTTTTTGTGCTTTCTCTTTCGCAGCATGGAACTTGTTTTCCAGCTGCTAGTCTGCTTCTTAAGAAGGAAAGATTGTGTGGATTGTTGGGGAAGGGGAGATCTGGGGCAGAGAACTTTTTATCTGGGGTGGGAAGGAGTAATGAAATGTTCAGTTTCAGTAACAGAAGCCAGTGAGGCTGTTTAGCTCTCCATCCTCTTACTTGATCACTCCAACTTTCCTGGTCTATATAGGAAACAGATTCCCTTTGACATTGCTGAATTGTAGCTTTAGGAAAATAATGGAGGGTGAAGGAGATGATAAATACCAGTAGGAAACATGTCAGGCAATTTCGTAGAACAAAACAAAACAAAAAACAGAGTCTGTATATGAGCTGTTGGTTTTCAGACAGCAGAATCGGTGTGAATTATATGGGAGATACATGATTGTATCTTCCAACATCCTTTTCTTTGATTAAAAACAGCTGTGATGTGGTCTTGGCTAATAGCCTATGGAGGGGGAAAGATAGGTACCTGTAGAAATTTTAAGTTGTTTGAAGGGTGTGGGAGGAAGCTTGCGATCCATCTAGTTCGGTTATTCATTGTGTTGTGCAAACTCATTCCTTATATACTTGCAATTTATTTTTTTGTCAAATGTGCATGTGTTGTATATGCAATTCATACATTAAGAAGAAGAAGAAGAGCATTAATATTGCTGTCAAAAGTTAAGGTTTCGAGCTCTTCCTGGCATTTGTAAAATGTTTGTTGCTTTGTTGCCTGGCCAACTGCTGCCTTCTTGGTGTCATTTCCTTGTGGGCTGATGCCATGGGCAACAGATAAGAATATTGCCCTTTTCATCAAATCGAATAGTTGATTTTTCCACCCTGCAGTTGGTAGTGTTTTACTGACATTGGAAGAGGAGTACAGGACCTCTGTTCCAAGTTGGCTGTTGCAAAGGAGTGTAAAACCTTGATTACGAGTTGGAGCAAAAAGCCCCCCCTTAAACGCAAAGCAGCGAGGAGCTTCATAGTTTTCATGGTAATGTTTTCTGCCACTGTTACACTGCTGTCATCCCCCGTCCCAACAGAGATGTGTGTGAACAAACAACACATCCTCACATGTGTGTACACATTCCATGAGAGTCTTGGCTGTCGGTCGTGGCCCTCAATGTTGGATGAAGAACATGGAACTCCCTGCACAGTTTCTGCTAAAGGTTTTGATGCATAAATCAAATTGGTACATAGGCAAAGCGCAGGTTACAAGATGTAGCAGGTATCTTGTATAAAGGGCCAGGTATAGAGACATGGGGACGCGAGTGGCGCTGTGGGTTAAACCACAGAGCCTACGACTTGCTGATCAGAAGGTTGGCAGTTCGAATCCCCGTGGCGGGGTGAGCTCCCGTTGCTCGGTCCCTGCTCCTGCCGACCTAGCAAAGTGTAAGTAGATAAATAGGCGGGAAGGTAAACGGTGTTTCCATGCGCTGCTCTGGTTCGCCAGAAGCGGCTTAGTCATGCTGGCCACATGACCCGGAAGCTGTATGCCGGCTCCCTCGGCCAATAAAGTGAGATGAGCGCCGCAACCCCGGAGTCGGCCACGACTGGACCTAATGGTCAGGGGTCCCTTTACCTTTACCCTTTATAGAGACATGGCTAAGTGCAAGCAGATAATGTTGATCCAATAAGCCACATGCTCCCTGGACCTTCCTTTTGAAGAGTGGGTTAAGCACAGCTCTTAGTGTGGCAAGTGGTCAGCACCCAATTAACTCCCAATTAGTTGCCTTCCTGAAAGAGGGACATCCTCACTGACAGGAGAAGGAGACGTCTGCCTAGGGTTGACCAATGTCGCAGGGCTGGAACAGTCCTCTGCCAACCCACTTTGCCCCTGCCTTGGATCCATCCTCCTTGCCAAGTTTAGACATCTCCAACTCCCTGAGTACCTCCTGTTCCTCCTTAGCATCTGACCACCCCCTGCATGAAACCTTTAATAGCTTCATGGCATCGCCCTGTTTCTAAAGTGCCCCCACCCCAGTCATGAGGTTTGGATTTGCCTGAATAGCATTAATGGAATTTGGCAGTTAATTGGGGGCATGCAAGTCACCTGTGTCTTCCCAGAATGGCTCTATTAGCCATAATTGCTCCAGTGAATCAAATACCTGCAGCCTAGGGTTGCCCAGCTCCAACTCTCTGAGCTCCTCCCATTCCTCCTCAGGATCTGGCCATCTTCTCCATGACACTGGCTCTCAGTCACAAATACTCACATGTTTAGAGACCTGTCAGGAATGCTTTATTGTGAGGGATGCGGGTGGTGCTGTGGTCTAAACCACTGAGCCTCTTGGGCTTGCCAGTCAGAAGGTCGGGAGTTTGAATCCCTGCGATGGGGTGAGCTCCCATTGCTCTGTCCCAGCTCCTGCCAACCTAGCAGTTCGAAAGCACGCCAGTTCAAGTAGATAAATAGGTATCGCTGTGGCGGGAAGGTAAACAGTGTTTCCGTGCGCTCTGGTTTCTGTCACGGTGTTGTGCTGTGCCAGAAGCAGTTTAGTCCTGCTGGCCACATGACCCGGAAAGCTGCCTGTGGACAAACGCCAGCTCCCTCGGCCTGAAAGCTAGATGAGCGCCACAACCCCATAGTCGCCTTTGACTGGACTTAACCATTCAGGGGTCCTTTACCCTTTTTAGCTTTACTGTGAGGGCAAACACTACTGTAACAGTTGCATTCCTATGGCAGACAAGATTGCCATGTAAAATGCGAAGCCTTTCAGAAAGAGGAAGTTTAAAAGCGAGGGAAGCTTCCAAAGGGCATTGGAAGCTGCAGAGCAGGCATAGGCAAGCTCGGCCCTCCCGATGTTTTGGGACTACAACTCCCATCATCCCTAGCTAACAGGAGCTGTGGTCAAGGGTGATGGGAATTGTAGTCCCAAAACATATGGAGGGCCGAGTTTGCCTATGTCTGCTGCAGAGGCTTTGTTCAACTGGAAAAAGAAAGGTAAGCAAGGTGCTTAACACTTGGTATTGCATTGCCAATGCCAGTCATGCAGGAGTTAAAGTACAGCTTTGGAAACAAACTCTTTAAAGTTAACCCATTGGAAGCAAAATGCCCTCAGCTACAGAATATTACTAAAGGACACGGAGTGTCTCTTGTGTAACTGTATAACTGTACGCTATGCTTACTCGTGTTCAGTGCCAGTTAATTACATAAATATTACCTTATTCTGGTTGTAGGGTTATATATCAGCCTTGGTATATTTTTACAGGTGGCATTTTACTTTTAATAACAGCTTCATTAATTGGGAGTGTGTGTGTGTGTGTGTGTGTGCAGTGGGTGTTAATTCAGCTGTGGGAAGGGCAAATTATTTCACAATTGGGAGTTAAATATGCTTGAAAGAGGCAACTTAGAAAATTGCTCTGCATTTATTGTGCTTTTAAAACCTGGTCACTGAGTTCATTTTGCATGGTCCTTTTTTATATCAAAGGCAGTGTCCAAAATCAACTTCTGTGGTGTTTTGAGAGTTACAACTATGCAACTACAACTTTTTAATATACCAGAGCATTAAGAATATAAGTTTAATTATGTATTTTTGAAATGTGTGTGTCTGACTTACTTTGTTGCATATTTGATGTAGTGCACTTATTTTCAGAATACGCTGTTCTGTGAAATATTTGTTTTATGTATTGAATTTGTATACTGCTCTTCCTCCCAAAGGAGCCTAGGACAGCAAACACAACCTCAATGTTAAACAAACCCCTCTAAGAGTAATCTGTCATTCCTAGTGTCCAGTGTCTTAACTAATGCCAAACTAGAATTTTCCACTCTCAATATACTCAACATATCCCAAAGTACTGAATAGTGTATCAGTATGTACTATAACATACACTCATTGGTATCATTATCATAGTTTGATGCTTCCACTGTAAATTCTTGTAAATTGATGCTTCTGACTTACATAAGAATGCTCTAGTTAACCATGGTGGCAAAATGTGTTTTGAAATTTTGAAAAAAAATGTGGATTTTGTTTAGGTTTGGGAGTTGGAAAGAAGTAAGAGGTGATATAAAATGTTAGTAGTCTAACTCATAGTTAACCCATTGATTTCAGTGAGTCTTGTTTGAGGATGAATTAGGTATTGTTTTTAGTTGAACTGAGTGTTGATTCCATATATTTGCAGAAAGGGAGAACCAACATCAAACAAATTATGCCTTCTATTCCCTCCCTTTCAACCCCATTCCAGATTACTGCATTTTCTGCCTTCAGTGCATCAGCAAAAAGCAGATTTCCACTGTGACTCGCAAGGTCTTTAAACTATGTAGTTAGAGCCAATTTGGCGTCTATATCAATATATACAGAACAAACAACACAGTGTCCATTGCTTTATATTTGCTGAATGTTATCTGCCGTTTCACGAATCCAATTTGCTATGCATTGTACTCCCAGAAATAATAGCATCTTCTAATACCATATCCTTTTGTTAATGCTCCTTGCACACAATCAGAGTTCTTCTGCAGAGTTCAACTCTAGTGAATGCTCACTCTGATTTCACTGATCAGAAAACGTTTTATCCAGTGCTGATCCAAACCCTCCTTCCTGCCCCATTTCATCACACCCATTTAAGAGGCTACAGTTCTTTCTTATTTACTGTCTCTCTGTGTGGAACAGAAAACACTTTTACCAATGCTATCACCACTGTCTCAGGTTTGGAAATCCATCCTGGTGCTCCCACCTTGCCTTCTTTGCACGCTTGTGTTGCAAACATTCAGAAAACCTGCCACAAGACTTGGAAGCGAATTTGAACGCAGCAAGGAACAGCCGTGTAGTCTGTTGTGAGTCGTGAAGATCTGGATCATTTGTATCATTTCCACAGTTCTGAGCTTCTGCTGCAATATCTTTTGGTAACTGTTTCCATGGCAAGGAGCACATTATTCCAAAACACGGTTCAGACTCTTGACAGGCATATTTATATTTGCTGTATCCTGCTTAAATGTTTTCGGCACAAGTTAGCAGCATGTAAACATTCTTATAAATAACATGAAAACACTGGCATTGGAAGTTCTCACAGACAGCAATATCCGCCATTTCTTTTGCTGGCATCAAACATTTAGGGTTGTTTCTTCTTCTTTTGATAGAAAACAATGGATGCCACCATTCTTCTTTCTGAGTGTCATGTACCAACAACAGTTGCTACACCGGGGAGCAGTTAGGAAATGGGCATGCTCCAAGCATCTGTCAAACAATTGCCTTCTGATGAGGTTCTTTGGGCTTTGGTATGTTGGCCTAGACAGGTGTTGTGGTGATTCTGCATGTGAATGGATTCATGTCCTGTGACCTGTGTCAAGCTTTTCTAAGTCTTTGAACACATATGCATATACTGCAACTCTGTTTAACGTTAGGGGTGAATACCCGGTTCATAGGTAAAGGTAAAGGGACCCCTGACCATTAGGTCCAGTCGTGGCCGACTCTGGGGTTGTGGCGCTCATCTCGCCTTATTGGCCAAGGAAGCCGGCATACAGCTTCCGGGTCATGCGGCCAGCACGACTAAGCCGCTTCTGGCGAACCAGAGCAGCGCACGGAAACGCCGTTTACCTTCCCGCCAGACTTATCTACTTGCACTTTGACGTGCTTTCAAACTGCTAGGTTGGCAGGAGCAGGGACCGAGCAACGGGAGCTCACCCCGTTGCAGGGATTCGAACCGCTGACCTTCTGATTGGCAAGCCCTAGGCTCAGTGGTTTAACCCACAGCGCCACCCGCTTCCCATTATCCGGTTCATAGGTTTGCATATATCCCCTGTCGCTGAGTACCGTATTGGCCTGAGTATAAGCCGCACCTTTAAAATTCGGGGGGGGGGGTGGAGGGGAGACAATACCCAAATATAAGCCGCTCCCTTAAAATTATGCAGGCACTCACACCCGTTCCGTTTTACCGTATGTCTCTTTTAGCAGCAACATAGTAAAAGCCAATTTTTGTAAGGTCATGAATTTAAGCCGCACTTTTCACGGTTGGAATTGGGGGGGTGTGAAGCATATATTCGGGCCAAAATGGCAATAAGCGAAAGGATGGGGGAGAACACTTCTTTTAATTAAAAAGTGCAAATATAATTTTATGCCTGTCTCATAACAGATGTGGATATTCAACCAGTGCAACCGAACCACTCCTGAATCTGGTCCAAATTTTAGAAAACAAAGGAATCACATAGATCAGTGGTTTTCTGGTTCAGGGATAGGATCAGAATCTTATTCTGATGTGTGAATGTATCCTTTACTCACTTGATGTTCCTATCCTCTAATTATCTGCTATAATTAGATTTACAGTAAGTAGAATGGCACCTGCTATAGCCTTAGAATGGCAGTTTCAAAAACTTCCTATCTTAGTTGGGCATCTTTAGTGCTCAGTCATCAGTTGACATCAGAAATAATTTGATTCTATACATTTTTAATAGATTTTGGGATGATGGGCTTACTGAGTCAGAGAGAGCAACTGATGTAAGTTAAATAGCTTCTGGGCTTCATACCTGTGCCACACAAATTGCATTGTTAGAGTACCCCGACTTTTTGATAAGTGAATACCTAATTTCATGGCTGCCAATGCCAGCTACCTTTAATGGGTGTAGTGTATTCACACATATTATTAACTTGCTTGTGATGGTTCTCTTTTGTGCAGTTAAGCAGCTGCACGTTGGAACAGTTATTTCCTAAGACCGTTGTTAAGGCAGTTCCTTTCTTGGTTATAAAAATAAGTATTGATTAATTTTTGTTTACACTTTGTCAGATTTGTTCACACTAAACAGCTGCATGAGTTTATAACCAGGCATCTCAGGTTAGCTGGAATATGTTAGATATATTTTGCAGAAACAGAACATGCAAAACTGAAAGTATACAAGCTAATCATTAGTCTGCTATCTTTTTGTGGCAAGCCATATTTACATAATAAGACAAATATAACTAATATTGTTTAGTCTATGGATGCAATCACGGAACTGTGTGTTTTCTCATTGTATATTTGCATGGGAAATGTCACGTATCTAAAGAACTAAAATAACATACGTTGACATTCTTTCCTTCTCAAAACAGTTATTCATGGTTACATTTTATCTTCAGTCTTTATCCTAAAAGATAGCTATAATTGTATATTGGTTGGTGCTGAAAATAATTCAACTTCCAGAGAAACAATGTCTGCATCTCTGCCAACAATGCACAGGAGTGGGGGGGGGTGTCGCTTTGTGGCACCTGAATTCAAAATCCTATCCCTAATCTTGGTAAAGTTCTACCTATCTCCACCCCTTTCTTCCTACCCAAGAGAAATAGTGCAAATCATGAACTTCTAACTAATTGCTTAAATGTCCCTTGCTGTATTCTTGGGAAAGCTTTATCAGTTATATAAATGCTAGAATTCTGACCCTGCATGATAGAACGTAGAGTTTTATGACTTTGCATTGCAGGTGCTGTCTTCTCAATCAAACCGTGGCATATTTAGTAAACCTTTGTTCTCTCAACTAGTGGGACCAATTCTAAATGTTGTTGCTTTTCTACCAGTGCTTTTATCCCAAAGCATCTGCGCTTCTCTGTTCAAAATCTACATGTACTCAGTGGATGAACTCAGGACTACTATGAGATATAAATTACAAATCCACCCATCTATGATTCTATGAATCATTGTTCTTACTAGACAGTCTTGATCAAGTCACAGTTTTCCAGCCTTAGTTCTGCATTTGTAAAATGGGGGAAATATCCACTTGCTTCGTATAGTTGTTGTAGTAGGAGAGGGCTGTGCAGTACTGCTTCACTGTAAAAGCGTTTATGCAGTTGACTAGCAATTACAACAACACAGACAAAATGCTCATTATTGTGACAGGAAGCAACAGAGAAAAGACATGGTTCTTGTAGGAGCACCTGGCAATAAACTGTGTTTGTGGCTTTGCATATTGCTGTGAACCTTTCTCTTGCTGATATATAACGCCACTGCTTATATATCAGCACTGGTTATATGCCCAGGGCTGCCTGGGAATTCGTAGAAACCCAAAGATATTGTTACATACGCTTCAGGTTACAGACTCCGCTAACCCAGAAATAGTACCTCGGGTTAAGAACTTTGCTTCAGGATGAGAACAGAAATCGTGCGGTGGCGGCGCGGCAGCAGCGGGAGGCCCCATTAGCTAAAGTGGTGCTTCAGGTTAAGAACAATTTCAGGTTAAGAACGGACCTCCAGAAAGAATGAAGTAAGTAATCAGAGGTACCACTGTAGTGTAATTTGGCAGTTTGGACCTGCCACACCAAAAATCGAGTGGATACACACCAAAGTTACTTCTCCGTCCACTATCTCGATTCAAAATAGTGTCAAGCATCAAATAACACACACACACACCCCTTCTTTGCAAGAGACTTGTCTCAAAGAGCTACTCTGGAAAATTGCAATTGACATGGTGATAAACTTTTAGCATGTCCAAACACTAGCTTTTGACAGATTTAGGGGAGAGTGACTGGTTTGGTCACACCGGGCATGAAGCCTTGGGGGTGCCATGGGGGGCTGTAAATATGATTAGGATGGAGCACAAGGGGGGGGCAAATTTGGGTGTTGCACACCAATGTAATGGAGGCAGTGAAAGATTTTACTTTCTTGGGCTCCATGATCACTGTAGATGGTGACAGCAGTTACAAAATTAAAAGACGCCTGCTTCTTGGGAGAAAAGCAATTACAAACCTAGACAGCATCTTAAAAAGCAGAGACATCACCTTGCCAACAAAGGTCCGTATAGTTAAAGCTATGGTTTTCCCAGTAGTGATGTACGGAAATGAGAGCTAGACCATAAAGAAGGCTGATCGCTGAAGAATTGATGCTTTTGTATTATGGTGCTGGAGGAGACTCTTGAGAGTCCCATGGACTGCAAGAAGATCAAACCTATCCATTCTGAAGGAAATCAGCCCTGAGTGCTCACTGGAAGGACAGATCCTGAAGGTGAGGCTCCAAGACTTTGGGCACCTCATGAGAAGAGAAGACTCCCTGGGAAAGACCCTGATGTTGGGAAAGATGGAGGGCACAAGGAGAAGAGGACGACAGAGGACAAGATGGTTGGACAGTGTTCTCGAAGCTACCAGCATGAGTTTGACTGAACTGCGGGAGGCAGTGGAAGACAGGCGTGCCTGGCGTGCTCTGGTCCATGGAGTCACAAAGAGTCGGACACGACTAAACAACATACCAATGAAATTTGTGACCCCAAGGTCCTCCACTACTTTTGGTGGCTTGGTGCCGTGTGACTAATGCACCAGCATAGACTCAGCCAATGAGATCACTCTCCATCCCCTTAGCTGCAAGATTCCTTCATTATCCACTATGTATGAATTGTGATGTGTATCCTATTGCCTTTGACTTGGGAACAATCAGGCAGAAACATACATGCAAGTGAGGCATTCTTTGACTGCATTTCATCTGAAATAAGCCCTTGGACTCATGAAAGCTTATATGATGGATTAAATGGAAGACTATTGTGGATGGGATGGGTATACAAAAGGATCGTGAGAAAGGAGAAATAATAATGGAAACTAGCTTCAGAGAAAAAGTCACGGGTGACTAATGATATGAACCTAATGACCTGGAAATGGGTTTTGAATTATAAATTCCTTCCTCATTCTAACCGTAGACCCAAAGTCTACAGTAAAGTTAAAGTCCCTAAAACATTGTCAAAATGATTGAAACAAATTTAGTTTCTTTTAATTTTGAGAAACCCAGCTTTTAAAAAATCGGCACATGTATGTTCTATCCTGCCTCTCAGTTGTTTTCCATTCTTTGGCTTGCTTCTTTTTGCATATAAGGATTGGTCTTCTGCCTTCTGAAACTGTCGCAACTAATTTTGAGTCAGCCTGTGTATATTTTAATATAGCATTATTCAGAGGAAACGGGGGAATATGCATTCTCAATTGCATGATTCATCACTAGAGAGACCTAGCCAGATGCCACCCAACAGAATTCTTTTGAACAATGCCACTTAATGACAGATTTCTCATGTGGTCCAAGTGTCTTTCAAGAACATGAGCCAATATTTTCTTCTCGCCCCTTATGAAAGCAACCTTGTATAGTCATACAATGCAGCAGAATACTACTTGAAAGGAATAGTCTTGCTGGTATGGAAATTGTATGAGTTGTAGCTTGGAAAAGTACCTCTCAAATGTCAAACTTGGGGATGTCCCTAATATTTCAAACGACCCTGTATTAACATTGCAAAATACTTCATTCTGAATACATTTCTGTTCCACTGAGTTTTCCTAGTACTGACTTAGAGCCAAGCTAGACTTTGTTCCCACCAAGGGGGATGCTGTTGGAAATAAAATAGCCATACTTACACCTCTCCCTATCATATTATCTCTAGGACAATGGTTCCAAAACTCTCTCTCACACACCTGGGCCACTTGAAAATAGTTGAGAGTACTTGGCTGACCACTCACAATGTTTCTGCCTGTTGTAACTATGGCAATGCATTGGGTTAAATGCTGTAGGCTTTTAAAATTGCTTTTTTATTTCTTATATATTGCATGCTATTATATTAAGCCTGAAATTTGAGGAATTCAAATTGTAACGCCAAAAAATGCAAGATAAGAAACAGAAGAAACAATAAAATGCAATTAAAACCAATACGGATATTTAATGCCACCGATATGCCACCTCCTATAAAGGTAAGGGGAAACCTGACCATTATGTCCAGTCGTGACCAACTCTGGGGTTGCGGCGCTCATCTCGCTTTATTGGCCGAGGGAGCCGGCATACAGCTTCCAGGTCATGTGGCCAGCATGACTAAGCCGCTTCCGGCGAACCAGAGCAGCTCACAGAAACGCCGTTTACCTTCCTGCCGGAGCGGTACCTATTTATCTACTTGCACATCGATGTGCTTTCAAACTGCTAGGTGGGCAGGAGCAGGGAATGAGCAACGGGAGCTCACCCCATCGCGGGGATTCAAACCGCTGATCTTCTGATCTTCAAGTCCTAGACTCTGTGGTTTAACCCACAGCGCCACCCGCGTCCCACATGCCACCTCCCATATTCAACCACAAATCCACAGGTGCCCTGTAGACCACCTGGTGCAGCTCCTAGACCTAGACCATAGTTCGAGAACCCCTGTTCTAAGAGAATTTGCTATGTGATGCACTTTGACCACCCTGAGTTTCCTTGCCACAGTCAGTGGTAGCCAATGCCATGAAGCAAGGACAGAAAACTCTCTTTAAGTGGGAGCAGGGGGAAGTCCAACTTGCTACAACCAGTTGGATAGAAAAGCTCAGGCTCAGCAATAGTGGCCATCCATAAGCATTTATAAAGACTGGTTGGTGTGCGTGTGGACCATGGGTAGGCAAACTAAGGCCCGGGGGCTGGATCCGGCCCAGTCGCCTTCTCAATCCGGCCTGTGGACGGTCTGGGAATCAGCGTGTTTTTACATGAGTAGAATGTGTCCTTTTATTTAAAATGCACCTCTGGGTTATTTGTGGGGCATAGGAATTCGTTCATTATTTTTTTCCTTTTCAAAATATTGTCCGGCCCCCCACAGGGACCGGCCCCCTGCTGAAAAAGTTTGCTGGTCCCTGAACTATTATTGGATTTTTACTTGGATCGTTTCCTGTATCAAAATCAACAGAGAAGCAGTGGCTGAGGACTGCAATAGCCTGGGTACAATACTTAGTAACTTAAATTAGCAGGGGATTTTATTACCTTTTGGCACAATTAGTCACTTCCTCAGCCAGGGCTTTTGCCTTCTCAAGGAGTGTCCCCTGTGCTTTTACTACATTGCATATTCCTTCAGACAACTCAAGTTATCCTGTTCTTTTTAAAGTCTTCGGCGATTAACAGTTTTGTGCTATTTGTATATCTCCTTGTTCACAATGAAATGGACCTCTCTTAGCCCCGGTACGGCCTCTTGGATGCAATGCAGGCAGACACTGAGGAAATAATGTACCCTCCTTGAGCTTGCTTTAGTTTTGCTGCAACAGTTCGCTGCTGCAAGAGACTAACTCCGGGTCAATTTGAGAAGCAGCTTATTTCTTAGACCAGGGGTCAGCAAACGTTTTCAGCAGGGGGCCGGTCCACTGTCCCTCAGACCTTATGGGGGGCTGGACTATATTTTTTTGGGGGTGGGGGAATGAACAAATTCCTATACCCCACAAATAACCCAGAGATGCATTTTAAATAAAAGGATACATTCTATTCCTGTAAAAACACGCTGATTCCCGGACCGTCCGCGGGCCGGATTGAGAAGGCGATTGGGCCACATCTGTCTTAGACAGTAGGAAATGCTGTACAAAAAGTGTATGCAAGCAGAACTATTTCGGATTACAATGCCTAATTTATTTATTTTTTTGTAATTTTATGTCCACCTCTTTTTGTGGTGCAGGTACTTAAAAGTGGCTTACAGTTCAAGCTAGGATAGAGTAAGATGTGGGTAGGCAAACTAAGGCCCAGGGGCCGGATCCGGCCCAATCGCCTTCTAAATCCAGCCTGTGGACGGTCTGGGAATCAGTGTGTTTTTACATTAGAATGTGTCCTTTTATTTAAATTGCATCTCTGGGTTATTTGTGGGGCATAGGAATTCGTTCTCTCCCCCCCCCATATAGTCCGAGCCCCCAAAAGTTCTGAGGGACAGTGGACCGGCCCCCTGCTGAAAAAGTTTACTGGAGAACAAGAAGAACATACATTTAAAGAAGATTCGAAAGTGTTTGTTGAATATACGGGAGGAAATTGTGTACACTTGAAAACGTTGGCAACGTTCAGATAAACCCAGCAGTGTATACAAATTTTGGTTTAGTTTATGTAAAATATGCAGGGATTTATGATATGTAAATGAACCATGGAAAGACACACACACACACACACACACACACACACACACACAGTTAAAGCTACTATAAGTAATCTTTGTGTGTGCGCCTCATAGTTCCATGAAGGTACCTACCTAAAAAGTTGTTTTTAATTATGGAAACTTGGCAGCTGGGAGCACAGATTAGTAGTGTTAGCGCCATTCATGCCTCTCTTTGGGGACACTCAATTAAAATTAATCTGAAAAATATATATAAATGCTGCATTTCTTCCTCCTTGCAATAAATGATTTTTCTGGCAGTCTTGGAACTTGCCATTTCTTAGGATATGAGATTTTACAGAATCATACACTTATAAATTTACCATACCAGTCTCTTGCTCTGAGACCTCGTGTCGTGTTGTGATTTATTGTTCTTGAGGATGGTTAGCCTTCAAATGTAGCATTTTTGGTTTGACAAATACCTTTCAGTGGTGCTGCTTTCTATACAGAACTCATTTTCTTTGGTACTGTACTCTGTATTTATAAGATAAGAGCAATGCTTATCTTGGTGGGGAGGTGAAGAGTGTATGCATGTATATAATTATATTGATGTGGTCATAGAAAGTTTGCAATATTGTCTATTCTTAGCTGGCCTGGGAATGGCATTCTGACCACACAGTTCTCTGTATTTCTTCATAAGGTCTTCCAATGTTTAAATTTCTCAGGTATTTCTCTTGTTAAGAATAAGAAATTTGTATGCTTACAATGGGAATGGAATATATATATATATATATATATATATATATATATATATATTATATATTTCGTGCAATTCTTTTTGTATAATTTCTCAAGTTTTTATAATCCCCCCCCCCCCACTTTTATGAAACAAAAATATTTTAAAAGGAAACAAATGAAACGAAAGAGAAAAATGCTGGAAATATATCACATTCATAATTGGGTGTTGCATTACGTCATCTCAAATATTTTGGAGAATGTTACACTAGTATTTGATAAACGTTAGAAAGAGTTAGAAATGAATCTAGCTCTTTGATACTGTACTTAACTCACAATGTCTTATCAGGCCTAGTTATTACGTATTCTCATTAGACCAAGCCTGTACAGTGGTACCTCAGGTTAAGAATTTAATTCGTTCTGGAGGTCCGTTCTTAACCTGAAACTGTTCTTAACCTGAAGCACCACTTTAGCTAATGGGGCCTCCCGCTGCCGCTGCACCGCCGGAGCACAATTTCTGTTCTCATCCTGAAGCAAAGTTCTTAACCCAAGGTATTATTTCTGGGTTAGCGGAGTCTGTAACCTGAAGCGTCTGTAACCTGAAGCGTATGTAACCCGAGGTACCACTGTATAGTGGATTGGATTCTTCCACTTCCTGAATGGGGCTTTTCTGCAGCCGTCTTTCCATTACTGCTGTCTGAGCCCACTAAAAAGCTGTGGAAAGCAGTATAGGCGGCTGCAGCAGGGAAATAAGGTTGTTGAAAAGCAGGGAAGGGGTGCCTTGCACAAAGCAAAAGCACCTTCAGCTCAGGGCAAGAGCAGCTTCGAATCTACCCTAATAAATACACCGCAGCCTTTCCATTGCACAAGCAGGAAACTCTCTTATAAGACACTCCAGAATTGACTTCCACAATTACCATTAAAGCGCCTTTAATGGCGTGTAGTTTTTATCATAAAATAGCAGAAGGAGGCTGAGATAAGGAACTGAAAGTGACTGTTTTTGTTTTACGGACTGAAATGCAAAGGGAAAAAGGAACTGTGGAAGTGCTGCCATTTTATCATTCCAGCGATTTAGTTTATTTCCCTGCTTCTGCATACTGGAGATTTATTTTATTTTATTTTTTAAGATCTTGGCTTTCTGCTCGCCTGGAGGTTGTTTTAAGGCATAGCCACTTTGCCAAGGGGGGAGTGAGAGGAGAGAATCCTAATCCCATTTCTTAACTGTTTGCAGAGACTTAGCCAGTGTACTTAGGATAGTTGCATAGTGAGCTGTAACTGATTATATTGGGTCAAGGCAGCTTATTTTGGTGCGTGTTTGCCTGGCTAGGTAGGCTGACGTGGTTGTGATAAAATTGAAAAATGTACATTTTACTGCCAGTGGGAAGCAACCAGAACTTCTGTTCTATTGCACCAAGGCTGCTGGTAATCGTGTTGGGAAACTTGATAACAAGGCTGTCCGTCAGCATTGTTTATGTACTCGGATAAAAGATATGTTATTAGTGCCTCAGAGAATCGCACTCTTGCTGTGGGCAAAGGAAATAGGCTGCCTCTATAAAAGGCTGTCTAATTCAGTTCAGAGTTGAAGCTGGCTGTTTAGAGTTGAAATTGGATTGTCGAGAGGAGAAGTGTTGAAAGTGTTCCAGGCGACACTGATACATCTCACAGGCTTATTGGTGGATCATCAAGGAGACAAAGTTAGTGTTAAAAAATATTCCTTGGAGGAAGAAACTACAGAAGACCATTCTTTCAGACAATGTTGGCTATATAAAAAAGCAATTCAAAAACTGGCTTTGTATTCGTTTGCAGTTCTGACAAGTGGAAATCTGAAAAGGTCTGTGGTTGTCGTAGGCTACAACATAACCCAGGAACCAGAGCTGTAAACTGGAGCATATTTCTTTTGTGATCTGTTTGGTTTTGCGGTGAAATAGATTCAGAGGTGGTTTTTAAGAAATGCTGAAGCTATATTGATGTCTACAATGACATGCAACTTAAAACAATTAACCACATTGTAAATAGTATACAGTGAGGGAAATCCCACTATGAACTATTAATAGTTAAGCCACACTCTTTGCCATTGGAGTTTCTATTTCATATGTAACAGGCTAACCCTCGTGGCAGGGATAAGGTTTTGTGTGTGTGTGTTAGGTAGCTCAGTACTGCCAGAAATTGCATTTGATGAGCCATTCGACAAACCGGGGCACTAACCCCTTTAAGGTATGCAATTTTGTGGAGTTGTTTGGCATTAATATATGCCTCTTTCATAAATTTATTTGTTACAAATATAAGCTGATCCACGTGCCAGTTGAATCCTGTGGGGTAGGGGAAAACTGATTTGTTGAAAATAACTTATTTGTATGTTTTAAAGTTAAACAACTCAAACATTCAGAGCAGAGCAAGATTTAATGCTCTGCAACTTTTAGCTGTTTTGCAACTTTATTGTTTGCAAAAAGATAAAAGCACATTTTCCTTAAGATTTAAAACTCGAGGTTTTCATGCCATGTAAAATTTAAAGAATGACTAAAATAGAGTCACTTTTTATTACTATGGAGTGTTCTAGCTCCACATTGCTTCTATATGTGGGAACATCTGCCCTTTCCATTTTTGTGAAGCCTCTTTGATCTTTCCTTTCGTTCCTGTTAAGAGCTTGACGGCTTCTTTCTTCCTAACATGTGCGGTGGTCTTCCTGCTGTTATTCAGAGACTCATGCATTGAACAAATGCATGGATCTTATCAAAAGCTTGCTGCTGAATAATGCACATTTGCTTGCTAGAAACTTGATTCTGCATGACAACTTTGAGCTATTAATCATTTTAAAAGAAAATAGATATAGTTCTATGTTTTAAAGTATACACGGTTATTTCATGACATGGGTAAGGTATTCCTTTCCCTAGTCCTAACGTGAAGGATGTTTAAACTACTGTGACATATTGAGAGGCATAATCCTCTATGTGTGAAGCATGAAGCAATTTATATCAGAATATTAATCCTATACAGTATAATCATAGTTAACATGATGACTAAAGGGGGAGAAAGAGAGAGTTGTAATGTGGTTATAAATTGACACATGTACTAAATGGTTTCAATGGCCAGGATCCTGACTAATTGTCCACAAATGGAAGAGCTACTTCGATCCAATGTACGATCCTAACAGTAGAAGAGGAGAGGCAGATTTCTCCAATTTCTTCTTTCTCCCCTGCAGTCCCTCTTGCTGCTCAGAGGGACCCCCATCCCTCTGAAGATGGTGGGGCAAAAAGGGCTTCAGAGGGAAGGGAGAATCAGTGAAGATTGTCACCCCAGCCTCCTCTTATGAGTGGAACTCTGCTCAGGGGATGCTCTTGCCAGCAGAAGCCTACTTAGGGCACATGAGGGATGCGGGTGATGCTGTGGTCTAAACCACTGAGCCTCTTGGGCTTCCCATTCAGAAGGTCAGCTCTGGAAGAATCAGGCTTTGTACCAAAGCACCCTAGCTCAGCTGAAGGAGCACTTTGACATGAAGGATCTTGGTGAGGTATCCAACTATCTTTCTCTGCAGGTAGAGAAAGACCAGGCAGGAAATTTTCTGGTACACCAAACACAGAAAATTGCTAATGTACTAACCAGGCTGAATTTGGTTGATTCAAATCCTATGGACACACCAATGGTAACAGATTACCAGGTAGATGGTACTGCTGAAGCATTTTCTGACACTACACTGTACAGATGCATTCTAGGCAAACTGAATTTCATTGCTAGATGTGCAAGACCTGATATAGCTGTAAGCACTAATATGCTTAGCAGATATGCTAACAATCCTGCTGTTCAGGATTGGAAAGCTCTCAAACCCATAGCACGCTATCTGAAGGGCACTTTGCACTACAGACTGAGGTTCACGAGTCAGAAGACTGGAGGTCTTGAAATCTTTGCAGATGCTAGTTTTGGAAGTGACACCACTGATGGTACCAGCACTTCTGGAGTGTGCTACATGTACAACCACTGTCTGTTTGACTGGCTGTGCAAGAAGCAGATGACAGTAAGCCTAAGTTCCTGTGAAGCAGAACTCAATGCCCTGTCATTTTCACTCCTGGATTGTGAATGATTGATGAAACTGTTTCAGAATGTCAGAGTCAATGTGACATGTCCTTGATACAGGTGTATCAAGATAACAGATCCTGTTTGGCTTTGCTAACCTCAGAGAGTTGCAAGCAAAGAACCAAATACTTGCAGATAAAGTTACATCATTCAAGGGAATGTATCCAGAAAGGACTCATTCAGGTGTCCTACATGCCAGGAAACGAAATTCCTGCAGGTCTGTTGTCTAAGGTTGTTAACACAGAACAACTTAAGGTTTATGTACAGCGGTTGCAGTTGGGTCGAAATATGTTGACACAGGTTACACGGAAAGGGGGAGGATGTTGGGATGTTCCGTTCCACCTTAAGGAATGATTGTTGTGTGTCACATGCCTGTTTACACTCCAGCACAGCTTGCTGGGAACTTCCATTTGTGTATAGCTTTTGCTTAGGCTGTTTTGCTTTGGACACAAAGGAAATTGGACATGTTTCCTCTGTCCTGATGTATGCTAAATAAACTGCTTGTAAATATGCTCACACAGCCTCTCCTGCCACTTCTGTTTGCATGTTATCTCTGCTGAGTAGAGCGTGCCCTAGCTTTTGAAGTTCAGGTCACTGATTCAAGGACTGGAGTTTGTCCGGCACACCAGCCGGTGGGATGGAGCCAGCTGGGGGCCTGCCGATTGCCCCTGCTTCCTTGGTTGTATGCCAACAAGCGGTTCAAATCCTGGCAACCAGGTGAGCTCCCGTTGCTCTGTCCCAGCTCCTGCCGGCTTAGCAGTTCGAAGGCACGCCAGTGGAAGTAGATACAATAGGTACCACTGTGGCGGGAAGGTGAGCAGTGTTTCCGTGCACTCTGGTTTCCATCATGGTGTTCCATTGTGCCAGAAGCGGTTTAGTCCTGCTGGCCACATGACCCGGAAAGCTGTCTGTGGACAAACACCAACTCCCTTGGCCTGAAAGCGAGACGAGCGCCGCAACCCCATAGTCACCTTTGACTGGACTTAACCGTCCAGGGGTCCTTCACCTTTTACTTAGGGTACAATACATTCTGTTTGCCTTAGGTTCACATGTTTTTAATCTTAAACCTACTGATTTCTTTTTTAAAAAATCTGGTTAACAACTTGGGCACATGGGTATTATTAATTTTTTTGCACTGCTCTTTGCATCTCTTGGTTGGTTGCACACCTTGTGCTTTGCATAGCTAACCTTCGTCATGTCGTTTCCTTCCACCAGATGCATTCTGTTGCAGGCTATATCATTTTGGTACAGTGCCATAGCTAAAGATACAGTTGTAGGCTTAGTTTGAAATAGCACTTTCTGCTATTTTCACTGGAATACACATCTTTTGACTGGGTTCGCTGGAATCTATCTGCAGTGGCCTTTTCATGCATGCAAGGCAGTTAAGAGTTGAAGGATACATATGTAACCTCTCCCTTCCTTTCAACTCAGTGGTTATAAGGGTGGCAGATTAGGTTAAGAGTTCATGTTCTTAATTACCACTTGCCTTGCACAAATACTCTTTCCTCTCCCTGTTTTAACTGAGGAAATACTCTTACTTAAGTTGCTTCACCTTGTTCGGTAGGTGTGGTTTCTTTTTTCGAATTGCACTGTGCAATCTAAAGTCACAAATTCAAGTACAGATCAGCTTGCCTAGACAGCAGTTTTCGAAATTAGCCAGTCGTCAGGCACATCTTGCACCTGGCTATCAGCTGCTTGCAACCAAGAGAAGATGTCTAGGTTCCAGGAGGGCACCTAACCATAGTTGTCAACTTTTCCCTTTTTAAAAGGGAAATTCCCTTATTCCAAATAGGATTCCTCGCAAGAAAAGGGAAAAGTTGACAGCAATGCACTTAACATGTCCACAATCTGGAGTTTCATGCCTGGGGAATCATTGGACCTGGACTGTTTGCACACACTAAGACCACATCCTGTAGAATTCTGTCAGTTAGATTTTATCTGCACAGTCCGAATGAATTTCAGGAACCAAAAGGCTTTTTCTGAGCAGGAGCAGTTTATGACATTATAATTAGTTGCTGTAGCTTGTCTTCACTTACCCCACCCTACTGCCCTGCTCACAGTTGGGGGGCGGAATTCACGTTATGAATGGTCCGTGTCACCATTAAGAAAATGAGGTCGGAATAGGCCAGTGTATATGTGGACTGTCCCTGCTTCAAGTGACTTTTCTTCTTGCAGTTCTCAAAGCTCTTAACCTGGCTCAAGGTTGTCCTCTGAACTAGCAGGATGTTTAACTCATAATCAGTCACAGTCAGTCCATCATTTGGAAGATAAGACTTTAGAGCCGTCTTGCCCCAAAATAGCAACTAGGCATTCCGTTTCACCGATTATAACTTTGGTTTAATGACCCATTTGGCACCTAGCTTACATATCTTGAGTTTCTAACGCTGGCTCTAAGACTTTGAGGAAGGGAATCACAAAACCAACCAAAGAGCAAGAGTTACGGTGTTACATGCAAATGTATACAAGTCTTGCCAACCATTTCCCCCCTAGTTAAAAAGCGGTGTCAGGAGATTAAAGGTGCAACACAAACTTGGAGTTGGGACTTGTGTCTCAGCATTTGCTGATTCAAGCTGGAATAGAATTGGGAGAAGAAAAATGGACCATGGAGAAGAGATCAAGTGGCCAGTCTGCCAACAGCAATCCTGTGCTCAAGTCAGTGCTGGACAAGGAATGAGTGGCTTTTCCCTACACCAGAGGTTTTCAGCCTTTTTGGGTCCACAGCTCCCTTGACCAACTACATTCTTTCTACTGCACCCCTGTGGGGCTCAGGAGCCCAGTTGTGCCACCCTTTGCCTGCAGAACTTGCAGCCTCTCAACCTTTTTCAAACACCCTCCCTTGTGGAGTGTTCCCTCAGCCTCCTCTTCCCTCTCCTTGGGAGTCCTCTGGGCAGCCCCAGGGGCCACTCCTGGTCTCTGAACTGCCTCCCCCTGCCCCAAAGAAAGGTGCCACCTCGCAGTGCCCACAGGGTCCTGGGAAGCATAGAAATTCTCTCTCCCTCCCCTGTCCAATATTTAGTTGACAAAGGTTGTTGAATCCAGGGGTGATCTTGTCAAGGCACCTGATTTTTGTTGATCCTTCGTACCCAGTGCAACTCCCTGTGATTCCCAAAACCTTCTCCTCTAGGATGGTATCAGATATGGCACAAAAGGCTGCAGATGATAGGAGAGACTGGTGAAAATTGGATTCCTTGTTTACCACTACTGGAAGTACTTCTGCTAGCGGAAAGCTACCATTTGATACAAACCAGCGGCAATATTGCCCAAATGGAAGCCACAATAAATATAGTTTGTATGGTTTTATTGAGGTCTTGTACAACTGCATCTCGAATTAGTTGATGAAGAGTGGGCCACCAGATTATGAACTAACTCTGCTCTGCCTTTTGGGTATAGTCGATGAGCCAATTCTGAACTGGAAAATGTTCTGCTTGCCACAGCCGTTTCTTTCACAACACGAAGAAGGTAATCTCTTTTGTAAAGACAGATAGCCAAAATGAGTTCACTGCCCTTTCGTTTTAAGCTGGAGCAACCGTATGTTGATTGGCGTTGTCTGTGCTGATGTTTACTCTTGTCGGACTTTTGTCTAAGCCAAGTCTCCTTACCTCTGGAAGGACATGGTGACACAGTAGATAACTGTGGCCTTTTGAGTTGGTTGCTGCTTCCTCCCACCCCTCTCTTTTTCTCCCAAATTCAGAATGGGCGGGCACCGTGCCCTCTGTGTGTGTCAATACAGCTGCCTTTTTGCCCTTGGACGTTGGAAGACAGATCATTAACGTATGTCTTGCTTCTTAACTTTTAAAGTGAGAGCTGGTGTGGGCAGCTGCCATGGAGCTACATTGGTACATTCAAAATGGCTGCCTGTATGGCCTCATCCTTTTCTGCCCACTAAAGGGCTGCTGAGAGAGGGAGAAAGCTGCAAGTATAGTGCTATGGCAGCTGGCATCTCTAGAGATGGGTGCCAACCATAGCTCTTTGGCAGCAGGTGCACACAGGAAGGCAAAAGAGAAGGGATGTTTTCCCACTTGATTGGTCCAACATAAAAACCAGCTGAGGCAGCCTAAAATAGCAACAACCTTTTTTTGCTACTGCTGCATCACACTGTTGACGCACGTTAAGCTTGTGGTTCACCAAGACCCCAAGATCCTTTTCACAGGTACTGCTAGCAAGCCAAATGTCCCCCATCCTATATTTGTGCATCTGGTTCTTCCTGACTAAGTGCAGAACCCTATTCCCTATTGAAATTCATTTTGTTAGTTTGGGCCCAGTTCTCCAATCTGTTAAGGCCATTTTGAATCCTGATTTTTGCCTTCTGTGGCATTAACTACCCCTCCTAGTTTGGTGTCACCTTCAAATTTGAGGAGCGTCCCCTCAATTCCTTCATCCAAATAGTTTATAAAGACATTGAACCCAGCACCATGACCCAGCTCTGCTCCGTCCTGAAACAAACGAGAACTTTGGGCTTCTACCAGCCCTTATGCTATCTCCGTAATAGAGGCGTTTAGCTGCCTGCACTGTTCAGAAATGGTTTGAGGCATTGGTGAACTTGAAGCTACACTGCAGGGTATCAAGAAAGTGGTTTGTGCCACTGAGACTTTAGTGAAAGGGAAATGGACTTGGAATCTTGTTTCCTCTCACGGATAAAGTATGATGGCCAAATGGTGTATGGCTCTGGAAATACTTCATACAGTAAATGTAAACTTAAGGTGTTAAATATTGTCGATGTGGTTTGAGTCCTGGAAACTCTGTCCAAATATACTGGCCGTGTAACAAAGCAAATGAATTTTGGTCTCGAACGAGGAACAGAATAGAGAGAAAAACAATTTGCTCCAGGTCCTGTTTTATTCTGATTAGCCAGTATCAAAAAGCACCTTAGCAGCAAACAGAACTAATATCCTATATCAGGGATGTCCAACCAGTCGATCGCGATCTAGATCACTGCCAGTTTTTTTTATAGTGGGAGTAGATCGCAGTCTCTTGGAAGTTGGACGTGTCTGTCCTATATAATTGTTGCTGTGAGGTGTTAGGCAAAACCTTGATAAGTCTTCAACCAACTCATAACAGAATGGGAAACAGAAATGTCTGAACACGCAACCATGGCAAAGCTTACAGTCTTATTTCAGGGGGAAAGAAGGAAGACAGGGGTTTACTATATTTAGGCAGAATTGGGCAATGTTCATGGAATACCGGTGTAATTTAAGTTGTGTTCTAAACCACCAAAATATTTATTTGAGGTGATTTAGGATTGTTTGCAATGCTGCCTGTGTGTGAGCAGAATGGATTTTTACTTATTTGGGTGTGATTCATGCTCTGCACCCTGAAGTGGTTTGGCCCAAGACGCAGGTTAATGTTGGTGGGAACTGGGCCCTAAGAGTGAAGCATGATGCTAAGTATGGGAACAATGCAAAAGGAGTTTTTTTGCACAGATGCAGGCGGAAAGAGGAAGTTAGGAGAAAGGGTAGTGAGAGGTTTTGGGGGTGTATGAGAGAGAAAGCAGGGCAGGCGAGGAAATCCACCATCCCAAGGCTCAGAGAGCAGTGCTCAGCCATTTTTGGTTTCAATTTTAGTTTCTCATTTTTCCAGTCTTCCCTCAGTTCTCCCTCCACCTCATCTTTAGCTTTGGTTCAGCACCTTAGAAAGACACTGAATTGAGGCTTCTTATAGCCACAAGTCCCGGCAGACCCCTGATAATAGGAATGTACAGGAGCTCTTCCGAAATGGATGGTGTGATTGACATTGTGCTGGAAGCATCTCAAGCATCTGGTGGTGATAACGAGGCAAGTTTTGCTGGGGATTACCGTATTTTTCGCTCTATAAGGCGCACCAGACCATAAGACGCACCTAGTTTTTGGAGGAGGAAAACAAGAAAAAAAATATTCTGAATCTCAGAAGCCAGAACAGCAAGAGGGATCGCTGCGCAGTGAAAACAGCAATCCCTCTTGCTGTTCTGGCTTCTGGGATAGCTGCGCAGCCTGCTTTCACTCCATAAGACGCACACACATTTCCCCTTACTTTTTAGGAGGGAAAAAGTGAGTATTATAGAGCAAAAAATACAGTATTTTATGGCTTTTGAGTCCGTTTGCTGCTTTTCGGCCGTAGTGTTTTAAAGTAGGAGTTGATCTGAAGCTGCAAAAATAAACAGCCTATTGTGATTGAACATCTAAGAGTGACCGAAGTTACTGTTCAGGGGATTGCAGAAACTGGACCTTGTGGTTTTGATTTGCTGTTGTAATTTTGTTGCAAGGATGGAAGAAAGAAGGGTTCAGCTTGCACAACAAAGCTATTCCGGTGGAGGCAGAGCAGTCGCGTCCATTTTAGCACATGGCTTTCCATGAAATAACTCGGAGATCTATGATCACAGAGATTAAAGCATTTCCCCTCCTGAATGGCCCTCTTTTGCTCTGTTCCTGAAGGAATAGACTCCCTGCACTACTATTGCAAGAGGCAGTAGCCCTACCCAACCCAAGTATTACAAATCTCTTTCTGAATGTGGTGTTCCAAAGCAAGGGCTAAGGGTAGAGTGGGGAACTTGTGGCCATTCAAATGTTCTTGGACTACAAGTCCCATCAGGCTCAGCCAGCATGACTTTCAGTCTGGAATGAGATGAGATGAGTTGCAATCCAGCAACATTAGGAGGGCCACAGGTTCCCCACCTGTGCACTAAGGAGGCCTGTTCCTGGTTGCATGCTAAAGTGTGAGAGGAAGTCCTGCCTTGTTTTTTCTCAATAAAAGTAGCTTCAAGAAGGGTGCAGATTTGAGCACAGGATTGCTGTTCGCAGACTGGCCACTTGATCTGTTCTCCATAGTCCAGTTTTCTCCTCCCAATTCTGTTCCAGCTTGAATCAGCAAATGCAGAGACACAGGTCCCAACTCCAAGTTTGTGTTGCACCTTTAATCTCCTGACACCGCTTTTTAACTAGGGGGGAAATGGTTAGCAAGACTTGTATACATTTGCATGTAACACCGTAACTCTTGCTCTTTGGTTGGTTTTGTGATTCCCTTCCTCAAAGTCTTAGAGGCAGCGTTAGAAACTCAGATATGTAAGCTAGGTTGCAAATGGCTCCTTAAACCCAGTCACCAAAATGGAACTTCTCATTGCCATTTTGGGGCAAGATGGCTCCAGTGTCTTATTTTTCAAATGAATGACTGACTGGGATTGATTCTCAGCTAAACATCTGGTTAGTTCAGAGGACAACCTTGAGCCAGGTTAAGAGCTTTGAGAACTGCAAGAAGAAAAGTCACTTGAAGCAGGGGCAGTCCACATATATATTGGCCTATTCCGACCTCTTTTTCTTAATGGTGACATGGACCACTCATAACGTGGGAATATTTTCCACAACTGTGAGCAGGGCAGTGGAGTGGTGTAAGTGAAGTCAAGCTACAGCAATGAATTATAATGTCATTCACTGCTCCTGCTTAGAAAAAGCATTTTGGTTCCCAAAATTCATTCGGATTGTGCAGATAAAATATAAGCCCAGGCATCTTCACTTGGTCTCAAGTGGCTAATAGGTGCAAAACGCGCCTGGTGCCTGGCTAATTTTGAACACTGCTTAGAGCAGGAGAACATTTTGCCTATGTGGGCTGGATCCTTATCAGACCCTAGTCAGTGGGGGCAGATTTTACAAGTAGGTCTGGTCCAGAAGTCAGGACTTAAGAGGTTGCCAAGAGTTCCCATGGGGAACGTTTTCGCACCGCCAATCCATCTGCTAGGGCCAATGCCTGTTGTCCTTTGCCAATGCACAATTAGGAATGCACTTTAAGGCTTCCAGTTGTGCACTGACAACTGCATCTGTACCTTCCCAATACTAGACATCACATATGCTCAAAGGTGTGGGGCAGGTAAGCATGGTTTGGGGAATGCAGCCTTGCAGGCAATGTTTGAATGCCTGCCAGTTTGACTTGCAAGCCAAAGTTTCCTCACCTGTGCTGTTGAGAAGCTCAAGGTGATATGTTAACGAGCCTCCTAGGATAAGGCTATAACTGGTGATATTGACTTGCAACATCCATGCCTTTAAATAGTGCAATTTGATCACAAATGCAATGTATGTTTGAGAAGAGAGAAAAGGGTATTGTAGAAACACTAAGCAGAATGAACTGTCTTACGATGTATTTTGTTAAAATTGCTTTTTTATGATTATGGGCAGAGCTTTATTTGTTTTTTTGCTCTGTTATAACAGATTGTGTGCAATCTTATCTTTTTCTCCATAGGCTTCACCTGGCCTGCAAGACATTCTTAGGTTTGCAGCTTAAATGAAGCACTTTAGCACTACGCAAGTTTATAAATGTACTTTAAACCTTCCCGAAAAAGACACCCCAAATCATTAACTTTTCTGCTCAGTGACCTGTTCTCAGCTTTGTTTGTTTACTAGAAAAACCAAGAACAAACAGTGACTGCATTCTGACATTGTGTATTTACTTTACCAAAATAAACTCCAGGCGAATTCATAATCTGAAGATAAATGTGCAAATAACAGCTTGTTTGGTTTGGATGCAAAGATGGCTGGACTACTTTTGCATAGCTGGCCAAAGTCTTTGTGAGCTAATATATCAAAACTCCCCGTGAAAGGTCTTTTATGACTTCTGGGATGACTGCAGCAGTAATACTTGCTGCCTTTTGAAAACCAGAAGGCCACAACCCTACCCTTTAGATCGTATGGTCAGATAACATGTACAAGTTTTTTGTATATACAAATCGTACAGTCTGGGCAACGAAAGGTCATGGCTGTGTACAGTCAGCATAACCTCCCCAGTGTGCTGGCAGAACATGGTTGTGTTGTGAATTGACGTGGCATAGAATTTGTGCTCTGCCCGTGTCACCATCCCTATTTTGGCTGCTCTGCCTCTGTATTTTCTCTGGCAGAGCAGCTGTGTTGATGGTGTATCCCTACAGCACATTGGAGACTTCTGAACTGCTGGTAGAATATATTGCGTTCCGCTGCTGGGCTTCTGCTGAGATCCTAGAACTCTTCGGCTGATGCAAACTCAAGGATAAGATTGCACTCTGATATTTTATTTGCATCAGTTTTAAATTCACCCTTTCTGTGTGGAGATTTGAAAAGATGATTCTGCCGGCAAAATTTCAAAATACGGTATGCATTTTGGAATGAATGCTCTTCTTTCAAAACAAAATGTTAAGTATAAATACAATATTATAAGCTTGAAATTGGTCTTGGAGAATGGAATAGTTTTGCATTAACAGTTTCTTTTCAGTTCAGTTGTAAAAGGAGGAAGACTAAAATCTTGCTTGCTAACATTCTGTCGATTCAGTTAAATGCAGACTATGTTCTTACCCTTATAAGAAACCAAGTGTTTACACTAGCAATGAATGCTCCCTCTTCGCTGCTGCCTCCTCCTCCTTTTTTTCTTCTTCCTTTTTCACATGCTGTTTACTTTCAGAGCCCTGGCTTATGTTTGCGGTTTTCCATTTTCTGTCAAGCTGCATTGGTAGAGATAAAAGCGATCTTCGTTCTGCAAGTTGTCTTATATCTGTTTTACGGACTATCTGCCTTTTTCAGATATGTAGCTGCGGAAAACACTCGGGGCCACTCGGGGCAAAATAAACTAACGTGAAAAAGTCTTGTGTTTTCCAACTTAGTGTTCAAGAACATAGGTTGTTCATGGTGGATTCCCCACCCCACCCTTCCAAAATGATTTTTTTTCATTATGATTTGACAATATGCCAGTAACAAAATATGCAATAATTTACTGGCCAGTGAAGTTAAAAAATAAATAAAAAATCTTCAGTTCTTTGGGCAATTTATTTTCACCACCATTTAAAGGAAGGTAGGGGAAGGGATATTTTGACTGTGTCTGAAGTAGTAGTTCTTTTTAAGAATAACTCTGGTTTTGTTTCGTTTTAAAATACTTTTATTAACCAATTTTCACATAACAATTTGTCAATCCTCTTAATCAATTACGTTATTTTTCCCCCTTCCCCCCCTCAACCCTCTCTCTCCCCCTCACCAAGGACTTCCCTCAGCTCCCCTCCCTGATTTCTTTACATATATTGTTTTCTGCATGTTGTAAAATTGTACGTATCCTTACTTTATCTATCATATGTTCAGCTAATGAATTTGTGAATGTTTATTCAAAACCTGCCACAGAGTCCAGTTCATTTTGTTGCCTTTTAGATAGTTTGTAAAAAGTTCCCATTCTTCCTTGAAGTAACCGTTGTCCTTTTCACGCAGCTTATATGTCAGTTTGGCCAATTCCGCATAGCTCATCAATTTTTCTTGCCACAGTTCTTTCGTTGGGATTTCTTTGTTCTTCCATCATTGTGCTAACAAGACTCTTGCCGCTGTTGTAGCATACATAAATAAGTTCTTTACTTTTATTGGCAGGTCTTGTCCTACAATAGGATAACTCTGGTTTTTATTTAGTTGTGGCAGTCTTCTTCTTCTTCTTCTTCTTCCTCCTCCTCCTCCTCCTCCACGCACACACAACTCAGTCCCTGCTCTGCCTACGTAAGCCCTGCCATCAGTTCTGATAGCTGAATGGAACCATATTCTGAGGCAGTATGAGATGCTTGGGAACATTGGTGAATGTTGTTCTGCCCCCACCTCCGTGCTTGCAGTGTTTCTGCCGCTTAAATACTGAACTAACCCGTCCCCCCATTAAATATAGTTTAGGCAATATTGTAGTGAGCTCACTAAATCATCATGCTGTTATAAGCACCAAGATGCTACTCCATTTCACAGCTTCATAGAACTCCTGAAGTTTACGTTGCAAATGCCTCAAACTTTGGCAAATTGCTCAGTATCTGACTATTCAGATATAGTTTAGTTGCATAACCATTCTTTTGAGAACTCAAATACTGGTTGAAGGGAAGTCTTGAGTACAATACATATGTATCATATCAGTTAATGAAGGATGTACACTGGTTTTTAACGTGGCTTATTTCCTTTTTTAAAGAACACAAAAGCAGGAGCCTAATCCTTTCCTACTTGCTTCTGTAGTTTATAAGGAAGGAGGTCTTTGTTAAAATGACAAAGTGAGCCTGCCAGAAATCCCTACTCGAATTATTTAGATTAAACTTCCCTTTGATAGTTTCACTTATTTTGAATCCTACAGATTTATCCCATTAGACATACAAAATATTTCCAGATTTCAAGAAAGAGCAGTCAGGGAAATGTGTTGACCTTTGGGATGGTATATAGACTCTCCAAAAGAATTACAAAAACGTAAGATAATGCTAGAGCACGATTGCAATCTTAGTTTAACCCACTTATCAAGTTATAGTACTTTAACTGAATGTCCTTTTCTTGAAGATCTGCTTTTAACCGTTTCTTTGCGGGTTTTTCTTTTTGTTTTTTTTACGTTTGCGCAACTAACGTCTTGAGGATTAAGATTCTTGTTGAAAGATGAATTTGGAAGTTTTCTGGGGGTGGAAAACTAGAAATCATTTCTCTGTGCTTTCTGAGGGAAATAAGAAAAGCTGATATCAAAGGGGAAATGTTTCCTTGGTCCCAGGATTAAATAACAGTGGTGATGATGATGATAATGATATTATTATTATTATTATTATTATTAATAATAATAATAATAATGTGGACAACTAAATAATCAGGATTTTGCCAGCTTTGAAAACAACAGAAAGCATAGCTTAGTGTAGTAATAAAGAATACAGAAACACATTTCAATGACTTTGTAAAAGTTATTTGGGGGTTTTTCGGGGTGTGTGTGTGTTTGTTTTTTGCAATAGAGTTGTCTAATTTGAGGAAGTTAAGCCAAAGAGGATCTAAACCTGGGTGCTATTTTTGTCTGGGCTACCTTTTTAATGCAGAAATGAAACTTCTGAATCTGGAAATTTTGTTAAGTAGAACGAGCTTGTTCAGGAAGTGGAGAATAAGAATTCCCTTAACTTTCTGCAACTTGGCACGACCAGAGCCTGCACCTCTTCAACAAACAGCAGTGGTCTGTCTTGGTTTGTTTTACCATTTCTCCACCATGACTTTCAGAAGTTGCTTCCACAGCATTGTGGGATGAGAGTTCTAGAACAGTTTCTAAAAGAAGGCACTGTTTCCACTAAGTGGTTTCAGAAAGCCACTTCAGGATTTGAATGGATGGTATTAAGCAACGCCTTCAACAGTGCTCTCTGTTTGCTTGTAGAATTCTTGAATTTTTAAAAACAAGTGGGTGATGTCGGGTTTTCAACATTGCAGTGTATCGCCAGCCAAACATTGTGGTTTGGCGATATACCTTGATGTTGAGAAAAGCTGCATTGGCCCCAGCTGGCGAGATTCTGGGTGAAATTGTCGCAGCTCTCATTGTGGGAGCTGAGGTGCTTTCGTCCCAGCGCCTTGCGGGCTGTGGCCAATACTGCTGGCCCCAGCACGCTGCTCAACCGGGGGGCAGAAAGCCTTGTGCTAGTCCCCATTTCTCCTCCTAACCTACCTCACAGGGTTGTTGGGAGGATGAAACTTCGGGGGGAGGGGAGAAGGAGTTTTGGAGCTTGTTGTAGAGAAAGGCTGGGGGGGGGAGAACCCCCAAATCTTCACTGTCATTCCAAATCAATGCAACGTACTCTATATCTTCTTTAAAAATGTAACTAACATTTTTTCTTTGTGGATTTCTTTCAGGCCAAAGCTGTGAACCTTAGAATGTCATGATGGCTTGCCTTACGGTGACAGAAATGGAAGTCCCGGCCTCATCTACTCTTCACCAGAATGGTGGCGTCCTTGGGAATGCGGCTGTTTCCACGCACACAGAGCCACTGCTTCGAGTTTACTTGTATCATTCCCAAGGAAAGATGGACGGCGATTATCTACAGTTTCCAGCAGGAGAGTACATTGCAGAAGAGATCTGTGTTGCTGCTTGTAAAGCCTGTGGTAAGATCACACACCCTGTTTTCTGACCGACGGAACCGTTTCAGCCTCACTTTTCTGGGATTTGGCAAGAAAACACAGATCAGAATGGCACTTTGTGGCTCAGACAGCAGCCCCAGCAATGTTCCTTCAATGCTTTGCAATCAAATGTTTGAAGGAGTGTCCCAGGGGCTGTTGGAACAGCTGTGTACTGCACCTCAAAGCCTTGACAGCTGAGGCTTCAGAGAGCAGTTCTGGGAAGGAGAAGTGGTTTGATGGGAGTGTGCTTGCTCCAGCACAGGAACGGTCGTTTTAAGTTCCAGATTGTTCCTTTGCAGCCCCACCCTTACCCACATTTGACATCCCCAGGTTTGACCCACAGCCTGGAGGTTCACCCATGGTTTAGTGTCATGCGAATGACTCTTGGGGTCCCCTCTCTGCTTCCCCCCATTAACTGCTGTTTAGAATTGCCAGAACACTAAACTGTACTCACTCTTAACTACTATTGAAACAAGCTAGCTTCATGAAACATAGCTTGAAAAAAGCATAGTTAAGACTAACTGGGTTGTTCACGTTTGGACGCAACTCAAACCTGAAGTTAGTTGCTATGGTCTCCTTCTGACTAGAGGGGGAGCATAGTTCACATAATGCTGGCACGTTCACATAATGCTCAACCATAGTTTAACATTTCACCTAAACAAGGCTTTTGTTGGTGTGAGGAAAAGAACGGAACCTGCGGCTGGTGCTCACACCTTCCTGTTCATCTCGGAAGCTGCGGTTGTCTTTTGAAACCATAGGTTCCTCTTCACTCAAGCTGCCCCTGGTATTCTCTGACTAGACAAAGGAAGCTTTTGCTGAACCAAATGGAAAAAAGGTGCTTTCAAAAGAGACCCAAAGCCTGGACGATATCTTGATGGTGTAGGTGACAGTCACCGGTCCTTCTCGCTCCTCTGGCAATTTTAGGATTTCAAACATCCGCTTAAGAATTTGCATCCATGCATTTAAGAGAAAATGTGACCAGAGCCCAGAGGCTCCACATTTTTCTTGGGAAGACTTGGGAAGGAAAACTGTTCAGTGTAACAGAAATCTTAGTGCCATTAATGTCATTAAAAGAAATCAGTCTGTTTTGTTGAATTAGAGAATAGTTTGGCTCCATATTTTTAAGCTGCTAGTGTCATCTAAGATTGTCCATTGCTAACTGTTGGAATTTGATTAATAGCATAACATTATCTGCTGGTGTATACTTTCTGGTGACAACTCCTGCATGGGCTGTTCCTTTTTTTATCTCTACCAAGTATTTCTGTTATTGAAGTAAATACTGTAGTTAGTGCTTAAGCCGGAGTGCTCAATTTTAAAAAATTACTAGGAAGGTAATTGCAAGGCCATATGCATTGTATCCTGGGGTAGTAGGGGAGCTTTCTGGTGTAATCTCAGAAGTTCTGTCATCCTGGAGAATGGGAAAGGTGCCACAGGAAATGATTTAAGATTGTGTCTTTAAAATGTACATATTGGACAACATGTCTGTTCTGCCCACCCCAGATACCTTCAGATGCCCTCATAGAGCCTTTATGTAACCTAGGGGAAATCAAAGTTCCATCTTAGAGTCAAAAGATGCGTCAGGAGAACGTACTATGGAACACTTTATTCCTTCTTTTTCACCATCTCCAATCTATAATTTACTTGTTCATGAAGGTTTGATTTAACCCACCAAGTTACACTGATTCAAAACAATGCTCTACTTTTTGAGTTTTGGAAGACAAGGAATGTGAGCACTGCAAAAAAAAAAAAAAAGCTGTGCAGTTCTGTTTGTAATCTGAATTCTTAGCATCCGGTAGATCATTGATGATTGTTTTTCCTTTAGATCAATGAGTGGTCTTAAGCAGGTTATGGGGCACATGCCAAACCATGGTTAAGGAAGCTTTGTTTGGCTTTTGGTCATGCCGCTGGTCTATGAATATTCATGCTTGCAAAGAGTTTCCTTATCTATTCCTTGCTATTACTGACTTTATTTTCTTATTACCTCCAAGTATGAACTTAGGACTCTGTTGTTCTGTCAGTGCTTCTGTGAAGGATGTTATTAGTCCACTTCTCTTTCTGTGCTAAGTGTTGCACCTTTCTGGGGTGTGGTATAGAACCATCCATCAGACTATGGCTCTCCATGTGAGCTGTTTGTCTGGCACTGTTGAATTAAGCTTTGCTTTGCATCTTATGTGGCTCGGTCCCTTTCTGCGTTTCCATGCATTAGAGCCATGGAATACTTATTTATTTAAGTCTTCGTTCTTCATTGCAGTCCTAGCCTTTATCTTGTGTTCGGGAGAAGGTGGCTTTTCAGAAGTGTGTTGTTTAGACAGTAGGCTAGCATATGCACATGTAGCTTGTCATTTCCTCCCTTCCTTGGTCCAGAGGTTCTGCTTCTGCTGAATAATTCTGCATTCAGAATTCCAATCCCCTCTCCCTTCTCTCAGGGTGGCCTTCAGCATATAAATCTAGGACAGCCTTTCTCAACCTGTGGATCCCCAGATGTTGTTGAACTACAACTCCCATCACCCCTAGCTAGCAAGGCCAGAGCTCGGGGATGATGGGAGTTGTAGTCCAACAACATCTGGGGACCCACAGGTTGAGAACCGCTGATCTAGGAAGTAAAATGGAAGAGACCGAATGCAAGAGACAGAACGGTGCCTGGGTACCAGAGGTTTGGCTAATAATCAGTAGTTTTCCTAACTCAGTCCATTCCATGGAATCCAGATCTCCATGGTCTCAAGCAAAGTTCCGCACCATTCTGTTGGCTATTTGCAGTATAGTAACGCTGCAGAGAGCTTGCTGGGGAGACCATGCATTAAAAAGGGACTCAAAACGTACTTAAAGAAGGTTTTAATAAGAAAAACAAAAACTCCATTTACACTAAATGCATCAACAAACCAGAGCCAACCACCAACCCATCCCCCAGGGTAATGGGAGAGCTAGGTGCTGCTCCTTATATACTACACCCAATTGCTGACACAGCTTAATCAATACAACTCAGCAGCACCCGCTATGTTTCACAGCTGTAAAGCTGGGTCTCGTTATTTTGCTCTGGCCCCTTAAAGACATACACATCGGGTGGAACAATGATGAACCTTTACATTTAAAGAAACCATTCAACACATTCAAGATCCGGGGACTTTGTTTAAACACATTTCATAGAACGTAGGATGCTGTTTTATACCACATGAGTCTGTTGGCCCATCTAGCTCATATTCTCTCCACCAACTGGCAGCTGCTCTCAAGTGTTTCACACCAAGTGACATTCCCTGGCCTATCTGGAGATTGGACCTGGTACCTTCTGCTACAGAGTCATGGACTTTCAGCTATTGGTTACTTTCTCTGGCCCTTATCCCTGTAACAGGGATTTCTTGGGATGATGATGATTGAAATAGGCCAGTACTCTGCTCCTCCCCAAATCCTCTGCCTAATTTATTATATCACACAACATACAATCATGGCAGAAAACCACAGTCCGTTCCTCCCTACCCCCACCCTGCAATCTGCAAATGTGGTTCCTTACCATCAAAGGCAATGTCCTAACGGAGGGCCTTATACTTTTACCACTAAGACGTGAGTGGCAATACAGGGCGAGTTTGAGCAATCCATGGAGTGAAAGAAACCAGGGTTGGCTGCAAAATCCAAACGTGGTAGATTGGCACGTTGGTGGGTACTTTTCGTGTACCCTGCGTCTTATGTAAATAAGATTATCAAACACTTTTGAGACAATTAAATGCAGATGGTTAGACAATGAATTTCAAGAAATTAGTAGCCAAATCGGGATAGTTTCTGTGCAGGTTTGGGGATGCTGCAGTGTGGACTGCCAATGGCGACTTACTTCTACCACCTGGCCAAACCGAATCAATGCAGGGTATATACACTAGCGAGACTGAATGTGCTGCCATCGACAGTACTACAGGGGAGAGTCCAGAAAATACCGCTTGCAGAGAGACTATGTCTCTTTGGACAGAGTTGTATAGAATCCGTTGTGCATGTTCTTTTGCACTGCCCCTCGTATCAGAGTATTCCATCTTAAGTTCATTAATCAGTTGGTTATTAGCAGAGAGTAGCATTTAGATGAATGTAAAGTAGCCTTCCTAATGTTGACCCAGGACAGGCATAGGATGGAGATAGTAGCCAGGTTTCTGCAACAAGCAGTGAGGATCCGTGGATATTATACAACAGTATTGTAATTGTTAGATGAGTGGTTTTCTTGTACTGAACCTTTGGGAATGTTCTCTATATGCCAATAAAAGTTTGAGAATGATTGATTGATTGACCTTTAATGGGTGTTGCAGGAACTGTTCTCCAGCGGCTAAGATGCCAACACACGAGGATAGCAGATCTACCATGATTTATGTTGAACTACTAAGCACAGAAGGAGGCACAAGTCCATTACATGGTTACTTAGGAGATAAATTCTAAAGCCCTCATTATTTTGCAAGCAGGGACAAACCCGATCTCAGTTTACTGCCCTCGCTAGCCGTGAAATTTTGCACAGGCACAAGCAAGGATCTGAAATGCTCTTCAGCGTACCGACATGTTGGCTTGAAATACAAGGAGGCTTTTGTCCGTCTCTGTACATAAAGTACGGGTTCTGCACTGCTGTCCCCTACGTTGAGCTCAGCTAGAGCATTCCAACTGCAAAAAAGAACCACTTGCAAGTTAAATGTCCCCAAGATAAATATGCCCAGGACCTCTCAACCAAAGTAGAAGCTTTTTTCAGTCCTGGTCTAAAGCTATTTATTACACTTGCATACATGCGTGAGTCTCCTATTCTGGAATATGCAGCACTGGAAATAAATTAGTTCAGTTACATAAATGTACAACTGAAAGCAACTTAAATTATTCAAATACCTAAGCAGCAAATGTTCTCCCTAGCTGAACTGAATGGATAGCATAAAAAGAATATGCCAGTGTTGTTTAGTAGTTGAGAGTGATGGACCGGGATGACCAGGGTTCAAATCCCTACTCAACCATGAAGCATCTTGAGTGATCTTGGACCAGTCGCAGTCTCTCAGCTTAACCTGGCTCACAGGGTTGTTGTGATGATAAAATTGAATTGGAGGAGAACCACCTTGAGCTCCTTTGGGGAAAGGTGAGATATAAATGCAGTAGGAATCCTAATAACAACAAGAAAAACAATACTATTGGAGGCAGGGGAGTGACTGAGGCCCAATAAGCAGCAGTCTCTAGGGCTGGGCGATATTTGGTTTTCAACATCGCTATGTATCGCCGGCTAAACATTGCAATATATATCAATATCTCATGATGTCTGAAATAAGGATGGAAGAGGTGAACACATAGGGCTTGACGATATTTGGTTTTCAGCATCATGATATACCACCAGCTAAACATTGCAATATACCAATAGATCACAATGTCTGAAATAAGGATGGAGCTATGTGGAAGCGTTATCAGGGACGTGGGTGGCGCTGTGGGTTAAACCACAGAGCCTAGGACTTGCTGATCAGAAGGTCGGCGGTTCAAATCCCCACGACAGGGTGAGCTCCCGTTGCTCCATCCCTGCTCCTGCCCATCTAGCAGTTCAAAAGCACGTCAAAGTGCAAGTAGATAAATAGGTACCGCTCCGGCGGGAAGGTAAACGGTGTTTCCATGCACTCCTCTGGTTCGCCAGAAGCGGCTTAGTCATGCTGGCCACATGACCTGGAAGCTGTACGCCGGCTCCCTCGGCCAGTAAACTGAGATGAGCACCGCAACCCCAGAGTCGGCCATGACTGGACCTAATGGTCAGGGGTCCCTTTACCTTTATGTGGAAGCGTTAGCTGGTTTCACGGTTTTCCCCCCATTGTGATTTTTGCCAGTGCCTGCTCTGGTGATTCGCTGCCCCTTGCAAAAGGCAGGGGAGAACTGAGCTGGGAGAATTAACAGGGGCTGCAGGAATCAGGAAGCCTTGGCTGGCTTCACAGTTTTTTCTCACATTGTGATTTTTGCGTAGGACACACACACACACCATGATTCACGATATATTGGCAGGTCAGAAATTATGAAGCCGTTATTGCAATATGGACTTCAAGAGTGGAGAAGCCCAGCCAGATGGGCGGGGTATAAATAATAAAATTATTATTATTATTCAAACTGGTTTTGGAGAATATATTGGTATATTGCCCAGCCCTAGTAGTCTCTCTGGAAAGCCTGGAAAGCCTTCATCAGTGTAATAATAAATATGATCAATCTATCTTCCCCTATGTTTTGGCTCTGTGACAAGAGCAGCATCACCACTGCACTGAAATTTACTTAGAACTTGTTAAGCTACTGTAAGTAACAACCCAGCCTGTGAAATGACAGCAATATTGGAAAGAAGTATTTATGGATGGAACTGTAAATTCAGTATTTTCCTTCCTAGTGAGGAAAGCCACACTCAGTTCCTTTCTGCTTGTCATGCAGTGGCGCAGAAGCCTTGCTACAAAATAGTTGAAATGCCTATCGAACTATCATTCTTATATCCTATCGAACTGTCATTCTTATGTGAAATCATGTGCAGGATTTAAGATAGGAGCAACAGAAGAATGTAAAGAATGGACTTTGGAAGCTTAGGAAATAAATATATACAGTCGTACCTTGGTTCTCGAATGCCTTGCGACTCAAAAGTTTTGGCTCCTGAACGCCGCAACCCTGGAAGTGAGTGTTCCGGTTTGCGAACATTTTTTGGAAGCCGAACATCCGACGAGGCTTCCACAGCTTCTGATTGAGTGCAGGAAACTCCTGCAGCCAATTGGAAGCTGTGCCTTGGTTTTCGAACATTTTCAGAAGTCGAACGGATTTCATTCGAGAACCAAGGTACAACTGTAGATGTGTTTTAATGCAGCTACTAAGATGGAAAAATAATAGTGAAAGGAGGCACAGGAAGTCAAGAAGAAAATGTGCAAGCAAAAAAAGGATACACATGATTGGAGTTATGTAATAATTTGGAAGATTTAATAAAAACGATTATTTTTAAAAATGCTTGCAGTACTAATAACACCCAGTTTTCAACAGTATGCAATGTGTGTGTATGTAAACAACCAGCTCAAAATCTGTACTGCACTTTTGCAGAAGGGTTTAGATTTGACTATCAGTCCGCAGAGCAGAAATGCATTCTGGTGCTAAGATTATCCATCTGGGATGACAGCCGAGTCAGACAGGGGATTAAGATGTGTCTGTGACCTCTAGCATTCTTGCCATCTTTTCCCACAGCCAGAAAGTTTCACTTACAGTTTTCCACAGTAATTGCCAGAGCTGGAAATTCTTGCTTTTCTATCGCTAACCTTTCTATCTGGGTTAACACCTGCTGCCAAAATGGTAAATCACCTAAACCCGTGCTCTTTTTTTTTTTTTAAAGTGGTTTTTGTTTTTGTTCACAGAAAGCTCAAGTTACAGACACATTTGGTTCCTCTTGAAATCTCTGCAAAGTAAGAGTGCCGTGCTCCCTATCGCTCACCTTCTTATGCAAGGAAAACTAGTTTTAATCGAGATTAGGTAGAGTATTTAGCAGATGATGCTGCAATTTAATAAACAATGCCCTTCCAGCATGCATAACGGTAGCCCTTCAAAAAAAAAAAAGCCAGGTTGTTTTAGGAGGCACTGCAGAGTAGAGCTGGGCGATATTACGATTAATTGTCTGAAACCAGTATGATGTTCAAACTGCGATACCAGTTAAACTTTTTGAGCTGGCCCACAGCTGGTGGCCGGGAAGCCAAGATATAGGGCCAGCGCAAGTTGCCTTGATCAGCTGTGAGGTGGACAGTTTACGAAAGCCTGTTTCTCAGCTGATCAAGCCCCCTCTGCCTCCTGCAAACTGAAGTGGGGGCCAGCTTGTTTAGACTGCTCCTCTGAAGGGCCAGCAGGCTCAGGGGCCAGCAGGAGGCTGCCCGCCCTTGTCCCCATATAGCTGCTGCTCATGGGAGCCAGAATGGTATGGGGGCTCGTTCAACTTTGTGACCTGGGCAAGTCCCCAGACCTGTCTGGCTCGTGCATGCAGGAGCCTTATGGGGAATGCCTGGGCAATTTCAGACATTGTGATATAGCAGTACATGGCAGCATTTAGCTGCTGATATATCACAGTGTTGAAAACTAGATTGTCACCCAGCATCCAAAAAGTTAGGTTTAAAAAAGGCAAATGACCCCTGGACAGTGAAGTCCAGTCAAAGGTGACTGTGGGGTTGTGGCGCTCATCTCGCTTTCAGGCCGAGAGAGCTGGCGTTTGTCCACAGACAGCTTTCTGGGTCATGTGGCCAGCAGGACTAAACCGCTTCTGGCACAGTGGAACACCGTGACAGGAACCAGAGTGCACGGAAACGCCGTTTACCTTCCCACCACATTGGTACCTATTTATCTACTTGCACTGGCGTGCTTTCAAACTGCTAGGTTGGCAGAAGCTGGGACAGAGCAACAGGAGCTCACCCCATCGTGGGGAATCGAACCACCAACCTTCTGATTGGCAAGCCCAAGAGGCTCAATGATTTAGATCACAGCGCCGCCCGTATGTCATGGTAGAAGTGTAGGGGCTGGGACAAACAGTGAGGATCAGAGTATTGCATTAGTTCCCTTCCATTCTGGTGCTTTTAGCCTTTCTGAAGTGCATTAGTTTTTATGATTATTCATTATCTACTTACGTTTTGAAATGACTGCGGAACGGCTGGAGTTCATGGGAGTGCAACAAAGGTGTATAAGGAAAGGATAAATGCACCTTTTTGTGTTGGTTATGGAAAATCCCCGGTGTGACACCAGCCTTTCCCACGCAATCCATAGCCCCAAATATCTGTATTTTACACTCTTCTATACAAATAGCTGTGGGCTGCTTTGTAGAAATGATGGGAAATTACATCAAACGTTCATCCTGAATCATTATTTCTTCATCAGGTTTGTAAAGAGTCCAGCTTGCTTATTACAACATGAAATTTCAACATATTCCTGCAACTAATAAATATGAATTGCTGGTTTAGGCTGAATTGTTCCTTGGCCATTGTTCTCGGGTGTTTTTATAGAAGGCAAATAAGCTTTTTGTTTCAAATGGAAAGCTGTTAAGCTAACCAATCTCATGTTGCTTTAAAGCTGGGACTTTCCATATATTTGAAACCACCAGCTGCCAAACCAGTCCAAACAAATGTTGGCTCATTCTGCCATTCCGTTGGCACCGAGAGAGGTGCTTCATTAAAGCTTCATCTCCCTCTAGTTATGGTTGAATGCTGTTCTGCCAAATTGATGTCCAAAGTGACTCACAAATGAGTCACCTTTTGCTTAGCAAGTGATTGCAATATGTGAAGACTGGTTCTATACAAACAGAAGCTGTTGAATGTTTTGCTTTGCTATGGTTGAAATTTGGGGCTTTTTAGCCTAAGAAGAGCTGCTCTTGCCCCAGACAAGGTCAAGCAGAGTTCTCACGGTAACATTCTCCCATCTTCTGTTGTGCATCTTTTCTTAGCCATGTCTTAAACCTTGTATATATTAATCCATCTAGAGCCATAGTTTTCAAAACACAAGGAGACAGAAGTTACACAAAAGTGCTGTTGTCTCTCATCATGTTGCCTGAGCCAGTCCGCAGAGCACTGGTGCTTAAAAGCAACCTTTCTCTTCACTGAGCACCATTGCCTGATTTGGCTGGTCTTGCTTTGTCGTGGGGCTAGTTCACACTATGCTCTTCCCATGTGCGCTCACAACCTCCTTTCCACAATGCACATGACTGTAACCAGGTGAGGAAAACTGTGAACTGGGCTGTATGTTGATAGAGCTGTATGCAGGGTTTCTCCAAACTTGGATCTCCAGCTTTTTTTGGACTACAACGCCCATCGTCACTAGCTATCAGGACCAGTGGTCAGGGAAGATGGGCGTTGTAGTAAAAAAAACCAATCAGCTGGAGACCCAAGTTTGGGAAATGCTTGCTATTGTTTGCTGTGGTTTTTAAAAACTTATTTTAATGCCTCTCGTAAAGATCCTGCCCTGGTAGGATTGTATAATGAAAAAACAGGATATAAAACAAGATGTATATATTTAAAGAAGATGAATAAATGTGCAAATTAAGTTAATTTGGATGTGCAGAAGATATTAAAAACAAATTTAAGGAACTGCAGAAAGAGGGGGATGGAAGTCAAGTTTTGAAATGTCAAAATGAATGTAAAATTAGTGAGACGTATAAAACTAGTGAAATGTATAAACTTGAAAAGTATAAATAAATAGATAAAATATCAAAAAATAAAACAGGATATAAATAACATTTTATAAACCTCTCTGTGAGATCCATCCGAATAGTGGTATAAAAATACCTTAAAGAAACAAAAACAAGCAAACAAAGAATTGTTCTAGTTGGGTGTTGGAGCTGTTAAAAGTATTCCAGAAGCAGATGTTCTGTTTACTGAAGCATGTCTTGGGATGGGTACCACATTAAGGGATGAACAGGCCTGTCTCAGCCCTCTTTCTGCAATGTTTTAACTATTTATTGTATTGGCCTTATCTGTTGCTTTAGCCGAACCAAATTCAGTGTGATCTGAATGTTTTCTTTTCATAAGCTTTCCCATGGCAACCTCTTCATACCTAAAATCCAAAAGAAAGTATTAAAACCTTACAGGCGTGACAAGTACAACACTGCTTAGCAACACCTTTTCAACACAGGAAAAAGATCTTGCAAATAAAACATTGTTGGCTTTTCTTTTCCTTAGGTATCTTGCCGGTGTACCATAACATGTTTGCACTAATGAATCAGACAGACAGATGTTGGTATCCCCCAAACCACACCTTCCAAGTAGAGGGATCAACCAGTCTCACTGTTCTCTACCGGATAAGGTTAATATCATAGCTTGTTTTTGTTTAAATCAAAATGGTTTTTGTTTAATTAGATTTTTCTTAAACTAAAGGACTATAATGTAGGTTGAAATAATTGATTAATTTCCTACGACTTTTTTATTTCCATTTAAATATCAGAGGGGTTCATAATAAGAATAACACTCTTTGTCCATATATTTTACAGTCAGTTTTATTCCATGTGTTGTTTTATGGAGGTTATAGCAAATGCACATGGAGGCAGGGGCAGACCCCTGAAAGCTGACAGATGACCACTTTTACTCCTCCTTGGAGTAAACTTGATTATCTATTTTATTTAAACCCAGAGCTATTTAATTTATTTGATGGGCCCATTTATAAAAAATAATTTCAGTGGAATGTTCTCTTCTTCTTCTTATAAATGGATTGTATTGCAATTACTGTACAATTCTAAGCATGTAGATGTGGGTGTTTACTTCCAGGTATGCATGTATGAGGTTGCAGCATTTTGTTTAAATAAGCAGTTGTGTCTGAACAATGGCTGCATTTCAACTGTGTCCTAGCAACCAAGGCATTCCCATTTCTCTAGTCATATAACCATTTTGCATATATTTCCAGAATGTAAAACATCTGCGGATCAGTGTGTGTACTTCTGTAGTCTAGAAAAATTTCCACTGAGTAGTCCCCATCTTAAGGTTCAATGTTCCACAGTGTGTCTTGCATCACAAACATAAAGGAGATTTTTAAACCATTTTGCCATAATGTTTCTGGGGAGGCTAAACCGCCTGTTCCTTTATGTCATCGTGTCAAGGGTAGGAGTTTTGGGAAGCTTGCCAGAGTCCATAAAATACATAGATAAAGGCTTTGTTCAGAAGCGTGTGTACCATGCCTGACAATTGTCTCAAAAGAGCTTCTCCTCTCCCAACTAAGCCATGCTTCCTAAAATGGAGATTGCATAATGCACAAGAAAGTATACATTTACTACAAAAGAGACACAAAACTTTTGATTCTTGAGTCTGCTAAAATGATATCGCTGAGTGATATTTTGATAAATTGTCTGAAACCGGTGTATGATATTCAAACTGTGATACCGGTTTCAGACTCTATACATTCGCAATGTATTGCCAGCTCAAATTGCCCTGAGGCAGAAAAGGCATAGGCAGGCAGGCAGGTAGACAGGAGCCTGAGAAGATTCTCACCTGCAAGCTATGCCTCCAGTTTCACCTGGGCAGGCAGGCTGCCACTTCCTCCTGGTTGGTCACTCCTGGAGCGACTGACAGGGAGGAAAGTGGCATCTCGGCCAATTGGGTGAAGGCGAAGGCAGGCAGGTGAGCGCCTTCTCCGGCTCTGTCTTCCCCCTGCGTGTGCCTTTGAAGAAGCTGCTCTCTCCCCCTGGCTCACATGAGCGAGAGTAGTATGGGGGCAAACTCAACTGTTGGGCTGGGTGATGTATCTCAGCTGCTTAAGGTGGGGAGGAAGAAGCAGCCGAGATACATTTCAGGCATCATGATATATCCGTAGATTGAGATATTTAGCTGCTGATATATCACAATGTTGAAAACCACATATCGCCCAGCCCTACTTTCTGTGCTCCCCTGCTCTGACAATGTGCTGGAACTACAAGAATCCCCGAACAGGAAGCCATGGCTTATGACATATGAGCAGGTCCAAATTTTACTCATCACAGTAGCGCAGGCTACAAGTGCCCAGGAATCTAGACTTTCATAGAACCAGCTGCATTTGCCTGCCTGTGATCTGACATAGTACTTTGCAAACTCTAGAAGACAAGGCTTTAAAAATGAGCAAAATTATTTAGTAGCAGTTGTAAGGCATGAATGTAAGTCCCAGAGGCAGTTGCAGACAATGCCGGGGAGTTGTGCTCCTTTTGTGACCTCCCTCCTTCAGAGTCAGACCACAATAGTATAGCTGAGGCATTCCAGAATAAAGAGGGAGAGGGAGGAGGCAGAGAACTCAGTGCGGTGCAAATACGCCAGCAGGAGCACCAGATTGCCTCTGCCAATGTGTTTGCACCACTGCTGCCTTGCCTCTCCCACTCTCCATCCTGGTATTCAGGAGCAACTTGGCTGGAAGGAAGCCAGGGAAGCAGTGCCACCCTAATGCCCCATTCACTACTATCTAAAGGCCACTGCTTTGCTGAAGCTATGTAGTTCTGGGTCTGGTCAGTGTCTCAGTGGGCAGTTGTACATCACTCTGGGTTTCATGATGGAAGAAAGTTGAGATAGAAACATAAGAGGCGGCGAGGGGAATGAGTGGTGGTATTTGACCAGTAAATTGGCTATGAGTTTTGATGTTTGGTTATTTGCTGGCTAAATGCCAACTCCAGTGGAGATGGCTCATTTCAAGCTGGAATAATTTAGTGGCAAGATGAACTTGTGTGAAAGTATTCAAAGCCCTTGCCCTTTAAGCAGCCTGAATTTCATTAAAAACATGTTTCTAACATGTGTGGTCTTGGCTGCAAAAGCACTGATAATATGTCTTTGCATCTTAACAGGTTTTATTTCCCACACTGGTATTGTAACAGCAATGTACGAGCATTTCGGTACGGTGTTTCCCGCGGTGCAGAGAGTCCTGTCCTTGATGACATTGTCATGTCTTATTTGTTTGCTCAGGTAAAATTTTGACAACGTATTATTTGGGTATGGATGTATTTGGCCCTTCTCTGCGTTTTTACTGCTGGAAATGAATGTCTTCATCCAAATATGGATAATTTCACAAGAATAATGATAATTATATGCAATTATCCTGTGAAATAAAAATACGACAGCCTTGAGGGCAGCACCAAGGTGTTGATTCCCCTTTGAGATCTGAGCTGATTTCTTTGTTCAAATTAAGTTCCGAGTTGATTCAATAGAAGACAACTCAAGCTGCGATGAAAATAAATGAAAAGAGCAGTAGGCCAAATTCATCAGAATTTCTGTGCCTTCGTTTTTTGCCTCCAGTGGCGGGAAGACTTTGTCCATGGGTGGGTGAAGATGCCTGTCACTCATGAAACACAAGAAGAATGTCTTGGCATGGCTGTTCTGGATATGATGAGGATGGCCAAAGAAAAGGACCAAACTCCACTAGGCATCTACAATTCTATGAGGTAACTCTTTTTGTGACGTCTTCTTCTGTAGCTGTGCAAATGGGGAAGGGAGGAGTAAAACAGGAGGTGGAGGCAGGAAAGCACGAAATGGAAATTAGGAGCCAAACCATTATTATTTTGATTGCCTGTTGCCTTACCCCTTTTTCCAAAGAACTTGTTTCCAGTTCATGGCTCTCCTCATTTTAAGATTAGGCTGAGAGATAAGTGCCTGGCCCAAGGTGATCCAGTCAACTTCACAGCAAAGCAAGAGTTTGAAGTTGGATAAGGCATTTGCAGATCTGAGCAAGTTGTGGCCTGTTTCATTTCACCAGATGTGACATTCCTCTTTTATACAGCCTGGTGGTTCCTAGTTCTGGTCGCTGCAGAGAGAAAGTTTGAGGATGCAAACCCTGACATAGCCAGTGGAATTCGCCTCCCGGTTTTCTGTCCCACTTGCTCATAAGTTAAAAGATTTTAGGATTTAGGACTTACCTGATAGTTGCTCTTGCACCTTCTGTAGAAGAATACCACCAGCCCCCTTTGAGCTGCTCATCAATATTTTGCCACACACTTGGTTGTCTTTGTTTTCACAGCTACAAGATGTTTTTGCCAAAATGCATCAGGGAAAAAATCCAGGATTATCACATTCTGACACGAAAGAGGATAAGATACAGATTCCGCAGATTCATCCAGCAGTTTGGCCAGTGCAAAGCAACCGCCAGAAACTTGAAACTGAAATATCTCATAAATTTGGAGACCCTCCAGTCTGCCTTTTATTCAGAAGTGTTTGAAGTGAAGGAACCCGGCAGAGAGCCTTCGGGTGAAGAAAGTTTTGCAACCATTGTTATATCCGGAAATGGTGGAATTCAATGCTCAAGAGGGAAACATAAGGAAAGTGAGACACTGGCAGAACAGGTAATCTCGTATAACATACAGTCATACCTTGGTTTTCGAACAGCTTAGTTCCCGAACGTTTTGGCTCCCAAATGCCGCAAACCTGGAAGTGACTGTTGCGGTTTGTGAACTATTTTTGGAAGCCGAATGTCCGACGGGGCTTCCGATTGGCTGTAGGAGCTTCCTGCAGTCAATCAGAAGCCACGCTTTGGTTTCCGAATGTTTTGGAAGTCAAATGGATTTCCGGAACGGATTCCGTTTGACTTCCAAGGTACGACTGTACTTCTGTATTTTGTTTACTATGAAAGCTTCGAGAATACCACTGGAAGCAGAATTACTTGGTTCCATCAATAGAATTCTTACTGGCCAAGTAGAACTTAGCATTGTACAGTCAGTTGAAAGTATTGTGGCAAGTACTTTGCAGGAAAAGGTACGCAGAATATAAATGGTGAGGGAGGAGTGGGAGGCTGGTTTAAGGTTCTGTGGGTTTTTAGTGCACATCCAGTTCTGTTCTGTGGCTTGGGCAATGCAGGGTCCCAATCCTTAGTATCAATGCAGACTCTAGTTCCTATTGGTTTTTATTTGTGCCTAGCGTTGAATGGGATTTCACCCAAGTCTTTTAAGATTACTAGCCTTAAAGGTAAAGGGACCCATGATCATTAGGTCCAGTTGTGACCGACTCTGTGGTTGCGGTGCTCATCTCGCTTTACTAGCCGAGGGAGCCGGTGTACAGCTTCTGGGTCATGTGGCCAGCATGACTAAGCTGCTTCTGGCGAACCAGAGCAGCGCACGGAAACGTCATTTACCTTCCCGCCGGAGTGGTACCTATTTATCTACTTGCACTTTGACGTGCTTTCAAACTGCTAGGTTGGCAGGAGCAGGGACCGAGCAACGGGAGCTCACCCCGTCGCGGGGATTCGAACCGCCGACCTTCTGATAGGCAAGTCCTAGGCTCTGTGATTTAACCCACAGCGCCACCCACGTCCCTTACTGTCATGGAAATAATTTGGATTAGCAGTAGATGTGCCTGAGAAGTGAAGATTGCCATTTTCTGTTCTCCAGTGGTGTTCTAGGAGGATAATACATTGACAGTTCATTATTTTTTTTAATGCATGGTGGTACACAATTAACTCTATTGATAAAATATTTCCTTTCTAAATACTTTATAGACTGTAGGTTGGGTTAAGCAAAGGGGGGATTTTCTCTTGAGTGTTTTGGATCTTGGTGCTTGAACATTGCTCTTTTAATTTCTCTGTAATTTAAATTTCATCTGTTAGTGGTGGCAGCATCACTTAAAGCGTATGGTGATTCTTATCTAAACAGAGATAAGCAAACTTGAGTAATGCTGTCTGTGCACACAGATGGTAGCCTTCTTAGAAATAAGACCCCAATCCTGCTCTGTTTCTCTTCAGTCTGTGCAATTGTCAAGGTTAGCCTTTCATCAGTTTCTTCTGAACATCAGTGCATAAAGAGGGATTTTTCCCTTGGGAAACTCTTCCCTTGAAGGTCTGCCTGATTCAGAGGCTTACACCTTGTGGTAAAGATGTAAAAACCAATAATTTAGCTGCCATTGATAAATATTGTGAAAGGGGAGTAGAGAAGTAATGTGCAAACAAGTAACCAGGCTCAAACTTTTTTTTCCGGCAGGAAAGGATGTTTCTTACTACCTCAGAATCAGGCTATTGAGAATAATGTTACAACTGCTCTGTTTCAGTTGATGGCTAGAAGGTTGACTAAAACACTCACAAATAACCCATTTCCTAATAAAGCAACATCTTTTCGCAGGAAATACAGACCTATTGCGATTTCCCCGACATTATCGATGTCAGTATTAAGCAAGCAAGCCAGGAAGGTTCTGGCGAGAATAGAATTGTAACCATTCACAAGCAAGACAGCAAGAATTTGGTAAGAGTGGCTTTCTCTTTTGATTACCTTACATTTCTGTGCATTACTTGTCTAAACAAATTGGATTTTGATGCCCTGCCTTGTTTGCATATCTGCAGTGTAAGGCAATTAGGCAAGTAAGTTAGACTGTGACTTTCACAGAATGTAGCAAAAGTAATCTGTGTGTTCTTAAAAACAACAGCCCTCCTGTTCCGTTTTGCGGCGGCCACACCGTAAGCCTTTCCTTTCCTCATGCATTTTGCACAGGGAACAATTAAACTTCAATGAGTATATATCTCCCATTCATTTGAGATTCCTAGCCGTAGTCATTAACCACAGAAGAACGATGTAAATACACACATGTGCAACAAATCATAGCCTGGATGCTCCTTCTCCATCCGCTGAGATTGGGAGTGCGTCTCAAACTCACGTGCTCGATCCATTCTCCTTCCCGGCACAAAAAAGGCAATGATTCCACATGGAGATCGTACATATATTTGAGCACGGTATCTCTGCTTAGCACAGTCCCTGTTTTCTGCCCGTGGTAAAGGGCTGTGACAGAGCATGCGGCTTAGAAACATTCTCCTGAAACATTCTCCTGAAACATTCTCCTGCACATAAGGAGGTAGTGGAGTCCTATTCAGTTCTATCTAGCCTGAGACCCATGGTTGTCTGTCTTTCCCCACACGATGGCACATTTACACAATTTTGAAACATGGGTGGAAGACATTCCCCCCCCCCCTTCATACTTTGTTAGACAAACCTTACTAAAAATCTAACGTGTGTGGTTTGTTTGTTTGTTTGTTTTTTTAATCCCCCTTACGTTGTAGGGCTGGGCAATATCTGGGCAATATAATACTGTAACAACAACAACAACAACAATTTATTAATTATACCCCGCCCATCTGGCTGGGTTTCCCCAACCACTCTGGGCAGCTTCCAACAGAATATTAAAATACAATAGTCTAATGATATACAGTGCTACCTCTAGTTACGGACTCGATCTGTTCAGGGGTGCTGTTTGCACCCTGAAAAGTCCGTAACTAGAGCTCCGCTTCTGCACACACACATGGCGCAATAGAGCTTGTGGAGGGCCAGACTATATTTTGGAAAAAAATATATGAACGAATGCCTATGCCCCACAAATAACCCAGAGATGCATTTTAAATAAAAGCACACATTCTACTCATGTAAAAACATACTGATTCCCGGACCATCTGCGGGCTGAATTTAGAAGGCGATTGGGCCAAATCCGGCCCCCAGGCCTTAGTTAACCTACCCATGCCTTAATGCATTCACCAAACCGTTCATATTCCTTGTCATGGAAATGAATGGATTATTCATTTCAGCGTTTGTGGGTAACGCAACAAAATGATCAACCATCAGAAGCATATTCATGCAATTAGTGTTACCAGAAAAATAATAAATATCTTACTATCTTTCTCCCTTGCCTTTGCAGGAAGCTGAATTTCATTCACTAAGAGAGGCTCTTTCTTTCGTGTCATTGATTGATGGATATTACAGATTAACCGCAGATGCCCATCATTACCTCTGTAAAGAAGTAGCACCCCCTTCCATCATTGAGAATATTCAGAGCAACTGTCATGGGCCAATTTCGTAAGTGGCATGTTTTATAAGATGTTGAAAAGGTGTTTTTTTCCCTTTAATCCTGAAAGAAAAGAGATGCTCCACTTTGCTTGGGAGGCAATTGCCTAGTTCATCAAGGATAATTAATGCCAAATCTTTTAGGTATGTGCAGATGTGCAGCTGGATACGTGTTTTATTTGGCTCGTTTCTCATTTTGGCACAGCAGGAAGTGGCTGCATGTACACACCTTCATCCAGGAACACTTTAAAAAATGTACCTGCCATTGGGTTTTTTAAAATACACAATAATATATTTTCCCTATCTCTCTCCCCCCCTGGAAATACTTTGAAACCTTGGTAAAAGCATGTGGGAAGGTCTCTCAGTGTTTCCTTTTGTAATGAATTCATGTTTATTCAGCCACAACACTTAATGCAAAGTTTTAAGATGCTTTTTCTTTCATTCTCAGTTCAGTTCCGAATGTGTCATGCAGTGAATAGAGAACAGTGAGTTTTAAGGTCTCTCAGCCATAACCATGGTGATGGTATATGCGGTCATAGACAGAGAACTTCTTAATAGGTTCACTGCAGGATCTGGCAGAAATAGAATTTGAAATTGTGGAGGAAGAAAAGGCAATTCAGATATCAATATCTGGAATTGAGCACAGAACATTGCTAGCAAAGGAAATTGCTTTTGGGCTAAGTGGTCCCTTCTTGTGAACTTTTCCGTAGGCTTGAGGAAAAAGAAATATTTCCGGCTGTGAGGGTTGTTTTTGTACTGTTGTGTAGTATTGCCTGGTTCTGAAGAGCTAAGTGTCTCTGTGCGCTTCAGTTAAAAGTCCATCATAGGGATTTCTCAGCCTGTTAACCAGAGGGGTAGAAAACACCTCCTTGCTAGGGGAAGGCAAAGGATTGTCCCCACCTCCAGGTTGGGCAAGAGTTGCAGACTGCCTTTTTTGAGCTCTTTTGAGCTCTACTTTCTGTGCTTTCCGTTCTTTTATTACTATTATTATTATTATTATTATTATTATTATTATTATTCTCCACCCCGGTTTGGGAAGAAATGCAGCTATAGGAAGCATCTGAAGATTGCTCTTGTGTAAAGGTAAAGGGACCCCTGACCATTAGGTCCAGTCGTGGCCAACTCTGGGGTTGCGGCGCTCATCTCGCTTTATTGGCCAAGGGAGCCGGCGTACAGCTTCTGGGTCATGTGGCCAGCATGACTAAGCCACTTTTGGCGAACCAGAGCAGCGCACGGAAACACCGTTTACCTTCCCGCCGGAGTGGTACCTATTTATATACTTGCATTTTGACGTGCTTTCAAACTGCTAGGTTGGCAGGAGCAAGGACTGAGCAATGGGAGCTCACCCCATCGTGGGGATTCAAACCACTGACCTTCTGATCGGCAAGTCCTAGGCTCTGTGGTTTAACCCACAGTGCCACCCGCGTCTTGGTACTTTGTCCCAAACAAACTGCACTTCCTCTTCTACAGCTAGAAGGAGGAGCCTACAGTTCCTCCTTTCCACCTGGGCTTGGTGACAAAGGTGCTTTGAGCATGAGCTGCTGGCTCGCCCACTCCTTTGTAGGAGAGACAGAGAAAAGGAGTTCCCCAAGTGGGTAACTGGATTGCTCTCATCCCTTCATACACATCTTGCAGAGCACAAGCACACTTGACAGATAAGTCTCTTTTGACATGGGTTAATTCCTACTCTCTCCTTGGGCTCAAGGAGGCATCCATTTACTGACTTCATCCCTGCTTCTGTCCAGGAGTAGCAAGGAACCATGAGACCAGATTCTGAGGTCCATCCCATTCCTGGTAACTTCTTTCTAGTTTCCTTGCCTTGCCTCGTCCAGGGCAGAACACGTGTCTTTGTCTCTGCAACTTTCCAACTCCAGCATTTTTTTACCTTTACTGTCTTCCTCTGTTCGGTTTCCACCCAATCCTTTCTCATTCTTCTTCTGCAGAAACAAAACAAAAACAACTAGGATGACTCTTTTTCACGTGCCAGGCCTCTTCCAAGGACATGCCAAAATCCTAACATCTTTCGGGCTTTTGTTGCTGGACTCCAAGCCATATTTCTCCTCCCTTGTTTGACACCTCCTCCTCAGGTCTTTGTCTCTTAGCTGGACAGAAACTTAGGGAGGTGTCAGAAGGAAGAGGATAGACCTAAAAACTTAGTCACGCCATTCTCCTGCACAAAAGTAGGGATTAACCCAGTAACCCTTCAGTCACCCCAAGCAAGAAACTGCTTTCAAGGAACCACATTTTCTAGATGTCTCTAGGCAGGAATAAGGATGAGGACCCTATACTATATTACGAGATTCTGAGTGTGAGAATCTTTTGGTGAGCCACTCTGAGAACTTCCTGAAGATATAAAATGAGATATAAGTTTTCTAAATAAAGTTTAAGGAGGTTACATGAGGAGAGGCATTGTGCTTTCCATAGGAAAGGCAATATTGTGTTATAGGGTCATTTTCAGCTTTTGCTGTCAGTTGGGCTGAGGGATGTCTGGTTTTCAACACTGTGATATATCACCAGCTAAACATTGCAATATACCAGTGATATACCAATAGGAAATAAGGATGAAGCTATGTAGAGGTGAATGGGGTGATGCCCTAGCCAACTGCTACTACTTAGGTGTCTAAAACAAATGCATTTTTACTTACTTATTTGCAGCTGCATGTGCTGCCTCTGGTGTATAAAAATGATATTATTGCTTCAGTGCTTTTATTTGTTTCTGTTTTGTTTTGTTTTATTTCCTATTTCATTTACAAGCTGTCTTGAGTCCTTGTCAGGGGGAAAGGGTGGGAAATAAATAAAATCCAAGTTTGGCACTGACCACACTTACAGATCCTAGACATACTTATGCCCTTCGCATTTTCTTCCCAGATTTTTTTCCTTGCATTTGAACTGCTGCCATACTGATTTCAACAATCTGTTAATATTGGTAGGGGTTTGGGCTCTTCTGTTCTGCCAGGTTTCAAATGAGACACCGAATGAACCCCTTCCAGCTAGCGAAACAGGGATTTGGTTCTGCCTCCCTTACTCAGAGGGGAGACTGTTCTCTAGCATCAATTTAGAAATTCGTAATAAGTCTGTTTCCCTTTCGCTCTGCCAAAGGAGTTTGCCAGAAGTGCCCAGATGTTGTAACCTGTAGGCAGTTGTAAGTGGATGGTCACAGACTTTTACCGGGGATAGAAATATGGTAATTGCTAGATGTTCTGCATAGCTCAAAGGTTGCTAGCTTTTAAAAGCTTGCTCTTAACACTTGTGCTCCCTCCCTCTCGTTTTTCCAAAATAGCATGGACTTCGCAATCAATAAACTGAAGAAAGCTGGCAATCAGACGGGCTATTACGTTCTTCGTTGCAGTCCAAAGGAGTTCAGGAAATACTTTCTTACCTTTGCAGTGCAGGTTAGTAAAGAGGAGCAGAATACACTGTTACTTTGGCTGTGAACAAGAAAGAGAGGATTCAGAATACCTTTGATTATAAGTATTACCTGTTAAACCACTGTGCTTTTGAATAATTTTTAAAAAGCTCAGCCACCTCTAATTCTCAGTAATCTCTGTGCTTTGTGAACAGTGCACATACCCATGTCAGTCTGCAAAGAAAGATTGTGAAGAAATAAAACTTTCCTTTTCTTCTGACATGTTCATTCAAGCACCGAGTAATGGTAGTTTAAGGGACGCGGGTGGCGCTGTGGGTTAAACCACAGAGCCTAGGACTTGCCGATCAGAAGGTCGGCGGTTCGAATCCCCATGACAGGGTGAGCTCCCGTTGCTCGGTCCCTGCTCCTGCCAACCTAGCAGTTTGAAAGCATGTCCAAGTGCAAGTAGATAAATAGGTACCGCTCCGGGGGGAAGGTGAACGGCATTTCCATGCGCTACTCTGGTTCGCCAGAAGCGGCTTAGTCATGCTGGCCACATGACCTGGAAGCTGTACGCCGGCTCCCTCGGCCAATAAAGCGAGATGAGCGCCGCAACCCCAGAGTCGGTCACGACTGGACCCAATGGTCAGGGGTCCCTTTACCTTTACCTTAATGGTAATTTAACTATTAGAATTTAGTCATATCTTCTATTTGTGACTTAAAAATAAACCTGTATTAATATTAGCATATCTGCACAATCTGTAGGCAACCAGGCATCATTTGTGCTACAAGTAACAAGAGATTGATGCTATTTTCATATGAGTATGGGCTTTCTACATACTCTCACTAGCTTACCACAATATAACATAGTTAGTTTTAACTACAAATGAAAGTACTGTATTCAAAATGCCATTCCTAATTATTCCTTGGAAGATGATCAGCTTCTTTAGTTAAAAATTAGTTTATTTTAAAAAATGAGCAAATTTGCCAGACTATGTTAGGGAACCCCTTAGCAGACTCTTCAAGGCCTCAAGAGTCTGATAAAAGCATCTGATAAGGTTGGGGTTTTATATCCTTGCTTTAACCATCAATGTCACGTTAGCAGAGTGCTTAAAGCAAGATTAAAGGACAGGTTTTCTGCTGTTCATCAAATGACATGCAGTGTGTGATGGTAAAATATTGACAGATACAGGTGGAACCTGCAACGAAACATGCTTCTGTTCACAGTGTCAGCAAACCATGTCATCTTCCAGGATAATCAGATTCTGTTGATTTCTGATTCTGTTAAATTCTGCATTATATTTGAGTTTCCACACAATGTAAAGGCCCCTTCGTTTCTGTTTTGTTTGCTTCCAGGAAAAAAAAAACCTTTCGTAAATAACACAGAAATGAGCGCTAAACTTGTGCTATAATCTGCTATATTTCTGGAAGTGGCTTTTTTGTCAGGTAAAGGCTCAAATATAATGCAGAAATTAATAGTTAAGTGAACATCAGGAATGCATAATAAACTCCCACATGAATCCGCTGGATGTGTCACTGAAGTTTTTATTATTGTTCTATAAGTTTTGGGGGTTTCTCTGAGCCTGCTATTCTGGTACCTCCCTCTCATGCATGGATGGCGCCATTTTGTCTACAAAGGTATGATTCCTAATTTAAATTCAGTATTATAAACAAGATAGCTGTTTTGAAACAACATCTTTCTTACCGTTTCTTAATCTTCAGCGGGACAGTACCACGGACTATAAGCATTGCTTGATCACAAAAAATGAGAATGGCGAATATAATCTCACTGGAACTAGAAGAAGTTTTACAAACCTCATGGATCTCTTGAACTGTTATCGGACAGAAACTGTCCGGTCAGACAGTATAATTTTTCAGTTTACCAGATGTTGCCCTCCAAAGCCAAAAGGTAAATGATTCACAACTCCCTTAAGTGGTGGTGTTAATGTTTTTTGGTTTTAGACTTTGCTTTTCTGTAATAAAATCTGCCCAGAGTGACTTGCAAAAACATGAATACATTGCACCGGGGGGCGGGGGGGAGGATGAAATGAGAAAAACACAAAACTCTGCAATGAAAACAATAAAGTCAGAGAACTGGAGTCAGACTTTTCGAAAGCAGGGTCTCAGTTTAATAGATTGGCTTGATTAACCTATTTTATCTATGTGGACTATAGATAGCATTCAGTATATTATATATTTCTATGACGGACAGCGTCATATACAATATAGAATCTACTTGACGCAGTAACCAATACACACTCAGGCTCCAAAACGTGACATGAGTAATAAAAGCAAGATTTGTGGCCCACGGTGGTGGTGGTAGGAGAGTGTTGACTTAGACACTTCCTTTTCTTTTAGGCCATTTATTAATTTCATTCGTTCATTCTATAATCTGGTTGGTTTTAATAAAAGGCTGATAGCTAAGGTATTGTAGAAGTACAGATAGTCATAGGGCTGAGGGCTAGGTGTTTCAGAGCCACTCCTGGCTCTGGGGCCAAATTCAGGTTGCAGCTCAGGCTCTCGTAACTGTGCAGAAGTCGCAACCAGCCCTGAGATCCCTCTCTGCTGTGGTTCAGCACGGCCACAGTCTTCCTCCGATCCCCTTTTGTAGCATTCTGCAGAGGGCCTTTTCTGCCACGAAGGACCTGCGGTGACTGACGTGGGTTTGAGGAAAGGGGAAAGAAAGCAGGGTGCAAAACAAACCACAGATGTGGGAAGCTGCTCTCTTGCCAAGTATAGGATTCTGCTTGTAGCTGGAGTGGTGTTAGGGCTTTCTCAGCCTGTGGGTCCCCAGATGTTGTTGAACTACAACTCCCATCACCCCTAGCTAGCAAGGCCAGAGCTCGGGGATTATGGGAGTTGTAGTCCAACCACATCTGGCGACCCACAAGTTGAGAACCACTGTGTTAGGGGTAGAACCTGTGGCTCTGCAGATGTTGTTGGGACTAGAACTCTGCATCCCATTCTGGCTAAGCCTGATGGAAATCGGACCACATCTGGAGGGGCAGATGTTCCCCATCTCTGGTGTAAGCCATGCTCTGTGCAACCGTGGCTAATGCAGATGAGACAGGATTATTTAATAATATTTGGATTGGGTCTGTGGAGGGAACAATTAAAAAATAAAAGTTCGGTTTTGTGGCTAGAAGTGGAACAGCAATACTGCTTGAATGGTATGAGGGAATAGGGTTGCAGTCTCCTGTACTATATCCCCCTGGTGGTGCAGCAGTAAAACTGCTGCCACATTGGCCAAGCTGCAAGCTGTACATGTTCAGCTGCAAGTCAGCAGGACTTCAGTCTGAGAGACCAGGGTTCAAATCCTCACTCAGCCATGAAGCTCACCAGGTGACCTTTGGCCAATCACTATGAGCCAGTGTGGTGTGGTGTAGTGGTTAAGAGCGGTAGACTCGTAATCTGGTGAACCGGGTTCGCGTCTCCGCTCCTCCACATGCAGCTGCTGGATGACCTTGGGCTAGTCACACTTCTCTGAAGTCTCTCAGCCTCACTCATCTCACAGAGTGTTTGTTGTGGGGGAGGAAGGGAAAGGAGAATGTTAGCCGCTTTGAGACTCCTTTGGGTAGTGATAAAACGGGATATCAAATCCAAACTCTTCTTCTTCTTCTGTCTCTCAGCCTAACCTGCATCACCGGGTTGTTGTGAGGTCAAAAATGGGGAGGAGAAAACCATGAGCTCCTGGGAGGATGAGGTGGAATATAAATATAATAAATAAAATGAAATTAAGTCTGTCTGTTTGTGAACCAGGACTCTGTTAACCTTCTCCTTACAGATAAGTCCAACCTCCTTGTCTTCAGGAGCAATGGAATTTCTGACTTGCCCTCATCGCCCACCTTGCAGAGGCATAATAACGTTAACCAGATGGTCTTTCACAAAATCCGGAATGAGGACCTGATCTTTGTAAGTTCACGAGACGTATCTTCTCGTTTGTGTAATACTCTGATCCTCAGCGCAGTCCTTTGAATTAAGTCCCATTAATTTAATGGCACCAGCGTTGTTTCTCAGTGGTGTGTGTTACTGGAAATAGTGTGCACATCGGTGGGAAATTGTATTTACAGAAAACTAGGTATTTATTGTGATAAGTGCACCTGGAAGTGGAAGTGTTCACTTGCAATTCATTTGCTGTGTGACTAAATTAATTGAAAATCAGCATGTGTGGTTTTTCTTTTTAATGTGGGTTCATACTTTTTTATTAAGATAAATGTGGGAGTTTAAACTGAGTGATGTCCTAATCATCATATTTTCTTTTCAGTAGCCCTTCCAGCCTACCTACCGTCCGTTCTCAAGCAAATTAACCAATTTAGTTTTGTGGCTTTTAACTTTATAGAGTATTGCACTTCTGAAGCCTCTCCACCAATAATAGTGCATGCATCAGCCAGGAAGGGGAGAGACAGAGAGACAACCAGCATATATCAGAGAGATGTTTGTGTGGCAACTTCACCCTAGGCCAGTTTCCTCTGAAATTCAAGTCCCCTTGAATTAAATGGAAGTTACTACCCCATGTAGTAGTAGTAGCAGCAGCAACAATTTTATTTCTTGGTGATATATTTTATTTCTTGGTGATATATCGATATTTGATATACTGTCCAAAACCAGTTTGATATTGTGATATCGGTTTCATAGTTTTTGACCTGGCAATATATCACATGAATCATGGTGTGTGTCTGTGTGGGCTGTGCAAAAATCGCAATGTGGGGAAAACCGCGAAGCCAGTCAAGGCTTCTCTCAATTCCTTCAGCCCCTGTTATAATTCTGCCAGCTCAGCTCTCCCCTGCTTCATATAGGGCAGCAGCGTATCACAAGAGCAGGCGCTGGCAAAAATCACAATGCGGGAAAAACCATGAAGCCAGCCAATGTTTCTACATAGCTCCATCCTTAATTTCAGACATTGTGATCTATTTGTATATCACATTTTTGGGCTGGTGATATTTCACGATGTTGAAAACAAGGTATCTCCCAGTCCTGTTGTAGACCATAGCAAAGATTTAAAAGGACATTTGGAATTCAGCCACAAATCTGGCTGTTGATTTCCAGCTGCCAACGTAATTAGAGAAACTCGCAAATAACATAATTTCCCTTGTCTAACAGCAAAAGAACCTCCCTTGGTGTAACTCTCCCCCCCCCATGACTTCATGTAGGATCACTTGGGGCTCTCTCCCCAGGAGGGAAAATGAGAAGCCCCTAGCTTAACCTAGTCTCTCCACTCACCCTCAGAGAAGTCGTTTTTTGCATTCCAGCAACATCGTTCAAGGTGGCTGCTTGCAGGGCAAATGGTAAATAGCTTCAAAGCAAGTTTGTGCAGTCAAATGGAAATAATTTCTCTGAACTCAGTTGTGCTTCCATTCGGGTGAACCCACAAGGATTGGTCTCAAAGCCTCTGTCGCGGAATATGCAATTAAATGAAGCATTTGATCTGTTCAGTTATGTTTTTACATTATGATTGTTTCCTTTCAGCTGAGACAGCTCCTGTATTAGTCTTGAAACTAGGTATGCTTTTGCTTAAAATCGGCATGAAGGGATTTTGCAGATGATTGACTCCCCCCCCTTATTTATTTGGGGTTTTTTTAGAACGAAAGCCTTGGCCAGGGCACCTTCACTAAAATTTTCAAAGGTGTGAGGAAAGAAGTGGGCGACTATGGCAAGTTGTATCAGACTGAAGTGCTGCTCAAAGTCCTGGATAAAGTGCACAGGAATTATTCTGAGGTTTGTATTCATACTCCTTGGGTAATATGCTTAATAGTTCATATGCAGGGCTAGTTCAGCAGAGCAGGAATGCAGAGTTCAGCAAATATGGGATCTCAGCTTTAATTTTTAAGATGATGATGATGAATTCAATTTATATACAGCCCTTTACCAGAAGATCCCAGGCATGAAAACACCTTGCAGAACATCCATGTTCCCTAGAGCAGCCTTTCTCAACCTGTGGGTCCCCAGATGTTGTTGAACTACAACTCCCATCACCCCTACCTACAAGGCCAGAGCTCAGGGATGATGGGAGTTGTAGTCCAACAACATCCGGGGACCCACAGGTTGAGAACCGCTGCCCTAGAGAAAGTCCGAGTGGGGTTTTTTTTGGGGGGGTGCATTTGGCCGTCCTTTACACAGTGCCCAGATCCTTTTATCCACAGTCTGACCAGGCAGTATGACTCCACTTACTCTCCCTGCCCACAGACAAGAGTACAGTGATACCTCAGGTTAAGTACTTAATTCGTTCTGGAGGTCCGTACTTAACCTGAAACTGTTCTTGACCTGAAGCACCACTTTAGCTAATGGGGCCTCCTCCTGCTGCTGGAGCACGATTTCTGTTCTCATCCTGAAGCAAAGTTCTTAACCTGAAGCACTATTTCTGGGTTAGCGGAGTCTGTAACCTGAAGCATATGTAACCTGAAGTGTATGTAACCTGAAGCGTATGTAACCCGAGGTACCACTGTATTCAACACAAAAAATAGTGACAGTTTGTTGCTGACAAAGGACAGCTGGACATATAAAGGACCCCATTACCTGCAGTAGCTTAGGGCCTCATCAAACCGAAATACGGCCCTGTCTGGGATGATTGCTGTTTCACACAATCAGATGTTCATGAGGTAAACATGGACATTTTCACAGTGTCTCTGTGTAACGTGAGGTCAAGCCTGCTCAATCTGATTGAATGACGTAGCCGATAGAAGTTCCCCGAGTTTAGCCTTTTGAAAATTAAATGCTTGCCAGTTACTCATCAGTTGGAGCTGTCATGCATTGTTACATGCATTGAAAACTAGCGCCATCATCACCCCCCGCTGTGGGCAGATGTAAGAGTCCTTGTATCCTCATGGGGGATTTTCCTACTGCCAGTAAATTGACATGATTCACTATTAAAGCAGTTAGGCGTTGTGAGAAACAATGATTAAAAACAGGCCTGCAGAGAACAACGGCACCATATTAATTACACCATATCGTTGCGGAAGGTGGGGAGCTGAAGTTATGTGAAAGTGCAGGCGGTTTTTAATTAAGTTTTATTCCAAACAGTTCCCATTAGGGTTTGCTCTGCTAATTATTGTTCCCTATCTCTTGCAGTCTTTTTTCGAAGCAGCAAGCATGATGAGCCAGCTATCCTACAAGCACTTGGTATTAAATTATGGAGTTTGTGTCTACGGAGAAGAAAGTGAGTAAAGCCAATTAACCGTTTTGTGTGCCCTAATTGGAGTTCTGTTATTACCTTCCTGTATGCAAATAGCTATTTCCGAACACATTTGCCTTCTTATCAGGTACATGTTGTCTGGCAAGGAACGACAAGTGTCGGTGCGAAACAATGAGAGATACAAATGCCCTAGGTTGATGTAATCAGTTTGTTCCAGGCTGTACAGTGGTACCTTGGTTCTCTAACTTAATCTGTCGCGCCACTTAATCTGCCGCGCCACAGGGAAGACAAGCTTTCACAGTGATGGCACCTTGCGCCAGGGGCAGGGGGCAGCGACATTCATTGCCCAGTTAATTTCCCCCCCGCAATCAATGAGGACCACCCTGGCGATCTACCTGGAGCACCCCATCGGTCTAACTGTACATCGCGGTCGACTGGTTGAACATGTCTGGTACAGTAATGCCTCCACAAAGGTCCGCCTTGTCTAGCATCCGTTTCAGATGGGTTACTTCTGGGTTTGCTGCTCGCGCATGCACAGAAGCGTAAACTGCCCTGCGCACGTGCGCAGAGCGCTGCCCTGTCGAGCATCCCTTTCGTCGAGCGTCCAGGGCTCCGAAATGTATCCCAGACTCAAAACAAGGTACCACTGTATAGATCTTTCCATTAAAAAAAAACAACCCAAAACTTAATAAACCAAACAGTTGTTGAAAAGAAATGATAGAAACTATAGCTAGTACGCATTTAATACATTGACAGTATGTAATTAAAAGTTTTACATCAGAATCTTACCTTTCACTTCATGGTAACAAAGTTGTGTTGACGTTTAAATGATTTGTGATTGGGGTGTAAACTAGAAAACATTTCTACAATCTCTGAGTCCCAAGAATGGCTTAGCATTAATTTTGCTGAGGAAACAAAGAGTCTCAGTTCCATAATTTGCAGCACGCACCAGTCTGCAGGGATGAAACAGATGTTTTCAAATGTGGCTGGAAGGAATTGTGGCTAGAAAGCAAGGCTGGCTTAAAATTCCGTTTATTATTATTATTATTATTATTATTATTATTATTATTTATTGTCTGCATCTGTGTTTCAAATTAGATATTCTGGTACAGGAATATGTGAAATTTGGGTCATTGGATACTTATTTGAAGAAGAATAAAAATTCTATAAACATCTTGTGGAAGCTAGAAGTTGCAAAGCAGCTGGCAATGGCAATGCATTTTTTCGTAAGTATCTTACATTTCCCGCTAGCAAAATGCCGAAGGTCAGGGATTCACTCCCCCTACCCCTAGTGGATATTGGTGAAGATTTTTTAGACATATTCATTGGTGTTTCTGTTTGTAGGATCCAGACAGCTTGCACACACGTCTTGTTTTCACGCTCACTCCTTTAAAAATCTGGTGTCTTATGTGTGATAAGACTATGATCTGAGTTGTGCTGTTAAACAAATGCAGGAAACTTCTGCTTTATCTGTGGGGGGTGTTAACGGAAAAATCCAAGGGCTCCCTTGGACAAAAAACAAAGACACCAACCAGGATAACTTGGAGCAAAACAGCAGCCTGTAGGCTTGGCCTTTATTGATCTGTTGCAACAGGGTGCTCCCCTCACCTGCAGGAGAGAGGAGGGACCCAGAAAAATGGTGTGCAAGGCCTTATAAAGACTTTTGAAATTGCCACCCTGTAGATCAAGACCACTCCCAGAAACATCATACATACATCACAGAAGGGGTGTAACCTAAGACCACCCCTCAGATACATCACACCTACATCACAGAAAAGGCAGTCTAAAACAGAAATTTGAATATTGTTTTTCTCCTGTCCTTGTTTATCTCCTGTCTGGCAGGTTACTTGATTGGATTGCCTGGGGAGCCTGGCCATTCTTTTGTAGTGATAAATACTTAGTTCCTGGGCCATGTCACAGGCTCACACCCTATTCAAACACAGACATACCCTAAAGACAGGATTTGTGAAGGAAAAGACAATGGGGAGGCTTTTCCACTTTGACCTTGCAGAGAAAACATTTGCTCAGTTTAGGAATCAAAATGGTTCCAGGTTGGCCTTCCTGTGCTGATCTATGTATGTGCTTGGTTGGTACACTTATGAACATTACCATATATCTAAGACCATAAAATTCCTATCACAGGGGAAAGCAGGAGTAAAGCAGACTTGTGTAAGCAATAGTCTTTCCCCAGAAACAACGACTGGATAAAGCCTGTAATTAGTTTTTGGTAATCTCCTCCTGCTCTTCTTTCTCTTCTGGGAAACAGAGAGTAAGTGTGGAGCTTGTCCCAAATAGATTAGGGCCTCTGTGGTGAAGTTTGCCATGCTCCTCTTCACTGCATTTAATGAGGTGCTGGACTGCTGCCACTAAATTCAAGCCAGGCACTGTGCTGTGTAAATTAGCCATTTAAAACTGCATCTCAGTTCCCCCTTATGTCCATTTCTCGAAGTGTTTGCTTATGTCAAAATGTGTCAGCTTGAAATGCAGTTAGGAAGTTGGCGGTTGATCTGTGCCCAGGAGGAAAAATAAGCAATGCTTGTTTGCCTTTATCAGGAAGATAAAAACCTTGTTCATGGGAACGTATGTGCAAAAAACATCTTGCTTATCAGAGAAGAAGATAGAAAATCCGGGAACCTTCCTTTTATCAAGCTCAGCGATCCTGGTATCAGCATTACAGTTTTGCCAAAAGACAGTAAGTCTCTGACTCACCCGTTTCAGCAGCTCACCTGCTACCTTGAAAATATCGTTGAGTGATTATCTCCTCCTCTCATTGCACTTAAAATTCATATTGTTGAGTACTGCTGTTCTTGTTTGGGAAGCCATGAACCTCCCACAAGCGTGGGGCGTGCTTTTGTTTTTTTCCGTTGCCGGCATCATTTTGCTACTTAAAACTATTTCCATGCCAGCGGGTGTGCTGCTGGAAACTGAAAACCCAGCAGAATAGACCCCTCAGTTTCAATTCTTAAAGAGCCAATGTTCGTCTTTCACCCACTGAGAATCCCCATTTAACACTCTGAAAAAGGTAAATCTGGTTCAGGAGTAGCCAGTGCAATGTATTTTATATGATGCTAAGCTCCAGTTCCCATTAGACCCGGCCAGCAGGATGAGTCCACCTGGAAGACACCATACAAACTGATCCATTTGTTGGATTTAAAGCATTTTTGCCACACCTGAATATTCACGCGAGATACCTTATCTCTATTTCCTTACAAATTGAATTCCTTGGGATTAGGATTTTTATCTGAAGGAACCAAGAGAATCAAAACCTCTCTCTGTGTTTACACACTTTAGCTCATGTCTCCTATGCTTAAGTCTGCATGTGAGAATTTCTAAAATATTTCTTCAAGGCCGCAGACATGGTGCTTCAAGTTTGTTTGTTTGTTTGCTTGTTTGTTGTCATTTACAAGCCCTAAAGATACTTATAGACCACATTTGCACCAGAGGTCCTCAGAGATTATCTAATATAGTTGAGCAGCAATTAAAACATCCAACCAAAAAAAGTAAATAAATCAAATGCTTTCTCATTCATCCTAGTAACAAATTGCCTTGTTTTTTCACGATTGCCTAGTTCTCCTTGAGAGAATACCGTGGGTTCCACCTGAATGTATCGAAAATCCAAAACAGCTGAGTTTGGCAACGGACAAGTGGAGTTTTGGAACCACACTGTGGGAAATATGCAGCGGAGGAGACAAACCTCTTAGTTTGCTGGATTCTCAAAGAGTAAGTACCATGTGAAGTTGAACATCTTTGTCTTGGTGAACATACTGGGCAGCGATGGGCATAAGCCACGGTTAAAGTATTTGGATGCAGCTTCCGCATGTGATTCTGCCCCTCATCGGGTTTAACGTTTAGGAAATAGTCATAGCTGTCAACTTACAGATTTGAAAATAAGGGACCAGCAGCCTCAAAAATAAGGGATCAGCAGCCAAAATAAGGGATTTTCCGGGCACAGGTATGTTCAACTTCTGAGCCCCTCTGAGCCAAAGGCAGAAAGCCCAGCCAGCAGCCAAATGAAGCCTCAAGGAAAACCACCGTCACCTCTCCGCTGGGAAGTGCTGAGCAAAGGCGAGTCCCCAGGCAACACAGCCGATTTGATCAGCAGAAGACATGCAAGCTCCACCCCCCAGTCGTTCTTAGACTCCTTATTGGGTGAGCAACGCAGCCAAGCAAGACAGTTGGAGCCTCCCTCCTCCCTGGCTGGCAGGCAGGGAGGGAGGGAGAGGAGCTGCTTCCTTTGAAACCTGGGAAATTTAAGGGACATCATCAATAAGGGACAGCAGCGGGACATGGCGCTGGGATAAGGGACTGTCCCGCCAAATAAGGGACGCTTGACAGCTATGGAAATATTTCTTAGCCTGCTAGGCAGGTTTATTTAAACTATAGGGGAAATTGTAAGCAATAGTCTTTCCCCAGAAGCAACGATTGGATAAAGCCTGTAATTAGTTTTTGGCAATCTCCTCCTGCTCCTCTTTCTCTTCTGGGAAACAGAGAGTAAGTGTGGAGTTTGTCCCAAATAGATTGGGGCCTCTATGGTGAAATCTGTCATGCTCCCACTTTCCTGACATTTCCTCGGTGGCGATTCAGACACACTGGGATTTAAAGTCATGTGGCACAAAGGCTATGCATCATGTGGCAGGTGCAACATGTTCCCTGATAGTGAAACCCTGTATTTTATTGTATGGTTTGAAAACCAGCATGTGGCCACGATTTGTGTGTACGAGGGAACCTCTCCATCTCTTAAACCAAAGTTGTTTGTGTCGGAGACAAAGAAGTGTTGTATTTGATGTTTGCTTGGACATGTAAAAGAATCTCCTTTGCTGTTGAAAGTACCTCTTTTCTTCCCCCCCCAAAAAGCTACTCAGAATTGTCCTAAATCACCGTCATTTCTTGAATTCTAGAAATTACAGTTTTATGAGGATAGGCATCAACTTCCTGCTCCTAATTGGACAGAACTAGCAAACCTTATAAACAACTGCATGGATTATGAGCCAGACTTCAGACCCTCTTTTAGAGCGGTTATACGTGACCTTAACAGTTTGTTCGCTCCAGGTATGTTAATGGAGAAGAGGTAACTAAATTTTGGTGGGAGGCGCAATATGTTTTCTGATCTGCAGTTAGAGTAGAATCTACTGCATAGGCCAGTGATGGCCAAACTTAGGCCCTCCAGCTGTTTTGGGACTACAGTTCCCATCATCCCTGACCACTGGTTAGCTAGGGATGTTGGGAGTTGTAGTCCCCAAACAGCTGGAGGGCCAAGTGTGGCCATCACTGGCATAGGCAAACTGTTGCAGGGGAGAAGGATGTTGTTCTGAATGTGTTCATAAGACCTGGTGTGGCCTAGTGGCTAAGAGCCTGAGCTATGGATCGAGAAATGATGATGATGATGATAATAATAATAATACAGTAATAATATTTATTTATTTATTTATTTATTCATTCATTCATTCATTCATACCCCGTCCACTCTGGGCAGTTCTCAACAGAATATTAAAAACACGATAAAACATCAAATATTAATAACTTCCCTAAACAGGGCTGCCTTCAAATGTCTTCTAAAAGTCAGATAGTTGTTTATTTCCTTGACATCTGGTGGGAGCGCGTTCCACAGGGCAGGCGCCACCACCAAGAAGGCTCTTTGCCTGGTTCCCTGTAACCTCACTTCTTGCAGTGAGGGATCCGCCAGAAGGACCTCGGAGCTGGACCTCAGTGTCCAGGCAGAACGATGGATCAAGAAATCCCTGCTTCAGCTCCGTAATCTGTCACGAGCTCTGCCAAGCAAGTCACCGCTTTTGTAGCTTCAGTGCCCATCTGCAATATGGGAATATCAACACTGAGCTCACTTTATAGAGTTGATGTATTTGAAAACACTATGAACTCTGTAAAGAGCTACATGAATGTAATGTATTATTTATCTGAAACACTTTACTTCATGGATAAATCTCTCTTAATCTTGCCGTACAGCAAGTGAAGCCTATTAATAAATATTCTCCAATTTAACCCAATATTTTAAACTTGTGTGTGTTGGGGAAGTGAAATGCAAGGCTATAGATCCATAGTACTTAAAAAAATAATAATTAAAAGTTGTGTTAAACCAATCAGGGCCATTTTGCACATTACACAGCTTTGATTTTTTTCAGCTTGAACTTCCCCACCTCTGATGTTGTATGACATCAGCGGCTTGGGAAAGGTGAGCATGGTTGACCAATGATTGGATGGGCCAATTTCTGGCTTAGTGGGGTTAATTAGACCTGTAGGCAGGAGATTCCACACCACTGCTATAGAACATGTCTGTCTGCAGATATATTTGAGTTGCACACATAACTTTTCTTCTTGTATCAAAATTTGTTTGCGCTTGTAGAGTTAATGAGCAAATGAACCATCAGTGGGAAGTTTTGAAATGCACTAGGGATTAGGCTGCTTCTATTATCTTCCCGTGGGATGCGGGAGGCACTGTGGTCTAAATCACTGAGCCTCTTGGGCTTGTCGATCAGAAGGTTAGCGGTTCAAATCCCCGCGACAGGGTGAGCTCCCGTTGCTCTGTCCCAGCTCCTGTCAACCTAGCAGTTTGAAAGCATGTCAAACTGCAAGTAGATAAATAGGTACCACTCCAGCGGGAAGGTAAACGGCGTTTCCGTGTGCTGCTCTGGTTTTACCAGAAGTGGCTTAGTCATGCTGGCCACATGACCCGGAAGCTGTCTGTGAACAAACGCCAGCTCCCTTGGCCTATAGTGCAAAATGAGTGCGCAACCCCAGAGTCGTCCGGTCCGGGGTACCTTTACCTTTATTAAGATAGCATGTTCATATTTTCCAGGGCTGCACAAGTTAATTTGTCTGCTGATGATGATCTGTTTCTGTTCAGATGCTGTAGGGGAGCCTAGCTGAACATAATATTTTCTTTTGTGTGTGTGTGTTTTTTTTTCTTCAAGATTACGAACTATTGAAAGAAAGTGATATGTTACCAAATATGAGAATTGGCGCTCTTGGGTTTTCTGGGGCTTTCGAAGGCAGGGACCCGACTTATTTTGAAGAGCGGCACCTGAAATTTTTGCAACAACTTGGCAAGGTAAGAAGATGGGGTGTCTTCTTGCAAAGATATGTGATACCGTTAGAAACAAATAAGATATAGAGTGGGAAACCATGGCTAACTTGAAATAATTTGCATACTTTGCATAGTGTCAAGGCTGCCTCAAGTCTCAGCTCACAAAAGACCAACGCCTATGTCTTCTTATATACAAAAGTGTTTATTGCAGTTCATTGTTTGCTTGACATCCTAGGCGCGCAGCCTTACGTCTGCTACGCTTAGACCGCTGAAGTCCCCTCTGAATCCGTCCCTCCCCTGCACCAATTTAAGAGGCTTGCGCTGCTCCACCTCTTTCTCTCCTTCCTTTTCCGCAGGGTCCTTCTGCCCGCTGGGGTTTCGCCCCTCCTGGATTCCTCTGACGCGGAATCAGACTGCTCTTCCCCCTCCTGCGGGCTTTGGGACCTGGCCCCTCCTCCGGGCTCCCTGTACTTCCGCGCGCCTCTACATTTGAACTTGGCGCGCGCGCCAAACCTCTAACTTTCCTTTTGACAGTTACACTACTCCCTTCACTGCCCCCTCCCCTTCCGGGAGGGCGGCTTGCTCTGACCTCCCTCCTTTCTCTGCTGCCGGAGCTGCTTCCCCTGGCACACTGGAAACTCCACCCCCTTCGCTGCACTCTGGTGGGGAGGCTGGTCCTGACGCCCAGCTGCCACTTTGGGATCCTCCGCTGGCCCCCTGCTCCTGACACGTCCCCCCTGGGCCTCCCCTGGCCTTGACCACCGGCGCCCCCTTCTGGGAATCCTCTGATTCGCTGGAAAGACTCATGGAATCTCTTGAGTCATTGTCATCCTCTTCCTCGCTGGCTTGGAATTCATCCCCATCGCTCTCCATCTCCTGCCTACCCTGTGCCTCTCTCCCTGAACCCCTGACACATAGTATTTTTGGAAGTGCTTATTTTAACAGAAGCAGAGACTGCCCTTTAATATGTATTTTTTTCGGAGTGGTTTCAGCTTTTTGAAAGAGCAACTGTTTTTTGTTTTGCTCCCTATCTGTGCAGCTTTTGGGGGATGGCGATAGTTCAGAAATATCCTACTCTGTTCCACTTCTAAGGATGGATCTACACACAGGGAGGCACTCTAAATAAGTCAGAAATTAGATTGTTATAACAAAGAAAAAGAACCCTACAGAAAATTGCATATAAAAATTTCCTGCTCTCTGGCCCCATCTGGTGTTGCATGTTTATAATGCATTCAAAACACTGCTTTTTTGACTAATGTAGCTGAGTCCTAACAGCAGTATGGAATTTATACCTCCACCCCAAGATATTTGTCTCCCTCTTATCGGAAGGCTTGCATTCTTCTTTAAGACGAAGAATGACAAGATATGGGGGGAGCCTCTGTTGTGCACACCATACCTCCTTTGTCCCTAAATTTTAATCTTTCCTCTTAACTTTAAACCAGCTCTTTTTTTGGTTTACCTTCAGGTTTTCTCCCTTGAACCCCTTCCTATTTCCCCCTCCTTTTGCTGCTTCCCTCTTTGTCACATTTCTCCTTTTGCGAGCCAGTGTGGTGTAATGGTTAAGAGCGATAGACTCGTAATCTGGTGAACCGGGTTCGCTTCCCTGCTCCTCCACATGCAGCTACTGGGTAACCTTGGGCTAGTCACACTTCTCTGAAGTCTCTCAGCCTCGCTCACCTCACAGAGTGTTTGTTGTGGGGGAGGAAGGGAAAGGAGAATGTTAGCTGCTTTGAGACTCCTTTGGGTAGTAATAAAGTGGGATATCAAATCCAAACTCTTCTTTGCAGTAAATCACTGGATGTGAAGAGAGCAGGGAATTTAGGGGCTTCCTTTGTGTTCAACCTGCCTCCTTTATCCCTGAGCCTTTGGGGTGTGTGTCGTTGCTTGTACATCACATCTTCAGATTTGTTTACTTCACAGCCCTGAGCGGTCAAAACATAACCCAAGTGCAGGAATATTTTTCCTTTGGCTCATGCAGCTTTCGGATGCTTTTAGGTCTTGGCAGTGCCTGTTCCTTTCCTGTCTCTCTTCTTAAATGTGCAATTCTGCTTCCCTTTATTTAAATATATATGCAGGCTGCCCCTGAAGTCATATGGGTGAAGTTTTCTTGTCCTCCTTCATCTTCAGGAGATGTTGTTGTTGTTGTTTAACTGTTTTTGTGCACTCTTTTTTAATATTATTCTTTATTGATTAAAAATTTACATATCTATACAAACATTATATGCCATCTCTTTACAAATGAAGAAAAAGAAAATTAGGTAGAAAATAGAAAATTTATAAAGGAATAAAAAAGAGGAAAAGGAAGGGGGAGGAATAACAAAAATACGAAATAAAAAAAATCAAAAGAGGAAAAGAAAAGACATTATTTACAGAATAAAAGTGTTCATCAACACAATCCTTCCCATCCTTCTCATTATACTGTAATATAATTCTTTTTTAACACAGATTTGTACTGTAGAATATCATTTCTTTTCTGCTTTGTATATATTCCTCTAATCATTTTCTTTACAAATATCACTCAGTTTCTGCTAATATGGAATTATTTGTACAATAAAGTTTTACATCATTCTTAAATATTTAAGACCTATGTTTTTGTGCACTCTTAATAATCTTAGACTTGGAGTGTTACCAAAGTCCCAAGTTGGTGGCGAAAACAGGACATTTATTGAGTCATTAGTGGGATCCCATTCCTGGCTGTGTCACCAGGTAGATCGCTCATTATGCAGGCACGAATTGTGCTGTGTGGCACTGGGAAAAGAACCCGTCGTATTTTCTTTCAATTATTTCTATGATTTTGTCACCCATCAAGTCCCAGGGCAGGTTACAACCATAGGATGAGTTGGGTGGGTCCTAAAAATAAATATATCAGCTGTCAAAACAATAGTGCAGGGTTCCTCCCCTGCCCCGCCATGCCCCCCGGGCTTGATATATAAATGTTTCTATTCATATTCCTTGCAGGGGAATTTTGGCAGTGTGGAGATGTGCCGGTATGACCCGCTGCAGGACAACACAGGGGAAGTGGTGGCTGTTAAAAAGCTACAGCACAGCACGGAAGAACACCTGCGAGACTTTGAAAGAGAAATCGAAATTCTTAAATCTCTGCAACATGACAACATTGTGAAGTACAAAGGCGTGTGCTACAGTGCTGGTACATGCGCTTTCTAATGTTATTTGTTAAGCAAAAGCTAGCAATCCCTTGATAACTTATCAAATCTTCCCCTTAGCGTGAATCAGTTGTTCCCCATTAGCATGAATTCGGAGATGTCCGAACAGTCTCTCTTTAAATTAGAGTGTGACCTTTCCTGTTCACATTTTAAAGAGCAGCCACAATCACACTGTCAAGAGTCTCTGCAGTTATTAGCATATACTTGCAACGATTTCCAAAACATCAACTAAACGAGATGTGGTTTCAGTAAATGTCATTGCATCCTTCTTCGTTTAAGCATTAGCTTTTAATCCAGCATTTGTCTGTTAGCGTGCTGTGCTCTACAGCAACAGCTCCCTTCCTGAGCTGCATTTCCCTGCATGGTTTTAACAGTCAAAATCCCCCTTCATAGGGAATTCTGGAAATCTGTGAAGGGGAATAGGGGCCTCCTAAGAACTTGCAGCATCCTTAACGAGTTACAGCTCCCAGAATCCTTTGGGAGAAGCCATGATGGTTTAAAGTCATATCATAGGGTTTTAAATATCTGATGCGAATGTGGCCAGACACACTGTACTGACACAATAGTGGTCACATCTCATGGGGGGGGCACAGGGGTAGTTACCCTGGCCGCAAAATTGTAACACCGGGTGCTGCTTCAGTACAGCTGTACACTCCCGTTGGCTGGGCTCCGTTGAAAACATGTTCTCCGTGCAAACTAGGAAGTGACCTCTCCAAACAATGGAACAACTCTTCTTCTTTTTTAATCTCTGGGTGACATGGACACTTTTAGGCAGTTGAATGTGCATGCGTACTCCTTCCATTTCACTCCCTCTCACTCCATGCAGCCCCGGGCACTGTCAACCCTTGCTACACCACTGCATTTCATTCCAGAAATGCATTTGCCAGGGTAGCCCATTTTGGGCTGTCATTGTTTTGAACTTTATCTTTTAGTGTTGCCCGTGTTAAAGTAGCAGCATGTAACTCTGCTTACTACTCATCAAACACATCTTCCTCGTGTAACTAGCTGTTTCACGATCTTCAGAGTTTCTTTCTACGCATTTGGAAAACAGCAAGCTTAACTAAATTTGATTTTTGGCAAAAGAATACCATAATGGAATCTTCCACTGCATATATGCTGCAGATGGTCTGTGCCTTTTGCTTATAACGTGCTATATGAAGGAAGCTCTGTAAAGCGTAATTTTGAATCTTTTTCTTTTCTTTTGCCACGTGTTTGGGAAGGCCGGAGAAATCTGAAATTGATAATGGAGTACTTGCCCCACGGAAGTTTGCGAGACTATCTCCAGAAGCACAAAGACAGGTTGGATCATAAGAAACTCCTACATTATGCCTCTCAGATATGTAAGGTAATACATTTTACTGGTGTCTCGAACTCTACTGAAGTCTGCTCTGGGAGCAAGTGGTGTGAGAACCGGAGCTGTTTGCCGCAAACTCTGTAAACGCTCGGGCAGATTGTGTGCAGTTCTCCTTCCCAGTACAGTGCAGGGTCATAGAACCATAAAGTTGGAGGAAACTTGGAGATAATCGAAAACACAACTGTTGCCTCTTCTCTTCCACTCGCTCATGCCAGGCAGCAAACAGCATAGAGGTGACAGCAGATTTATGCTGCAGATGTTGTCATGTTGTGCTCCAGAGCTCCCATTTCGCCTGCTTAGCCGTCATATAAGCAAGCCTTTGCTGGCCCACAGGGCATTTCTTGGCCAAGTTTCGTCCAATGCACGAGGCGAATTTTGAAGAAATGAATGTGGGAGGAGTAAAGAAATGGAACAATTTTGCAGGGAATGTCCCCCGTTGACGGAAAACAGGAGAATCGTGTAAAGACACACACGTAAAAGAAATGTTTGGTTCTGAGAGAGAAGACTTAGAATTTCTAGGAGTAAGCATCAGTGAAATGGATGAGGTTATTCTCAGGGTCAAAATGATAGCTGTGTGTCTATAGTGTCAGTGCTGTATGCAGCAAGGTCAAGAACGCCGCTGGTCAATTCAGCGTTCTGCACAATTGTTTTGCAGCAGACACAATGGTGACATCTAGTGGTACTTGGGTCACAGTTTGGTAGAGGAATGGTGAACTTTAGGAACAGCTCCTGCCTATTCCTCCCTGTCTGTTGTTTCCTAATAGCATAGGATTATGTGGATAAGCTGGATGTTCATAAGCATTTGGGGGGGAATTCTGACAGCCAGGTGTTAATTACATGTCTCATCATCTCTTCTGCAACCAGTATTTATTGAACCCATGAACACTGATTTTATAACACCATTTGTGTACGCACAGGGTATGGAGTATCTGGGTTCAAAAAGATACGTTCACAGAGATCTAGCAACACGGAATATCTTGGTGGAGAATGAAAACAGGGTTAAAATTGGAGACTTTGGCTTGACAAAAGTTTTGCCTCAGGACAAAGAATACTACAAAGTCAAGGAACCAGGAGAGAGTCCCATATTTTGGTATGTTTCTCTCTGCCGCTTGATTACAAGGCAAATGATTTGGGGGAAATGCAATACTGCATAAATTATTTGGCCCTTGGAATATAATAAAGCGATGCATCTAAAACTTACTCAGTCTAGAGTATTATTCTTGGTATGAGCTTTCGTGTGCATGCACACTTCTTCAGATACACTGAAACAGAAGTCACCAGACCCTTATCTATAGTGAGGGTGGGGAGGGGTATTACTCAGAAGGGTGGTGGGAATGGGTGATTGGCTGATAGGTGTGGCCAAACCCTACGCCAAAGGATAAATGGGCATAAATCTGACATCAGGAATCACAAGACAGAGAAAGCAGTAGGAGAACACTTCAGTTTCCCAGGACATTCTATACAAGATCTCAAAGTAGCTGTCTTATTACAAAAGAATTTCAGAAATAGACTGGAAAGAGAAGTTGCTGAATTGCAACTTGTTACCAAACTTAAAACCATGGAGAGACCTGGTCTGAATAGAGACATTGGATTCTTTTCATTAGCTATCTCACCCCTTGCTTTTTCCTGTAAGACCAATTGCAGTCATTAACAGTTGTTAACAGGTTTACCACACCTATCAGCCAATCACCCATTCCCACCACCCTTCTGAGTAATACCCCTCCCCACCCTCTCACTATATAGAAGGGTCTGGTGACTTCTGTTTCAGTGTATCTAAAGAAGTGTGCATGCACACGAAAGCTCATACCAAGAACAAACTTAGTTGGTCTCTTAAGGTGCTACTGGAAGAAAAAAATATATATTTGTTTTGACTGCGGCAGACCAACACGGCTACCTACCTATTATTATTATTATTATTATTATTATTATTATTACCCCTGCTACTCTGGGCGGCTTCCAACACATATAAAAACATAGTAAAACATCAAACATTAAAAACTTTCCTTAGCAGGGCCACCTTCATCTGTCTTCTAAAAGTCATAGAGTTGTTTATCTCCTTGACATCCGATGGGAGGGCATTCCACAGGGAAGGCGCCACTACCGAGAAAGCCCTCTGCCTCGTTCCCTGTAACTTCACTTCTTCCATTGAGGGAACTGCCAGAAGGCCCTCGGAGCTGAACAAGAGAGGTGGAGATGCTCCTTCGGGTATACAGAGCCGAGGCCGTTTAGGGCTTTAAAGCTCAGCACCAACACTTTGAATTATGCTTGGAAACGTACTGGGAGCCAGTGTAGACCTTTCAGGACCTGAGTTATATGGTCTCGGCAGCCACTCCCAGTCACCAGTCTGGCAGCCACATTCTGGATTAGTTGTAGCTTCCAAGTCACTTTCAAAGGTAGCCCCACGTCTAGTGCATTGCAGTAGTCCAAGCGGGAGATAACCAGAGCATGTACCACTCTGGCAAAACAATGCGCAGGCAGGTAGGGTCTCAGCCGGCGTACCAGATGGAGCTGGTAGACAGCCCCCCTGGACACAGAATTGACCTGTTAAGGGTATAATGTGTTGTGTTAAATTGTTTTTGTTTTATAGATCTCCTTTTTTCCCCCTCCTGTCCCCTTTCTCTTCTCTCCTCCCCTCCCCGGCTTCTTATGCTATAGGTATGCTCCAGAATCACTGACGGACAACAAGTTTTCTGTGGCTTCTGATATGTGGAGTTTTGGTGTGGTCCTCTATGAACTCTTCACGTATATAGACAAGAACAAAAGCCCCCCAGCGGTTTGTAGATAACCTACATGTGTATACTTGGTCTAGGGCTATGACTATCCCCGTTAGGAGAGGGTGGGGGACCTTTTGTCCCTGCTAGGCCATATTTTGTTGAGTCAAAGTGGTTAGGAGTTAACAGCTACTTCCCTTGGCTTCTCTGCTGCACATTGAGAAAGGGACTCCTGTTTCTCCCTGCGCAGCACAGAAACACAGCCAGCTGCCCGTGGAGAAACAAACTTGTCTTTTCCTCTATGGACAGGTCAACAGCAGGAATCTCGTGTGTGTGTGTGTGTGTGTGTGTGTGTTTTAACATATCATTTCCAATAATCACATAGCATATCTTCTTATCTTATACATTGTTTTAGACTTCCGTCAACACCTCTGATGATTTTCCGTCTTTTATCACTTATTCTGCATTTCTTGATATATCTTTTACTCTTAATTATCATCAACTAATAATTCTCCTCATAGTCTTTCTTGTAATATTTCATATAATTCTCCTTACAAAACTTCTTGCAATCCTACTGGCATAATCTGTTCATTACTATTACTTTTCAAATAGTTCATATATTTACTCCAGTCTTCTAAGAATCTCTGATCCCGCAGGTTTCGAATCCTTCCAGTTAATTTATCCAATTCTGCATAGCCCATCAATTTCATCCGCCAATTCTTCTATCATCGGTAATTCTTCTTGCTTCCATTTTTGTGCCAATAATATTCTTGCTGCCGTCATTGCATATGAAAACAACTTACAGTCCTGTCTATTAATCTCATCTCCTACAGTGCCAAGTAAAAATGCTTCTGGTTTCTTAATAGATGTATATTTCAACATCTTTTTCATCTCATTATATATCATTTCCCATAAGTTTTTCACTTTTAACAACAGGAATCTCTCACTTTCCCTCTTCACTCCTGCTGAGCTGCGGTCTCCTCCCTCCAAGCTGCTAATCAGCACAAAATACTGCAGGGTCTCATTTTCCCTGCAAATGTTTGTTTCTGCCTTTTAGGGCCTTCTGAAATTACAGTTATTTATATGCTTTTGTAGCCCACGCTTCATGCGCTCTCAGATTACCAGCAGCCTAAAACAAGTTAGCCCCACTTAGTGGCATAACAGCTGAATCGTCAATTACATCCTATCAAACAGGAAGCAAAACCAGCAGCGACACTGCAGAGGGAATAATACCCTGATCTTGCCCTCTACCCTCCAAGAAGATGTGTCTTGTAGCAGGGAGGGCATTCCACAACCGAGGGGGGCCACCACGCAGAAGACCCTCCATGCCCTGCTGCTTCACAAAAGCCACCAGTGATGGCACTCCCACCCCTGGCAGATCTTAATGCCTGGGAATGTCTGGGGGGGGGGCATGCTCTAAGCACAATGTGCTGTGCATGGGACTGCCCTTGAGGGTCGTTTGGAAATGTCAGCAGGCCCAGAGTATGGCCGCAGAGTTTGTAGCAAAGATTCCTAGCACTGTGGTTGCTGATGTGTTTCCAGCCTAAATTCAAGGTGCTGAGATTTACTTCTGGGGCAGAAAGTGGTAAGGGGAATATGCCACCAGTGGGGGGGAGCAGGGTGAAAGCAACATGGGTGGGATGCGCTTTCTCTTTCCCCATCCTCTCTGACCTCTCTTCTCTCCACACACAAATGCACTTTTCATTAATCCCTTTTCCCCATCTTCATCTATCCATCCATTCATTTTCGTTCTCTTCTGGCTGGAGCAACCATTCCGAAGGAGGTTGAGTGCTACATGCAGACTCCAGGCCAACAAATTGCAAAGTTCATTACAGTCTGAACCCAGAAGGAAATGCCTTCTCCCTTGTCTTCCCAACCCCCTGTTAAGTAGCTCTTTTTCAGTAGCTGGCTCCAAGATTTGGAATTAGTTACCAGGTTTGGTGTATGTAAATCTGGGAGACTGGCCCTTTTAAACAAGCAAGCCTTTTGTAACTAAATATATTAACACCAGCTCTCTCCTTTTTAAAATCTAACTCTGATAGTATTTTATTGTTGCTCAAGTTTTGTTTTGTTTTTTTTAAAAAAATCAGTTTTAACCTACTGCAGGAACAAATGTTGAAAAACAGGCCATAAATTTTCCAAATAAATAAAAGCAAGTTTCTGTCTGCAAAACCTTCATATTGGCGTAGACTTTTTTTAAAAACTTTATTAAATGAGGGATATTCTATAGGCCTTAAAGGTTTGCCTCTCTGACATATTGCATTCTATCCAACAAAGACTAGTGTGCCTTCTGCGTAGCTCCTCCTATGAAACTGGGTAATTCTTTGATACTTTGATGTCATTAACCTTAACGGAAACTCAACTTGGAATTTTTATTTTAGGAGTTCATGCGCATGATTGGGAATGATAAGCAGAACCAGATGATTGTGTTCCATTTGATAGAGCTGTTGAAGAATAACGGAAGGCTGCTCAGACCTGACGGATGCCCGGATGAGGTACCTGAATGTATCACTTTATCATGCTTTTCTCTCACTTGGTGTAGCTGTCAGTCATGGTGTGCCTCTGAATTGTTCCTGTGGTAGAGACGACCATAGCAGAACACTTGCCCCCGTGTTTACCTGGAAGCCTAGTAGCGTGGGCAGTTTCCCCATCCTTCAAAAGTTTTCTTGTAAGACCAAAAACTTGGGCTTTCTCATTCATGAGCAACTTAGTTTTTTTAGAAACAAGAAAGCCAGTGTGGAAGTGCAATGCCATCTAGAATCCATTCGTTATTTCCAGTTTACAAAGCTTGCTTTTGCAAACAGCTACTTGTAAATGTGGAGGACGCAGGTGGCGCTGTGGGTTAAACCACAGAGCCTAGGGCTTGCCGATCAGAAGGTCGGCGGTTCGAATCCCCACGACAGGGTGAGCTCCCGTTGCTCGGTCCCTGCTCCTGCCAACCTAGCAGTTCGAAAGCACGTCAAAGTGCAAGTAGATAAATAGGTACAGCTCTGGCGGGAAGGTAACGGCATTTCCGTGCGCTGCTCTGCTTCGCCAGAAGCAGCTTAGTCATGCTGGCCACATGACCCGGAACCACAGCCAGCTGCGGGTATACAAATGTAAGAAACAACAACAACATAAATAGATCCCATTTGAGAACAGGGGAATGGCCTTAAGTACTTAAGTACAGACCCGTCCCTAATTCACTTTCAGAAGTGGCTGAAGTAAAACGACTGCCTGATGGACTGCCTTGAGAAATGTTTCCTCGTCATGATTGCTTAAAGATGGTTGATATTTCCAATATGTATTTTATGGTGGAGGGAGAAAGCTTACAAGAGATATGGGGAAAACCGAGGAGCTGGTGGAACTCACTGCTACCTGGCCCTCCCCAGTACTGTTATAACTCTCTGCCAACCCTTGCTCTCTGCTTGCAAAACCGTCTCGTTTCGGAAGGAAACTGTGTGGCTCTCTAGATATTGCTAGACTCCCAGTTCCCATCATCCCTGACCATTTGGCAATGCTGGCTGTGGTTGATGGTAGTTGGGAGCCCAGCAACATACGGAGAGTTGCAGGTTGCTGCCCTGCCACTGATCTAAATTACAGGTTCAAGTGATTACCTGGCACACACCTGTTGTACGAGTTGTCATGTTAATAAAAATAGCAAAACTGGCTCAACCAAGCCATCACACTACTTACGAGGAACTTCATCAGAAAGACATAGCTAAAGTCAGGCATAGGCAAACTCATCCCTCCAGATGTTTTGGGACTACAACTCCCATGATCCCTAGATAACAGGATCAGTGGTCAGGGATGATGGGAATTGTAGTCCCAAAACATCTGGAGGGCCGAGTTTGCCTATGCCTGGCTAAAGTCAATAGTGGAGCTAGTTGTTCCAGACAGATCACTCTTTGAGAGGATGATAGCTTTAGCAGCCCCTTTTCCTCGTCGTTACTTCTCCCTGCCTATGGAAGAGATGTATGGCTCAGGACTGCAATACCTCAAGGACCGCCCCTTTCCATATGAACCTGCCCAGACCCTGAGATCATCTTCTGAGGCCCTCCTTCGTGTGCCGCCTCCTTGAGAGGTCCGGAGGGTGGCAACACGAGAACAGGGCCTTCTCTGCAGTGGCTCCCCTTCTCCGGAATGCTCTCCCCAGGGAAGTTCACCTGATGCCTTCATTATACACCTTTGGGCACCAGGCAAAAACGTTCCTTTTAAACCAGGCCTTTGGTTGACCTGATTGACATCCTATACCCTTTAAAAATGTGGCTCTTTTTTGCGGGGGTGGGGTGTTGTTATTGGGTTATTGTTCTTATTTTGATTTTATATATTGTTATCTTTTCTGTGAACTGCCCTGAGACCTCCAGGTATAGGGTGGTATTTAAATTCTATGAGATCCAGCGCCGAGGGCCTTCTGTCAGTTCCCTCGTTGCGAGAAGTGAGGTTACAGGGAACCAGGCAGAGGGCCTTCTCGGTAGTGGCACCTGCCCTGTGGAACACCCTCCCATCAGATGTCAAGGAAATAAGCAGATATCCTATTTTTAAAAGACATCTGAAGGCAGCCCTGTTTAGGGAAGTTTTAAAATATTTAATGCTGTATTGTTTTAAACACTCGATTGGGAGCCGCCCATAGTGGCTGGGGAACTCAGCCAGATGGGTGGAGTATAAATAATAAATTATGATTATGACTATTATGATTATTATTATTCTACTAATGATGATGATGATGTAGTATATGGTGGAAACCATGAATAGAGGGGATTTGCATAAGGTATGGAAGAAATGTGCTGGCCTGGGATTGCTGACAGGTTTTGCACGACTATTCGCACCGCACTGAGAGCCAGTGTGGTGTAGTGGTTAAGAGTGGTAGACTCGTAATCTGGTGAACCGGGTTCGCTTCCCCGCTCCTCCACATGCAGCTGCTGGGTGACTTTGGGCTAGTCGCACTTCTCTGAAGTCTCTCAGCCTCACTCACCTCACAGAGTGTTTGTTGTGGGGGAGGAAGGGAAAGGAGATTGTTGGCCGCTTTGAGACTCCCTAGGGTAGTGATAAAGCGGGATATCAAATTCAAACTCTTCTTCTTCCATTTCTGCTCATCTCATACTGGTGTTTTCTCTCTTGCCAAGGTCTATGCCATCATGACGGAGTGCTGGAACAACAGTGCCAGCCTGAGACCCTCCTTCAGGGATCTTGCTCTGAGAGTGGATCTCATAAGGGAGAGCATGGGTGGGTGAACATGCTGGAATTCACCCAAAGGGACCTGTCGACGTGCGCAGCAAGTGTGTCCTGTTCTTCGGGACGTTGCAGATCGTTGCTTATCCCGCACCCATTCAGAGACGGCAGCAAAATCATCCCATCCAACCTCGCCCGTGATGACGAAGGATGCGGCTTAGTTTCTTCATCGGGAATACTAGCGCGATGCATTGATGAAAAGCACTTTGATAGCAAAGGAATTGCTTCCCCCCTTCCCTTTATTTTGAAGCAGAATAGTGCAGCGTGATCAGTAAGCATCACCATGGTTTGCCTAATAGGACAACTGCAGAAAAAAATGATGTCAGACAGGGGAGTTATGGAAAGATAAGAAGACTGGGTGATTTAGGTTGCAATCGTGTGCCTGCTTACCTGTGGATTGCTATTGACCAATGAGACTTGCTTCTAAGGAGCTATATATAGGACTATGTTCTTCAGCAGCAGTTGACTTGCAGCGTTTCTGGTAGCACAGCTACCAGAAGACTTTGCGCTTCCAGCTGCACCACTTTGAAAAAGAGCAAATGTTTGCACTTAACAATGGAATTACCAGTGCATGGGTTCCTCTTTTCGCTACCCCTTATTTTGTTCCCTCCCCCTGCTACCTTTGTCCACTTTTGCCTGCCATAAGAGGTGATGGTATACCAGGCGAAGCTACCTTTCACGTAGCTTGGAACGGTGTGTTCCTTTGCGTAGATGAACATTTCTTTAGGTGTGTGCAGTTATGCAATTCTGTGAGAGACTTAAAGATATTTTTTATATAAAAAGGATAATATAAGTGTAGCAGAGAAACACAAAGCACCGGTCAGGATGAGAGAAGATTGATGATGGGTCCTGGCGATAGCTTTTATGTCATACAACTGCCCAATGCTGTGCCAGCACAAGAACCGCTCAAAACACAGCAGCAGTACAAAGTTGAGGCTCAGTTGCAGACGCGTTTCGTGCCCTGCAAGCCGTTGCTGAGTAAGTCTGAGTTGCAGAAAGCAGCAGAAAGAAGCCGCTGGAATACCTTTTTGACTTTTTCCTGCAGTGAACTATGAGCGATTTAGCCTCCTGTTCCATGCATTGCACAAGAGCCGCTGTTTTATGAAAGGGTTTGTTGCTGTTTATTAGTTTTAAAACTTTTTTTACTTTGTCAAGGCGTCACGGCTTTAATGTGTAGAAGAAAGGCTTTAAAAAAGAGAAAAATAGCCGTTTAAGCAACTTCTGTGTGCCTGTCTAAGCCAGCCAGAGAAGAGATGTCTGTTCAGGCAGTGTGATGTACTGTAAATACTTCAAAGGAAAGGGAACAAATAAGAAGAGATATTTTTTTAAACAAACACCTGCTGAAAATTGCATTTTTAAATGAACAAGTATATATAGCAGTCTATTTTCCTATGTATGTTGTGGATATGTCAAGCGCTGACCGCGTTTCCTTAAGGCACAGTTTTTTGAAATCATGTCATCGGCAGCAGCTTAATATGTTCCCCATGCTAAACTTTGTTAGCCTTGCCTACTTTCCCAGATGCTGCATTTTTCCTTTCTACCCTCTTCAACGTTTTACTGGGTGACCCAGTCAGATTGAAATAGAAAAGCAGGCTTCCAATGTTACGAAGAACAAATGTCACCCATCTGGCCCGTCCTAGTCTTCTTCAGGTTACTGAACAATTTGGCTCTGTGTAAGGATAGCCATGTGATTTTTCCTTACCTCTTTTCACAACAGCCTAAGTTGTGAAATATATATAAAGCCACTGTAACTCCTTGCGCACCAGGCTCAGTGGCGCAAATTTGCATTTGCCAGCTTAGGAACATGGAGAGTAACAAGCAGGTAGTAGCATCAGACTCTCTTTCTTGCCCCTAATGATTTGGCTGTCGGCTTCAGAGCTGGCCAGAATACTTTAACAGAAGGGCACTGGGTATTTCCTCATCTCTCACTGGTTGCCCACCAAGCCTTGTTTTGGTGACTTGCGAAAGAAGTATCCTCCTTGGGAGAAGGTGCTGAGAAGATGTTTGCTTCCTAAAATCAAAAAGGGGGGACGTCAATTGAAAGAGGTTGTTGCTTTCCACTATGGAGATGGAATGAAAACTTGAAATGTACTTCGGCGTATGGCAGAACGTGCTTAGATGTGCTATGAACTTATGTACCGTATTTTTTGCTCTATAAGACTCACTTTTTCCCACCTAAAAAGTAAGGGGAAATGTGTATGCATCTTATGGAGCGAATGCAGGCTGCGCAGCTATCCCAGAAGCCAGAACAGCAAGAGGGATTGCTGCTTTTGCTGCGGAGCGATCCCTCTTGCTGTTCTGGCTTCTGGGATTCAGAATATTTTTTTTCTTGTTTTCCTCCTCCAAAAACTAGGTGCATCTTGTGGTCTGGTGCGTCTTATAGAGCGAAAAATACGGTACCTACCTCAAAAATGGAGGAGGGTGCAGCGATGTGAGTTTTGCATGAGGCTAAGAAGTACCTCCAAAAGTTGCAATTACTTAGCAGGTGAGCTCCAGTCTACCAATATTTTGTGCCCCTGTGTGCTCTGGCAAGCGCTGATCTAATGGCTCTTGGGTATGTGTGAAGCTCTCCTTCCACATGTGCAGGAGATTATCATTCTGTTTTACAAGCAGGGGTGTTTCACATGTGCGATGGGCATACGGAACAGCAATTCTTGTTTGTAAGTAGAGATGGGAAACGCCGGCGTCTTTTCCTCTGGTAAAGACATTTATTTTATTTGTAAGAGTAGAGAGTTATGCAAGCAACTGCCGGGGGATTGGCGGAAGGAGGAGAACGTGGGATTGAAATTGTGGGTAGCCATGTTTTGTAACAGCACGTTATGTTTAAATGGCTGGAAATGTTTGCATTTTAAGAGACAGTTTCACAATGTATATTTTTAAATTGCTTTTGGTCGAATACATTGCACATTTGTACATTGCTTTGAAGTTGATTTTAAAACAGGTTGTACATGAAATATATTTTCTTTTTTGTAGACTATTTACGTGTATTGTTTTTGTTTAGGTTCCGTATTAACCGAAATCATAGTAGCATAAGGTTTAAAGCGACAGCAGGTACCAGGATAAACAGATGCAGCCGTCTGACCATGACAGAAGTGCATCTTCTATGTGATCAAGGATTTCATATTCCATATTTTTTTTATAAAAAAAAAAGGAAGAAACCTCAGGGAATTTTGTGTAATGCAACAAAGAGTTCTTCCATAGTGGTTTTTAAGTAAATAAAAATGTATTTGTTTGATCTAGTATAGTATGATTGACTTACATTCTCATGATGATGGTGGTAATCTTTTGAACAATTCTGTGATTGCAATCATTTAACCTAGGTGGGGGGGATCTCAGGCCAGGAGGCCAAATGCAACTCTCCAGGCCCTCTTATCTGGCCAAAACCTCTTTCCCCAGGCCTCACCTCTCACTGTCTCTGATTCACGTGTTTTTCCTCTGATTGGAATGTGTCTTGAGCTTGGATAATAACGCTTGCTTGCCTGGATAGAGAGGGCTGTGCATAGCAACCATTGCTCCATTCACTTCTGCTTTTAACCCTCCCACCACTGGCACGTGACCCTTGAAGCTTCCTCAAAAAAACCCAAGGCCTTCGGACTGAACAGTGAAGAAGTGAAGAGCCCAATCTATAAAGGTGCTAAATGTTTCAAAGGCGGCGCAAGCCACTGAGCATCCCATAGGCTTTGCCTTGTTGACATAGAAGGCCCCTTCAAATTTAAAACCCAACCATTGGAAATCCTGAGGTTGTACAAGAAGAAGGCGAAAAGCAGATTCTACATCACATTTTGCCAGCAGGGCCCCCCTACCAAATTTCCTAATGAGCTTAACGGCCTGGTCAAAGGAGGCATATCTCACAGAACGCAGTTTGGCCAGGATAGCGTCATTTACAGAGCCTCCTTTGGGATAAGATAAGTTGTGAATAAGGCGAAATTCCCCATTTTAGGATACGATCCCTAATGGTGAGAGGTGCAGATTAGGAATAGGGGGACTTTCAAAGGGGCCAGCCATCTGCCCTGCAGAAATTTCCTTTATTATCTTTTTTCTTGCCACCTCGGGCATCTCCCTAACTGACTTTGGTTAGGTGAGTGGCGATCACACAGGGTCCCCGGACGTTTGACTGTCTATTGACCCTGTGCCACCACTGTGATTGCTTTTTCGCTGCCACCAACCCGTTTCCCTCGGGTACACACGGAGTCCAGACAGTTGTTAACATTAACTAATAATCAAGTTTATTTATAGGCATGAACAAACTTATGGTTTCAGTTAATTTTTTTTGGCAGTTTCTTAATCTTAGTTCCTTAACTGTCCTATGCGGTCCTAACAACTTCAAACTGATGATTCCAACTATCTATCTGACTCCACCTAACAATTCGTCTCACTCTCTCACCACACAACACGACCAACCCACAGACTTATATCCTCCCTCTTCCTTCACCAACTCCCAACTCTCAACTGACCCACACACTCCGACTCTCACTCTAACTCCTCCTTTCAGTTTCTCTCTGGCCAATCACATCACACGCATTTAACCCTTTCCATATGACCCGCCTAGGAGGCAAATGCCACAGTGGGTTTCTTGAATTTGGGGGGAATGATACAGGAATTCTGAAACCAGAGGAGAAACCCTCCCAAAGATACTGGGCTGCCTCCTTAATTGGGTAAGTATTAAAGAACAAGGGACCCATGAGGAGATTGGTGGGGAAGATGAACCCTTTTCATTCCAGACATACTCTGCCATGAACTGTCCCGTGGCATAGACAGAAAACAGTGCAACAAAGAAAAACGAAAAGAAGAAGGGGGATAGGACAGTGGTGTGAATGGACTGGTGCAGTTCTGCACCCAAGATATAATGAGAAAACTGTGGACTTAAGTGTAATAAAACTCACATATGGAACCAAAAGACCATAGAATTACAGAATCCCATAGTTGGAAGGGACCACCCAGAAAATTTATATAATAATAAAGTCCTTTTTTTTTTTTAGCAACCTGACATTCACAACTGGATACATATTTATCCAAAGCAATATAATTATCAAATCCCTTTAGCAGAGAGACCAATTACTTTCTGTAGCTCACATACCTCTGATAAACCATATATTCTCTATGAGATTAGCAGGATTGTGATGGCAATGAGATGTGCTTAACCCAAGATTGGTAAAATGGTACTAAAGGAGTTTGTGGATGTAATCTCAGAACCTTTGTCTATGACCTTTGCAAATTCTTGGCGAACTGGGAAATCTCTACCAGGAAGCACCAGAACTCTGACTAGCCATGTTGTATGGGATCAATTTCAATCTGTTTTTCTTTGTTGCACTGTTTTCTGTCTATGCCACTGGACACATCGTGGCAGAGTATGTCTGGAATAAAAAGAGTTCATTTTCCCCACCAATCTCCTCATTGGTCCCTTGTTCTTCCCACACAACTTCATGAGCATTCAGGCAGCTGTGTAAAATGTGTGTGTGTGTGTGTGCCTTAAAAAACAAAAAAGATCAGAATGTAAGTATTTTAATTAACCAATAAACTGAAACTGACACGGGGACAAACAGAAGAAGACGCCTTTACCTCGGTATGGCTCCCCTTTATCACATACACAGCCCAACAAGACAATGACAATAATCCACCAACAGCATGCAAATCAATATGGCTATCCTGATCCAAAATAATCCACCCACCCCACTCACACATGAAAACAAAGATCACCACAGCCAATCACAAACAACCATACCCTAGGCCAACCCCAACCTCTCACACCACCAAAGAAACACAAATGAACAGCAGAGAACCTGCACGAGCAACGCTGACACCAAACCCTACATACATTAAGCATAATAGAAACATTGCCACCCGACCCCCCCCCATCTTCCCCCCTCCAACCACCCCCTAATGTCTCAACAAATGAAACTGATTTGTAAAAATGTTACACGGAAAAAAATACGAGAGACATTACACATACTTCTGTAAAACAAGAAAATCTTTAATAAAAAATATATGTAAGTATTTTAAAGTATCTGAATGGCCAAGTGCAAACCTCTCCTTCTCAGAACAGCTCTGATCCCAGATCCGTGTGGATATGTAGCCATAGTATCATTGTCTTCCAGGTCAATAACAATGCAGGTTGTTAAGCCATTCACATGCCGTTCACCTTTACCTGGTTGCGTATCAAGGAATGATCCAGGATCAGCTTTGGCCATTAAGCAAACAGGCAGATGCAGGGCAGCTACCAGAGCTGGTAAATGTGCAGCTGGGCAAAAATGATCTGGAAAATAGAGAAGGCCTCAACCTCAGCCTCACAGCCATGTTGCACGATGACCAGCTGCTGTCCCACTCAAGCTCAGTCACTCTGCTCACCAACAGTGTCCCTTTGAGCTCCTGCTTTCCTAGCCAACAAATGCACACCTTCGCCTCCACCTGCCCAAACTTCACATGATGTCTATGTACTCTGGCTTCTACCTACTTTGTGCCTTCTGATCCTCTCCCTCACTTCTTTCTCATTATGATAACTTGGGAGATCTTAATGTACAGGAACAGGTGCCTTTGATTTTCAGACTGTTTCAGCCCCCACATGCAAGAATGCACAAGTACAGGATGTCTTCGCTTTCCCTCGAAGGCCTTGTCTTTTTCCAGATCACAAAGTGTTGAACCTCATGTAAAAGGGGTTGCACCTCATAAAAGCGAGCCAGGAAGTGCTGGACAATGGGCTATGTAGGGTGGTGAATGCTTCCCTCTGCAAGGGAGTCTTCCCAGACCCACTTAAAGAAGCGATTATTAAACCACTTCCTAAAAAACCATATTTGGCCATTATGGCCAATTATTGCCCGGCCCCATATCTTCCATTCTTGGGCAAGGGTGGGGGTGGGAGTCACTGAACAACTCCAAGCACGCCTGGAGGATGCAGACCATTTGGATCCCTTCCAGCTGGGATTCAGGCCCCATCATGGGACTGAAACTGCCTTGGTTGCACTGGTAGATGATCTCTGGTGAACCAGGGACAGCAGCGAAAGCTGTTTCCTGGTTCTGCTGTATCTCTCAGAGGCTCTTCATACCATTGACCATGGTATATTTCTAAACCATCTAGGGGATGTTGGGAGCTGGGGGCAATGTCATGCAGTGGCTCCACTCCATCCTGGGCTGTGTCCAGAAAGTGGTGTAGGGGGATGAGTGTTTGGGCCCCTAGGAGCTCACTTGTGGGGTCACTCAGAGATCCATCCTCTCCCCCATGCTTTTCAACATCCATATGAAGCCACTGGGAGAAATCATCACAGAGTTTGGGCTGGGCGCTCACCAGTATGTGGATGATTCCCAGGTCTGCCTCTCCTTTAAATTGGAACCAGTGAAGGCAGTGAACATCCTGTGTGAATGTCTAGAGGTGGTTGGAAGATGGGTGGTGGCTAATGCATTGAAATTGAATCCCAACAAGACAGAAGTATTGTTTCCAGAGGACAGGGGACGGGCAGGTGTGGGGAGACACCCTGGTTCTGAATGGAGTAATAGTACCCCTGAAGGACCAGGTGCACAGCCTGGGAGTCATTTTGGACTCACAGCTGTCCATGGAGGCACAAGTCAGTTCTGTTTCCAGGGTGGCTGTCAACTAGCTCCATCTGGTACGCTGGCTGAGACCCTACCTGCCTGCAAACTGTCTCCCCAGAGTGGTGCATGCCCTGGTTATCTCCTGCTTGGACTACTGCAATGCGCTCTACTTGGGCCACCTTTGAAGGTGACTTGGAAACTACAACTAATCCAGAATGTGGCTGCTAGACTGGTGACTGAGAGCAGCTACCAGGACCACATAAGCCTTGTCCTGAAGGATCTACATTGGCTACCAGTCTGTTTCTGAACACAATTCAAAGTGTTGGTGAGACCTTTAAAGCCCTAAATGACCTTGGCACTGCATACCATAAGGAGCGTCTCCACCCCCATCATTCTGTCCAGACACTGAGGTCCAGCTCTGAGGGTCTTCCTGCACTTCCCTCATTGCAAGAAGTGAGGTTACAAGGTACCAGGCAGAGGGCCTTCTCTGTAGGTTTAGCACACCTGAGTGTGAAGTTACAGGAAAATCTAGCTTTGGAATTCGGGAGGCTGGAGGAAGGGGGGAGAAGGGTGAAGCTTCTGTGAAGGCCAGCAGCAGGGGCAGGATTGTCACAATGCTGTGGAATCATAGAATTGTAGAGCTGGAAGGGAACCCAAAGGTCATTCAGTCCAACCCCCTGCAATGCAGGAATCTCAGCTAAAGCATCTGTGACAGATAGCCATCCAACCTCTGCTTACAAAATGAAGGTGTTCACAACCTCCCGAGGGAGACTGCTCATCTATTGAAGAGCTCTTACTGTCAGAAAGTTCTTCCTGATGTTTAATCGGAATCCTCTTTCTTGTAACTTGAAGATCTGGACTCCTTCCATCTAAACTCAGGTGTCTTAAATTTATGACACCACCATGTATTGATTCTCAAAGGAATACAGACCCTGGGTGAGTGCCTAGAAACTGCACCCCACCCCAAAATCTTGCTACCTCTTGGTTGTGCAACTTTGGTAACTGTTATGTACTGAGTTGAATAGGATCCAAAATGCAGCAGTCTGATTGGTCCTAGAACAATAGGATCCAAAAGGCAGCAGCCTGATTGGTCCTAGAACAATAGGATTCAGAATGCAGAAGTCTGATTGGTCCTAGAACAATGCAGCAGTCTGATTGGTCTGCAGGAACCACCCAATCCAGCTCCAGATGGAAGTGAATCCACAACCTGATTGGCCTACAGGAGAATTCTGGAATTAACCAATCACGTGCAGCCTATTGTGTAAATAATGTATATAAAGCAGATACTTTGGGGAAACTTTCATTCCCTCCTCACCACTATGAGCTGAATAAAGAGCATGAAATCCACTCTCGACTCTGAGTATATTTCAGTAACAATATGAGATTTCGAGAGAGAAGCAATTCTATGTTTGCTAAAGCAATCTGAATCAATAATTCCCATTGCATTCATGATGGCAAGTGTGTTATGAATCCCATCTGCAACCAAATGTTTTATTTCAGTGGTGCTGGAGGTGAAAGAACCACAATCCTTTGCTCTCGTACTACTTTATTTAACAGTGGATAGTCTCCCTTAAGCATTACAATTTCCATGGAAAGTTCAGCATGAGATCCAAGACAAGTTCTAGAAGAGAAGGGGTGTGGATGCATCTCAGCAAAACCACCGCAGAATTTTGCGATGGTTTGCTGTCACAATGCAAAGACACCACCCCAGATTTTTCCAAGGCGCTAAGAAGCCTACAATTAATTGCATACAAGACGGGGTTAAAAATCATCTGTGCTTCTCCTTTGTGTACACAATGGTCAAGCAGCACTGCAACTGAACCAGTATTTCTAACAGTGGGCATCAATAATTTCCTCCACGCTGCATCCCACTGTGCAACACTTCCTTGGCAGGTACATCTCTTGTCTTTTGAAGCGTTTGACTTGTGGGAAACCTGATCTAACACGGCCAGCAATGCCTATTATATATTTTATCTTCTGCCGAGCTTTCTCCTCAGCTGCATCCATAGAATTATTGCGAGGGTTATTTGAATCAAAGAAATGTCCCGGCGATGGCTCGGCATTGGGTCGGTGGTGGTCTTCAGCTAACTCTGAAAAGGAAAGACAAAACCATTATGCTTCTCAGCTCATCTTCTGAAGCTATTGCATACAGGAAATGCAGTTAAACAGAAGATTTGGTTTCCATTGCCATCATCCTTTAGGGCCTTCTCAGACAGAAGTACGTCCTATTAAATGTGTGCTACTCACATGCTAAATGTGCCCAGGATTGCAGCCTCAGTTACTTTAAATAAAATTTATCTGACTTTGGTTTGCAAAAGTCCTTATCAATTCTGAATCCTCCGTGCATCTTAACTAAGAAAAGTATTGTTGACATATTGGAATGCTAGTTTTATTGGGTGCTGGGAATAGATTTTGGGGTGGTTTGTTTAAGTAATCAATTTTGTTTTATTTTTTAAATTGTACTACTACTACTACTTTTGATGAGAAACAAGTATTGATAACACTGCACAATATCATTCATTGCTTGGTCCTCTTCATTCCATTTTCTGGTTTGTACCAACAAATTGCATTTTTTAGAAATAAAGATTAACAGTGGAATTAAAATAATTTGAAAACAATGCATTGCATGTTACAAAGTTTGGGCTCTCATCTCAGAGAACATTCATTGATTCTTCAGAATATTTCTTTATCTCTGCTTTTAACAGAGCACCTAACAATTTTCAGAACTAAATAAATTTAATGATTTATCGTAATACATTCTCTGCAAAGCCAATGTGCTCTTGTGTTTCTGTCCGCATGATATTTTCTGCCACTTGGATTCAAGCTATTTCCCTATCTGCTTCATTGACCCCAGCTCTCTAGTAAATTAGCAGTAAGACTCTGTGCCCTGTGAGAAAGGGCATTTGCAAGTAATGGTGAAATAATTAATCAGTTCTCTATTCTATGGAGTAACTAGTTCTTTGAGAGAATGCCAGCCATGCTAGCTGTAAACTCCCCAAAGACCCTTAAGAATCTATCAGATTCCATCAACCTTCAGGGAGAACCCACTTTAAATACCTGTGAAGAGCAGAAGCAGTTGTAAGCCTAAGTCCTACCAGAAAATGGTCTGACCATTACGAAAGAGTCTAGAAAGATTTCCATACTCCCATTTCAACAGAACTACAATACTGAAAGATGACTCTTAGTATTAACAAACGGACTTTTGTTGGCAAGGTGATGCCAACCAAGGTCCGTATAGTTAAAGCTATGGTTTTCCCAGTAGTGATGTATGGAAGTGAGAGCTGGACCATAAAGAAGGCTGATTGCCAAAGAACTGATGCTTTTGGATTCTGGTGCTGGAGGAGACTCTTGAGAGTCCCACAGACTGCAAGAAGATCAAACCTATCCATTCTTAAGGAAATCAGCCCTGAGGGCTCACTGGAAGGACAGATCCTGAAGCTGAGGCTCCAATACTTTGGCCACCTCATGAGAAGAGAAGACTCCCTGGAAAAGACCCTGATGTTGGGAAAAGACCCTGATGAGGGCACAAGGAGAAGGGGACGACAGAGGATGAGATGGTTGGACAGTATTCTCGAAGCTACCAGCATGAGTTTGACTAAACTGTGGGAGGCAGTGTAAGACAGGAGTGCCTGGCGTGCTCTGGTCCATGGGGTCACGAAGAGTCAGACACGACTAAACGACTAGACAACAACAACAATTAACAAACGAGAAACAAATGCACATTTCTTTTGCAAGAAAAAAAGGGTAGTTGACAAAAGACCACTATCTTTTATTTATTTAAATCACAGGCTACTACTGCTATTGAGGAGATTTCACCCCTCCCATATCCAAGAATCTCCTGAGGAGTCTGCTGATTCTCCAGAGAGGAGGAGGCGTGTTCTGCTCTCTACTTATTCTGCTCCAGCACCAAGTCAGTCAGTCAGTCAGTGTCGGAGAGAGAGAGAGACTGAGTGTTAGAGATCATGTGTAGAGATAGGGTTGCTGCTAAGAGCAGCTGCAGACACTCAGTGCAGTGCAGCATTCATTTATGCTTAGACCTATTTAGCTCTGTATATAGTTTGTATAGTTGTAGATAGAATAAAAGAAGATATTCTACAGAGCTGCTCTCCGAGTTGTTTATATACTCTGCTGTACTCTGCTGTACGACGACTGTCTTCTTGTTGGAGTGAATCCGGTGCTCACAACACTAAGCTGTGAGTCCACAACACTTTGACCTGTTCCTGTGTAGAAGGTGGTCTCTGGAAGTGCTACCCAGCTCGCCTGGCCCAGTCAGGGCTGAAGTGGATGAGTCCAGTTGGTGGCACTGGCTCAAGGGCGATGCTGACAGCTATGTCAGACTAGATATCCTTGATGAATTCTGAATGGAATAAAATCTTGTCTTTTGAGTCGTAAAAAGCCAAAATCCAATGTCAACTGCAGCAGAAAAAAGAAACATTTTCTCTCCAAAAGCCGACCATGGATCATTTCACTTGGGTTAAAAACAAAACATCCATCTGCAGACTGTGCATTAAACTGAACTGCTTTCTAATCCATTTCTTTTCTTCCTGTTCCCACTTATACAGATTATAACTAAAAACTGGAGCTTTGGCCCGAAATATGGAAAATCCCATGCGCTCCCTTATAGAAGCCACCTTACTTCTCTTGAACAGGAATACAAAAGAGCAGCAAGCTACATGGTGAAGGACTGGCTGGTAGCTCAACTTTGGCTGAATCACTTACCAACACGTGGGGGACCGGAATAGCGTAGATCGTCCAGCAGGGAGCTTGCGTAATTGTAAGTTTCACAGATATACTCAACTGCCTTGAAGTAATGGCGGGCACAATGTCTTCTTATGTGTTGGGGCAGCACTTCAATTGGCAGTGTAACTAACAGCAATAGCAAGAGGTGGTCCAAGCTCATCTTGCCCATTTCCATTCAGTCACTGACTCTGCTCTCCCTCAGTTTGCCTTTGAGCTCCCAGGTGTCTCTCTCCTAGCCAGCAAACACTGAGCTCAGCCTCCACCTACCCGGCCTTTAAATAAGGTGCAACACTTTGTGATCTGGAAAAAGAAGACAAGGCCTTCAAGGGAAAGCAAAGATGTCCTGTACTTGTGCATGTGGGGGCTGAAATATTCTGAAAATCAAAGGCACCTGTTCCTGTACATTAAGATCTACCATGTTATGATAATGAGAAAGCAGTGAGTGAGAGGATCAGAAGGCAAAAAGTAGATAGAAGCCAGAGTACATGGACATCATGTGAAGTTTGGGCAGGTGGAGGCGAAGGTGTGCATTTGTTGGCTAGGAAAGCAGGAGCTCAAAGGGACACTGTTGGTGAGCAGAGTGACTGAGCTTGAGTGGGACAGCAGCTGGTCATCGTGCAACCTGGCTGTGAAGCTGAGGTTGAGGCCTTCTCTATTTTCCAGATCATTTTTGCCCAGCTGCACATTTACCAGCTCTGGTAGCTGCCCTGCAACTGCCTGTTCGCTTAGTGGCCAAAGCTGATCCTGGATCATTCCTTGACACCCAAGTAGGTAAAGGTGAACGGCATGTGAGCTCCGGCTTGACAACCTGGATTGTTATTGGCGCGGAAGACAATGATACTATGGCTACATATTCACACTGATTTGGGAGCAGAGCTCTGAGAAAGAGAGTTTTGGGCTTGGCCATTCAGATGCTTTAAAACAGGGCCGTCTCTACCCAGTGGTGCATGGCGCCAGGGCGCTACACTCTCGAGGGCACCTGGTGGAGAGTCCAAGGAGAGTCTGGGGAGGGGAGTGTGGGGAGGTAAGCGAGGCGGAGCGGGGACTGGGTGCCTGCGCATCTCCAGCACCCGTCAGAGGCGCTAGTGTCGTGAATTCTTCATGGTGCTTTAGCAGAAATGCTCAGAGTTCCAGGTTCTTCAGTGCAGTATATTTATTGTGAGCTATATATATACACAGGGATGCGGGTGGTGCTGTGGGTTAAACCACAGAGCCTAGGACTTGCCGATCAGAAGGTCGGCGGTTCGAATCCCCGCGACGGGGTGAACTCCCATTGCTCAGTCCCTGCTCCTGCCAACCTAGCAGTTCGAAAGCACATCAAAGTGCAAGTAGATAAATAGGTACCACTCCGGCGCTGCTCTGGTTTGCCAGAAGCGGCTTAGTCATGCTGGCCACATGACCCGGAAGCTGTATGCCGGCTTCCTCAGCCAATAAAGCGAGATGAGCACCGCAACCCTGGAGTCGGTCACAACTGGACCTAATGGGCAGGGATCCCTTTACCTTTACAGATTCCACCCCAGTCACACCTGGAGGCTGACTTTGCGTGCCAATGTACCTCCTTCACCACTCCTTCAACTGCACGACGGCTGGGTGACATTATTTCAGTGTGTACCATGCATGTGAGTGAGGAGGTAGAAATCATGTGGATATCCCAAAATATTCTTCACAAGTTCATTGTTTCTTCCTTTGTAATTAAGAAGCTGAATGTTTATCGCTGTAATATTTCACACCTGAAAATGCAAATCCTGTCATTCTAGTTTGACGCTGTTCTATAAAATGTGCAACCATATTAACGATATGAACATCCCTCCTCTCCTATGTTTGTTCTAGCCACATCTGAAAATGGGCCTCTGTCAATTTATCTTGAAAGGTGCGGGGCAGAAGTGGAAGACTACCGTGCAAATGACGGTGCCTGCTATGTGGTCAAAGACACCACACACACTCTCTGCTAGTAAAAAAAAATAGGCCTTTCTTTAGTAGACTTGCAGCATTTATTGTCAAACACTTTTTCCTGCTTTACCAGATAAATTGGTTATCAGGGATAATTTAGTCCACAAATTAATAGCAGAGTCACTGATTTTTTAAAACCTCCAAGACCCTGCCTTGTGGTCTGGTTTCCAGAGTCGTCTTCTCAGCAATTTACTAGTATTAACATTAGAACTATCCTTCCTTAACTACTCCTACCAGGGTTAGTTTGGCAGCGATACTATGTATTATTAGGAGTGACACTTCCAAAAATGGTATTGAATACAGTTTCTGCTAAAATGGAGCAGTGCTTATAAAACAAGAATCGTAAAATGCAAAATACGGTATTTTGACAGCATATAGAATTTGTACTACAGGCATCTGCGTTAGAACTAGTTTTGTATGTGCAATATATTATAGTTGCTTGTCCTGTAATATTTAAAAGACTCAAGTTGCCACCTGAGTCTGCAAAGACATACAACTGTATTGTTTGTAGGTGAATCCTTGCAGTATTTTGCAAAACACAAACAAACAAACAAACAAACAAACAAACAAACAAACAGCCATCTACACAGGCACATAAAAGTGGGACTTCTGTTTCCAAACACATTAACATGCCCAACATTTATTGATTTGGAAACAGAAGGCTAAGCTAACAGTTGGTTTAACCCAACAGGTCTAACTAATCTTATGTTGAAATATATTCAAGAGCTTTGATGCTGTTATGATTAGTTGCATTTAAGAAAGAGGCAGTGAAAACCCCTCAGCAAGTGTCTAGAGGCTTAATGTGAGCGAACCAACTGAGATCTGATCCAAGCAAGACAGAGGTGCTCCCTGATTGGTAGAAAACCAGGTCTCGGGTTCTGGAAAGAAAATGGTGGCCTCTAAAAAAATCAGGGGCAGTTTATGTGTTCTCATGCACCTGTGATGAAGAGTCCTGGAGAGCTCCGGGGTACCTTATCTCTGGCCACAGCTAGGCATGCTAGCAGAAAAACTGCAAACCGCGGTTTAGTACACTGAAAGTTTTGAAGGGGAATTCTGATGTGGCCATCCCTGAGCCGATGAATTCCTGCATGGGTTTCTCTACGTATTTGAACGAGCCTCTTCACTTTTATGTGCAATGTGTAACCAATACAGCTCTTGCCCCAGGTAATCTAGGACAACTACATTTTATTGTTTGTATTTAGCTTTGTGTTTATGGAACTTCGGCACATTGGGAACGCATAGGAAAATATATCCCTGGCTGAGTTATATCCATTAGCTTCCAATTTCACACATGCACATTTAATGTAGACTATATAACACTTTAATTAAAGGTTGGGTTTCTCTCTTCAGTGCGGCAAATGTGGCACAGAAATCAGCATAATTTTTGACGAATTGGAGTAGGAAAATGAACACATAACAAAATGCAAATACATTTAGTGCAAAACATAATTATAATGGCAATTCATGTGGTTTGTATTTTTTACAGGAAACCAGGACACCATCAATAATTTGGAGACAAAATAGATTACAAATCAGCAATCTTTTTTTCCATACAGGCAGTATTCAATTAAAAAGCACTGCAAACAACACTGAATTTTGGGTGTTCCTGAAAAATTGGATGTGCAAATATAAAGGTATTTTTAACACAATCTACTAATCTCAGTTCTGCTACATCCCCAATTACAGCACAGTCCGGCAATCCCCATAGGGGTTGCACGCTTTATTCTAGGCTGTTTGACCAAAGGAAAGTTATATGAACTGATGGAATTGGCAAACCCAGTTTCGCTTCTCCTCTCGTGGGCTGCATCTCCCAGTTGACGGATGTATTCATTGTATTCACTGGAAGTAGGAACATATTCATTAAAATAATCATATAAATTTAAAAAGTCTTTCAGCGACGGCTTTCCAGCTTGTTGACTGATGCTTTGCAGTTGCTCCAGTTCAGGATCCAAGACAGACTGCAAGTTAATATTATCCAGTCCTTTGTCCGTGCTAGTTTGAAGAAACTCTGTTAAGGTAAAACAAAGGAAACTATCAAAAGGCGACCCTTTGTAAAATGTCTACTGAGCTTTTTGGAAGAAATTTGTTAGTGATACTGTGAGTATTATTCATGCATTTACCTATACACATTTTACCCCACTGGTTCACCAAAATATTTCAGGAGCAGCTTGCAAGAATAAGTAGTGATATGCAAATTTTGCTAACTAAACTAGGGCTGCCATATTGTTGTTGAGCTTTTTTGGTTTTACCCAAAATTGTTGAGGTTTTTCCTTTTGCAAAATCTCAAAAAATTATGAAGTTTTTGGCCTATTTTGAAGGAAAAACAGCAAAACCAGACAATGCTGACATGGGTTGCTGTATGTCCAGATTTTCCCAGACATTTCAGCCCGGACACTGCTACCGATGGCTGATTGCCGGCTATATCTGGGAAATTCTGAACGTATGGCAACCCTGACTAAACAATGCATCTTATTTTAACAAGTCCAAAATATACCAATGATTTATTATTCAACAATCGGAGTTTTTTTTACCCATAAACATTTCAAGTACAAAAAGAAATTGCTGAGCAAATGTTCTAAGTTCGCTGCTAGAATCTGGGACTCAGAATGTGATTCCTGTAAAAAGAGGTAGGGATCTGAAGAATAGAAATATATTACAGGAAACAGGAAAGTATAATTATCCCAGTTAAAAGACACAACCACATCATTTTCTTATAGTCTTCAGCTTGAAATACTGAGCATGTAGTAAGGTTGTGATTTAGAGATAGGGCACTGACCCTTCCCCATTTTAGACCACTTACGATTTTTCACACCACGTTTCTGAAACGCTCACTGATTCTATAATACAGGTTGAGTTATTATTGCCATATTTAATCCAGTAGGTCTATTTACTAGGTAATCATGCAGAATATCCAACGTATTTTGCTTTTAAAAAAAGAACACCTGTTTGCCAAACATCACTATTGGAAATTCCCAATACATCATTTTAAAACGTGGAATTTATCTAAGAGATATGCGGCTGAGTTTTGAACTCTAACCCCCCAATTTCTGTAACTCATTCATGCTTCAACTGAATTTTGATATGGCATTTCCGATATGTGCAGCAGAAAAATGTACATTTGCAGATGCAACAGCTATATAAAATGAGATTGTGCCATGTGGTAGAATGTTTTTTATAAGTCCTCAATTTAGATGTTTGAGTTTACAGTCTTTTCCTCAAAAGGATAGTTGAAATTTAAAGGCACATGAATATTGGAAGTCCTAATTAAAACAGCTGTTATTACCTTCCTTGGTGCTCATCTTCAATCCCCATGCTAAGTTCCTTTTATTGATCAAATTGCTTCTGGTCTAAACCCAGTGTCTAAATCAAGATTTATAGCATATACTGGGGCTTTATAGTAGAACTGCTATATACTTTCATTTACCACTTTATATTGTATTAAAATAATCTGCAAGCACTCGCCTAGGACATTTCTTTATGAATTAGTTAACCAGTTGAGCATGTCAATCAGAGAAGCTGTGAGCAGCAGGCAGTCTTATACTTGTTACCCAATATCACCACAGGAAACAATAGATTATGTGTGGTGCAAGCACACACACAGAGTATTTGCAATTCAAACAAGTTGGGGGTGGTATGCAAATCCCACAAGTCTTAAGTCTCCTTCAAATCAAACAAAGAGAATGCGCAAGCACCACTGAAATCAGCAAGACATTTGAAAGACTTAACTTTGGCTGGATTATACATATTTCATTTGCCTCCCCCCCCCATTTATTTTAAATGAGAAGTTGCTTTTGTATGTATTCACACTTGCTAGTGTTTCGAAGACTAATCTGAGGTTAAACTAGAGCAAGGCACAATGGCAGCCTAAAACTGGATATCACTTTTTTGCATCTGCCTCCTTGAAGTTTAGGGGAAAATTAACACGTCACGCCTTATTCACAAGATCAGCTGAGCTGCCTACCACTCTGTATTTCCAGTTTTTGCCATGATGCAGGGGCTTCAGGTGAGAATGATGCTCCCTAGATCCACTTTCTAACAAATACAACAGAAGCAATTTACAGTTTTGGGGAGCTAAAGCTTTAGCGACTCAGAAACAACGAAGTAAAGACGGTATACTGAGAGGTGCTGTGGAACCTGCCTGGGAAATGCCCTCTCACATAGCCGTCAACGTTTTCCCTTTTTTAAGGGAAATTCCCTTATTCCGAATAGGATTCCTCGCAAGAAAAGGGAAAAGTTGACAGCTATGCCCTCTCATCAGATGTCAAACAGAGAAACAACTGCACGACTTTTAAAAGGTATAGCGAAGTTTTTGATGTTTGAGGTTTCATTGTGGTTTTTATACGGATATTTTCCTGGGGCATCCCAGTCAGATGGTTGGCACAGAAATAATAAAATTACCATCATTGCTTTTACAGTGGTACCTCAGGTTAAGTACTTAATTCGTTCCGGAGGTCCGTTCTTAACCTGAAACTGTTCTTAACCTGAAGCACTACTTTAGCTAATGGGGCCTCCTGCTGCTGCTGCGCCGCCAGAGCACGATTTCTGTTCTCATCCTGAAGCAAAGTTCTTAACCTGAGGTAATATTTCTGGGTTAGCGGAGTCTGTAACCTGAAGCGTATGTAACCTGAAGCATATGTAACCCGAGGTACCACTGTATACTAAAGGGTAGGGAAAGCAAAGTGGCGGGGCGCTCTTGATGTTTCGATCTTTGGCGATGCGTTTTGTGTTGAGAAGCGGCCCTATGGATAGCTCGCGTCGAGCGGCAGCCTCCTCGTCTCAGGGTCGTGGGTTCGAGTCGCACTGCTGAGCAAAAGATTCCTGCAGTGCAGGGGCAGGGGGTCGGACTAGATGACCCTCGTGGGTGCTGTTCCACATCCAGCTCGGGAGAACGGACTTGGCCGTGCGTCTTTACGCACGAGTCTCCAAATGGTTCTCTCGAGCTCCATGGAGTGGGGACCTATCCCCAGACATGGGTCTACTCTGCAGGATCGCGACCTAAATCCTGCTTTAGAAGCGAGGATCTTGAAAGTCTGAGCGTGAGGCGAACAGAGAAAACTCCCCCCCCCTTCCCCGGGGATCTGTACTTTTCCTGGTCTTTCGAAGACGAGGTTGGATATTGGAGGTGTTCGTTTGGCACCATGTTTCAGCGGGAAGAGCCACAGCGCTTCGTCTAATTTATTGTTATTATTTTTATTATTAACAATAATGACCGCCCACTATGGAAGACGAGACGCCCCCGACCCCCCGCGACCCCCGTTTCCCCCGACGGCGCCTCGCGAGCGTCTTACCAGCGCGCGCCCTGGCGGCGCCTTGTGGTGCTTGATCCGTGGGCCTCTCGGCGACCCTCCTCCAGCGCGACCCTCCGCAGGTGAAGATGACGGCGCGGATGAACTCTCGTCCGCACAGCTTCACGGCGTACTCGCCGTCTTGGGGGGATGCAGAGGCTCCGGCCGCCGGGGAGCTCCGGAAGGTCAGCTCGGTCGTCAGCAGTAGCAGCACGACGGGCAGCAGTCCGCGGAGCCTCATGGCGAACGCGCGCCCTCGCCTGCCTTTGGCCGCCGCCTTGTCCCGCCCTTTCGTCGGCTCGGAGTCCTGCAGACGTCGGCTCGGAGTCCTGCAGAGACGCGCCGTCGAGCGCGAAGGACTGGCGGCTGGAGGGCTGAGCCGCAACCTTCGCCAGGCGCGCTTTATAGAGCGAGAGGAGACCCTCCGCCTCTGACTCATCCACACGCACACGACTTTCCACACTTCTCATTTCCGTCCTCTGCTTCCTCGCCCACCTCCCTTTATTAATTTCCTAGAGAGAAGCCCCTGCCAGATGGCCACTGGGCTTTAGGAAGGAAACGTCTTTTTTCTCCTTTTTTTTCTTTTTTAGGGTTCCCATATTTCAAAAAGTGAACATCCGGACACGAAACAATTGGGGGGGGGGGTTAGATAACGGACAATCTAGTATTTCTGCTTCCAGCTAGCATTCTGTAACATTTTCCTGTTCAATATACAGTGGTATCTCTGGTTAAGAACTTAATTCGTTCCGGAGGTCCGTTCATCCCACGAGTGCCCACTTGGCCCCCCCCCCCCACCGTGGGGACCGTGGAGCGTGCATGGCCATGGCACCGAAATTTGTGGGTGCTCTGCCCCTTCATGGGGAATTTTGTAGGTGCTCAGGCACCCAGGGTCCTGGGGATTTGGCACCTATGATACAGTCACATCTGAGTCCACAGCATCTCTGAAAGCTGTAAGGTTTCCATCTTGTAGCCATGTTTTTTTCTAATTCATCTCTTAGCTGATTGAAGAAATCATCTTCCACGTTGTCATCATTCCAATTGTATTCCTGCACAGGTGCATCTTCATCTTCATCTAAACCAGCCCAGTCTTTGGCAAGGAACTCTTCAAAGTTCTCCTCCTCCTCGAGCCCCAAGAATCATAGACTTGTAAAGTTGGAAAGGGACCACGAGGGTCATCTAGTCCAACCCCCTGCCATGCAGGAATCTTTTGCCCAAAATAGGACTCGAATCCACGACCCTGACCTTGGGAGTGCTCTAGTTTCATAGAAGAATAGAGGCCATTGACGGACTACCTATCAAATTATCGTTCTTATGCAAAATCACATGCAGGATTTGAGAATGTAGAGAATGGATCTGGAGGGCTTAGAAAATAAATGTAGGTGTGTTTTAATGCAGCCCTTAAGAGGGACTGGGGAAAAAAACATCAGGGAAGGAGGGAAGGGAAGTCAAGAAAATGTGGAACAAAAAACCCCCCAAACAATATAGATGACTGGAGTTATGTAATAATTTGGAAGATTTAATAGAATCAGTTATTTAAAAAAAGAGATTAAGGGCCTCATGTTCTACCAACTGAGCTGTCCCAGGGTATATGTCAAGCATCACTCTTTTTTTTGAGCTACAATGAGAATCAGGCGCTGACTCCTAGGAGCCGAGGTCCCTTTGCCCCCCCCCATAAAATATTTGAGGGAGCTGCCCCCCTGCAAAAAATGTTCATGGGTTCATTCAAATGGTGTTTGCGTTCCACATCTTGTGATCGATTTTGCACCACCTTCTGAGGGCGTCCGTTCCACAGTCGAATGGCAAGGTCAGAAAGTTCTTCCTGATGTTTAGTCGGAATCTCCTTTCTTTTCTTTTCTTTTCTTTTCTTTTAAACAATATTTTATTAAAGTTTTCTTGGTTTACAAAGGTATGCGCAATGTCTCCTTTTTCAAGTTACATTTTCTATAGGTCAATTTCATTTGTTGAGACATCAAGGTTACATTAGGAAGAAAAAAGGGGAGAAGAGGTGGGTGGGGGTGGGGTCGGGAGATGATATTACTATTTTGCTTAATCTATGTGTGGGTTTTTGTGTCAGCGTCGTTTGTGTGGGTTCTCTTTGCTATTCGCTTGTGTTCCTTTGGTGGTGAGAGAAATTGTGGTTGGCCTAGGGTGCGGTTGCTTGTTTGTGATTGGCTGTGTTGAACTTCGTTTTCGTCTTTAAGTGGGGTGGGTGTTTTTGAATCAGGTTAGCCATATTGATTCGTATGCTGTTGGTGGATTATTGTCATTGTCTTGTTGGGCTGTGTATGTGATGAAGGGGATCCATACTAGGGTGAAGGTATCGTCTTCTATTTGTCCCGGTGCCAGTTTCAGTTTATCGGTTAATTTTTCTAGTAGGGCTGTTTCCCATACAATTTGGTACCATTGGTCCATGCTTACTCCTGACAGGTCTCTCCACTGTCTGGTTATGATGTTTCTGGCTGCTGAAAGTAGGTGGGTTATGAGTTCTTTGGGATGTGAGTGGGCATTATTGTCTTGGAATATGTTTAGTAGAGCCAGTTCTGGGGTGATTTCTAATACTTGCTTAGTTATTTTACATATTTTTTGTATGGCTGTTGTCCAGAATAGTTGGATTTTGGGGTGGAATCTCCTTTCCTGAAGCACGACTTCATGCCTATGGCGTGCTCTTGCAGAGACAGAATCAGCCTTAAAGCACTGGCTTATTCCCAGTTATCACGCAGGTTTACCACAGTCAAAAATTGACAGATTTACATTCCTTCAGATGGAATGAAATGAGGCCACAACAGGGGCTTCTGCAGCACACTGTGGAAATACCTAACATTTATAAAGTCCTCTGAACATTTTATAAAGTGCTTCACATTATTATTGGCTGTTTATTGGTTATTTATATAGACCTTGGCAGCCCAACTTTCCATCCCAAGTGAGCCGCAAGTGTACTTCAACAGGGAACCTGCTTTTGCACAACAGGGGTGGGGGGAGCGAGCCCAAAATTTGACGCCCAGGCAGGATGCACCAAGTGTTGCTGAGGGGTGCCAGAAAAGGTCTTGAGGGCTACGCATTGCACCACCCTTGTATCCTGCTCTTCCAAAAAAAGCCTCCCAGAGCAGAAAACATAAAACAAGACCCTGCCTGCAGGTTTACAAACTAAAATACACAGCACAAAAGGAAAAAGGAACAGGGAGGGAAAAGGAAAAAAGGCAAACTGGCACAAATTATTAAATGGCATAGACACAGCTTGGGCAGGGGGCACCTGATGGAGCTGGTCTTCCCGCAGAGCTGGTGGAGTGGCAGCTGCCAGGTGACGGCTGAGAGAGGGGACGTTTGATGAGGATCATCTTACTAGGTCAGTATTACTTCCATATTGTAGATAGGAGAGTGAAGTTGAGAAAGTGTCTTGCCTCATTCAGCAGAGTTCAGGACAAAAAAAATGTTTATAGCTCAAGTCTCAGCCAACAACAGTAACCGAGCTCTAAACCAGCAAAATAAAGTTATCTTTGTTTTCATATTCTGGCAGACACTGACGCCTTGTTTGTACAGATGTCAGGTCCATTTTTTCATTCTGTCTCCGGATTTGATCATACAGAATGAACTGAGGGGAGCTGACCTTCAGCATGTACCAGGCAAAAGGCTGGTTTTTGATAGCTGGCCCATCCATTGCTTGCTTTTCACTCAACAAAGTCCACTATATTCAATGGGACTTATTTCCAATTAGAGCTGGACTGGATTGCAACCCTATTGCACTCTTAAGTACAGTGGTACCTCGGGTTAAGAACTTAATTCGTTCTGGATGTCTGTTCTTAACCTGAAACTGTTTTTAATGTGAGGTACCACTTTAGCTAATGGGGCCTCCCGCTGCCGCCACGCGATTTCTGTTCTCATCCTGAAGCAAAGTTCTTAACCCGAGGTACTATTTCTGGGTTAGCGGAGTCTGTAACCTGAAGTGTCTGTAACCTGAAGCGTCTGTAACCCGAGGTACCACTGTAGAGTGATTTGTTTGCTTGTTTGCCTGTGACTGTAAACTGCCAACTGCCGTTTTCCACATTATTGAATGGGTCAAACAAAATGTTAGTAAGAGGGGGAAACATAAGTGAAATCACAGCAGAATGAACTGACTGTTTGAGATTACTATACATTCTGTGCTTGAATATTACAGGTGTGATCCAGTTGTATTAACTTCACAGCATGTTATTTTAAAAAACCGCAAAAAACTTTAGTACAATTAATTTGAAAAATGTGAGGGGAACAATGCATAGCCATATGTACTCAGTTTTCATAACAAATCACAACTCCCGGTTTCCTAATAATCTTTAAGTTTGTTCTTGGTATAAGCTTTTGTGTGCATGCACACTTCTTCAGATACACTGAAACAGAAGTCACCAGACCCTTATATATAGTGGGAAGGTGGGGTGGGGTTTTTCTCAGGAGGGTAGTAGGAGATGGGTGATTGACTCAGTGACTAATCATCTGCATACTATCCCTTGCTTTTTCCTGTAGGACTAATTGCAGTCGTTAACAGTCGTCAACAGGTTTACCATACCCATTGAGTCAAGCTTCTACCAAGAACAAACTTAGTTGGTCTCGAAGGTGCTACTGGACAATTTTTTTATTTCTCTCATACCAGCGATTTATTGTGGTGAAGCAGACTGCAAAACAGCTATGCAAAAGAGTAAGTCGTGGAAATATTTCTATTAACATTAATAGAAAAACCAATATTTGACCCATACAGTAAGAACGTGGCAGCTGCACAAACAGACAGACAAATGGTAGTCCACATTCTATGCAGGACGCCCATCTAAATCATGTCCATAGATGGACTATAGCAAAACGTCTTGCAATCTGGAGGCTACACTTCCGTTGATGCAACCTTGAAATGCATTAGTCTTTTTAGTAGCAGCATCACATCACAACTGCAGGAAAGAATTGGGGAGTGCTGCTGCTCATGGAGTGGTGTGCCAATGCTCCATAGGCACTACTGGTCATATTAACCTAACCAGGGCTTTTTTCCAGCCTGAACCAGGGGCATCTTACCTATAGAGGCTAGTGGCGCCGGGCGCCAGGTTCTGGAGAGCGCCAGGGAAGAGGTGGAGGCTGGACATGGTGCCTCCCGGCAACAGCTCACTACCCTCGCCCGCCTCCGCCATGCTGCTCCGAAGCAGCGCCACGCCGCACCCAGAGTCTCCGTCTGCCGTGGCCACTGTGGCACAAAGTGGCCAGCTGAGCCAGGAGGCGCCACATCCAGCCTCCACCTCTTCCCTGCCGGAGGAGCCACCCTCCAGCCACTGCCCGCCTCCTCCAGCCCCGCTGGCAGTGCCGTCCTCCCTAAAAAACTCTGGGAAACGGGGAGGGGCACTGGAGGGAGCTTTGCACCACGGCGCC